TTCTCGGCTGACGTAAAATTTGGTCCTCAAAAGTGCCCGGTCTATCTAAAACTACCTTGGATCGGTAACAGCTCCCTACGTTTTGAAAGCCAAATAAAACAGGCCATAACAAATTGTTTCTTCGCGGTTAACCCACGTGTTGTTTACAGTACAAAAAAGGCCCTTCCGTCCATTCAAAAGGACTGCGTTCCTGCCACAAAAAAAGTTCTGTTGTGTATGAATTCACGTACCAGTGTGATTCTGGCTACGTAGGACGCACCACCCAAAGATTGGAGGATAGGATAAAACAACACGTTCCATCTAATATTAGAAACAAAACACATCCCCAAAGAGAACAGCCACCTCGGTCTTGCAAATCCAAAATTACTAATAAGACCTGCGATTCTGCTATCGGGCAGCATTTGCTAGAAAACCCAGTTTGTGCAAAAAACTATAATGGCGACATGTTTCGGATTATTGGTAAAGCCCGATCGTCGTTCCACCTAGCAGTTTTAGTATCTATCTACATAAGCACGAAAAAACCGCTACTGTGTAGACAAAAGGAGTTCGTTTTCACCTTAGGACTCCATTGGTAACATTCTAATAGGCAAGCGGCACTGATTGGTCAACCTTTACAGTCATGTGCTCGTGTTTCTGATTGGCCTATTTCGATCCACAACTGGGTATATATATTTCTTAGCGTAGAGTTTTCGATCTATGTTCTGACGTTTTAAACTCTGAAGAGTGTCAGACGAAAAGCTTTAGTTTACTAAATGTTTGCTTTTTTCAAAGCTATTTACAAGTTTTGTACCACCAAAAGATTGTTTGCATAAAGCTTATTCTGCATTGTTTTGAAGAGTGTCATTAAACCTTAAAAACCTTGCAGAAGAAGATAAAATACAGTCTAAAAAGATCAAAGTAGATATACGTAAGTTACATCATTTGTTTTAGATAATGGTTTCATAGTCATTAAGAATGCAATTATCTTGCTTAAGCAATACCTGGTGCAGGATTCGCTTTCATTACTTTGAAATTCAGCAGATCTCTTCTTGACCTGGAAACAATTTGACGTTGAAAAATCTCTTTCAGAAACGACTATCACGTTAGTATGAAGAAGATCACAATGCCTGTTTAATCAAGCAACTCATAACTATCCATCGAACTAGAGGTGAATTGTTGGCAAAGTACTCAATGTCAGCTGAATTTTTTATTTTCATGACACGAAGCAAATTCATATGTAAAATTCCAGAACAAGACTACAAATTACGACAATGATTATAAGAAACTAAGTTTTAAGGTATTATGGTATTGACATGTTATTAAAATGAGACGTTCGTTCAAAAATTGTGGAAAGAGTAAGTAAATTTTCAGGCTTAAAAGATCATGTTGCTATGCTAATTCTGCGAAAAATTGGAAGGACTAAATCGTTCTGTGAGGTTGCTTAAACAAACATGCATTCAATCATGAAGTTGATGCTGACATGAAGTTGATGTAAAAGAAATATGGTAGAGTTACCTTGATTTGAAAGCCGCTAAAGCAGCAACATTGTTCTCACGTGCAATGCGGCCAGTAACTTTATTCGAAATCTGTACATCAGAAAAAATATTATACCAATTACTGGAGATGAATGAGTAAAATTTTTTAACAAACTGAAATAGATATAAAAAATTTCTCAATCTGAATGTCACATTTTACTTTTCATATATGGCCAAACGACAAATTCTTCCCTAAATGCTATGAACTTTATCAATAAGATTTTACAGTTTTATCAATAAAATTCTTATTTCTCTGAATTCAGATGAAAAATTTGCAAATGGATAAAGATCTGAACAGTAGTAAGAAAAGAACAAATCATATACGGAAAGTCCCGTGGAGAAGATAAAGGCTTGTCAATTAGTACAGTGATACGACACTTGCAAGTCCATTGCAGAGTGCTGCAAGTCATAGAAACAGCACTAAATGCGTTGGTCTTTTTGCTTTTCTAAGATTAACGCTAAATAAGGTAATCCGTCAGCTAAGAAACAAGTAAGGGCTTGCTTATATTGAGGAAAACATCCCACCTTCTAGCCTGTGAATTGAGAGGTGAGATCCTACCCTCCTATAGAATCGTTTGTATTTTTCGTCTTACGTTTATATGGCAAACGTGCCATCCTGGCTAAGTCAGACCCCACTACGTAAATTTTAATATACACGCCATCAAATTTCACCCCATTTGTCAGCACACAGGCTGAAAGGTGGGGTGATTTTCTCCACATAATTTTATCCCACCGGCCAGGTTATGGTCTGAGAGGTGGGTTAAATTTGCTCATATAAACAGACCCTTATAACCACCTTGTTCTACGCACAAAGACATGATAAAGCATGATACTCACAACATATTTGTTTGGTGCTGGTGTTGAAAATTTGTGCTGCTGATCATCTTTATTTACAGCAATCGGCAAGTGAAAATTACTACAAGGAAACGGATAAATAGGTGAGTACATGATAAATGTTGGGTAGGTTCTAAAAGACAGATATAGATTGCCCAAACGTTTAGCATCTTAGACATAAAGAAGAACAAGATAAGTTTGGACAAGGGCCTTCACTTTCACAAAATTAAGAAGCTTTGGCATCCAATCTTATTTGACTAATTATTCCACTATCTTGCTAATATTTTGAAACTGGCGCAAGAAGACCCTGATATACCCAAATGAAGTAGAGTACATTGTGCTACTTTACTACTTTAAGCTACATTATAAAACACTGCAGCAGTAGGTAGCAGCCATCAAGATCTATTGTATGAACCCGAAACGCTATTAAGCATGATCAAACACTACCTATGACCAGGGTAGAAAAATTAATTCCACTATTGGAAGGTTCAGAATAATCTTCTTTATCAATTAATGTTTATGTTTTTATGTTTTTTGGCAAAGCAATTTGAAAATTTCACAATAAAGTAATTGCACCGCAAATTGTGTTAGCAAAAAGAGTACAAGGCAACAATAAAAAAAAACTTTAAATAAAACAAAAAATAATGAAATTCTTAACTGGAATGAAAATGGGCTTAGATAATTTAAAAAAAAAATTGGCAATGTAGTGATACATCATGTTAAAACTATGTACACAAATTTTCAAAATGCAAAAAGAATTTTCCAGCACCCAGTTTAGAGATTTGATTCTTATTCTAGACTCTCAGCAAAGACTATGGTGCATTAAAAAAATTCAGAAAATAAATAATCTTGAAAAACCAGCAATCAGGACTGAAAGATCATATATTCGAAAGATCTATGAAAATTAATGCTGTATCAGTTAAGAAAATGCAAGAGATTTCAAATACCTTGTGCAAGATGCTTTGTTGAAATCACTGCTTGCCTGATAAACTGGATTGTATTGACCTGTAAAAAGGTGTTTATATCTCTGTAAATCCAAGGTTTATCTCTCCATTACTATTAAAATGCACAAGAGAAAACTTATAATAGTTAAACACTGGAATACAAAAGCAAAAAAGCAGGGACGTCTCCAAAGGGGGGATTGGGGACGCTGTACCCCCAAACACTTGGTCTGTCGGAACAGAAAGGATTTTTGCTGGGCCAAAGTAGACATTTTTGTCTCACCCATTAGTATAATTACAGCCTTTTTACAATAATTATAACGTATTAACATTTCCATAGCAGTTGAACTTTCAAAGAATGGCACAAAAGTATGAATTTTGAAGAGGAACGCAAAAAAGCAGCATATAGGTGACTACGTTAAGGCATTTATCTTTTGGCCCTCATTTCTGCACTCCTTCAAAAAAATTTTGCTGGCTTGGCCCCTGTAAAGGAGTTCTCCAGCATAGGGACTGGAAACAGGTGTAACGTTGACGGAAGGCAGAGCTTGCAAGATTGATGAAGATGAAATGAATACACGGTGAAAAAAGAAAAAATTGTTTTAAGACTTGAACAGAATGGAGCTGAATTGCAAAGGAAGCAACTAATAAGAATAATATGTGCTTTAATTAATCAAAAGGACACTGGGTTGATTATAACGAGATTATGAGAGCAAAGAGTCAAAATAGAAAAACAAAACTCCTACAAATAGGAGGTTCAATGTATCTATAGAGATTTCAGTCACCAATGAGACAAATGACATTGGATTAAACATTTTCAAAAAGCATTTTTATTTTCAAAATTTTCTTAGAAAGATGTTGATGTTCTTGATGAGTGGACTGATGTTCTTGAAAGATCAAACAGAACTTGGAAGGACCCAAAGTCATTAGACAGATTGCTGCAAATATGAAGGTCTGAGATGATAAACAGTTTGGTTTTGCCTCAAAGATGATTGACAATATCAATAGGCTAGACAAGGCCATTAATAGGGATTATGCCAAATCTTTCATGCAAGTTCTCCTAACAAAACTTTAATTGAGTAGACCAAACCCCCATCCATTCCAAAATAAGCTTTGGCTTCCCCTATTAAGAATGGCAAAAGCCTCCCCTACATGAAAGTACAAAATACACGAAGAAGGACAAACCTGGTGCCACTGCTATCAAATTATTTTTGGATCGCTGGAATCTCTTTGACTGGAAAATATTAATAAGAATATTATTTTCAAAACGTTTTAACTTCAGGAAAACTTCAATTCTAAGCTCAGAATATACAGATTTTTTATGTATAATAAAGGCAATGGTTTCAGGATATCATCAAGCTGTTAGAAAGTTGTAGGCAAATATACAAGCAAGTGGACTTACTTGTTAACTTAGGCTAGGGGTTGACAGCTAATAGATAATGGGTTTAAAGCAATTATATTTTGGAATGGAAAATAAGCTTTTGGGCAATTAGCACTCAAGTTGGGAAACATCAATCATAAAGAAAGGGCAATCAACATTTTCAAAATGTGAAGAAAATTATTTTCTGGAATTCAAACTAGCAGCATGTTAGGCCAGTTAACTCCTTGATACAACTAAACAAGCCGGACTATGATATGAAACTTTCTATTTACACTCAACATTTATAGGACAAAGTCAACACAGAAAACACACCTTAGATGCAAAAGATCCTGTCCCTTTTTTAGAAAAGGAGGTTGATTCCTTAGTTGCTTCAGATACTGGACGATAATGAGAAGGGGCTGGTCCCTCTGGCTAAAAAATGAACAGAAAGTCTATAAATTGATGATATTATTACAGGTGTATTTTATTACATTGCATCCACTGTCAAGGCATTTGAAAATAACACAATGTAGCAGCTACCTGATACAATGCATTGAAGTGCATAAATAAAATCCAGGCCTCTCCGTTTAAGGCCCGCGATTACGTGCGCACGCCTTGGCACGCTCCTGTCGTTGCCAAGACGCCCAATAAATTACGTGCCTGGTTTATAAGAACCCTTTAAATCGCACTCCTTGTGTTTTGATTTTGAATAGTTATTATATAAAGAGCCTCTTTCGAGGAAATTGTTATTTCCAAGTTAAAGCAAACACCACTTGAATATATTTCGGGTGAATAACCAGTAAACTGTCATTGTGATTCCTGATTGTTATAAGTTTTTTAAATGGCCAGTAATTCAAAGGGTCAAATAGAGCTACCTACTTTTCGCAAGTATGGCAAGGACAAAGTTATCGGATCAAAGACCGAAAAATGGAATGGGAAGACAATGATGGTCTCAATTTGGTGTAAAGTTTGCTCAAAATACAAAAGCGTTATTTTATCAAATCCTCTTTGTAAAGAAATGCCAGGAAAGCATTGAAGTGAATAAATAAAATCTGGCTGTAAAATTAGATTTTGCTTTATCTGTGACTTCTGAAGGCTAACAATCTAATGTTGCCTTCAGTTCCATGAGGTAAATTGAACTGACACATCTGATCTTTAAGAGCTTTATTTCAATTAAGCTGACACATAAGAGCTGAATTTTAATGATGCTATTATGATCTAAAATATTGAACCAGAAAAACTTTGAAAGGCAACCATAAAGCTTTGATGTTAAAAACAAGCATTCTATGGGCAGATTTAAAACAGTTTTGTTTACAATGGAACATCTTTTTAAAAACTTGATAAAAACAACAACAGAAACAAACTCTTTCACTTGTTCTTGGGAATGAAATAATTTTGAGTACATCCAAACTTGGTTTTAAAGGTGTACAAACAGAAAATTCCTATTGATATATTGTACAAAGATTTGAGCAACACATTTTATGCAATAGTGGTGCTTCTTTTGGGCCCTACAGGGTAACCTTACCGTCATTTTCTTTTAGGTCTAACATTGTATCAAAAAAATTATATCTTAATTAAATCAAATACCAGGTTTTGATCATCATTAAATCTTCGTGCTTTTGATCCAAAACCTTTACTCTCTGAATTACTGTTGACAATGGTTTGGTATTTGCTTGGAATAGATGGGGCAATATGTCTCTGACCTGAAAAAGAAAATTAAACTTATCAAGATTTGAAGCAAGAGAAAGACTTTAAACCAACTTTAAACCTAAACCTCTGACTTTTTGACTCGCATGCTTTTGTCTTCTTGCTTAATATCTTCTTTTTCAGTGTTTATGGAAAAATGTTTCTGTAGTGCTCTAGAATTTTGCTGCAGTAAATATCAATGGGTATGTCATTATTATTATCACGGGTCTGTTTGGATATTTAACAACTGAGACGAAAATTGCTAAATTCTTAGCGGTTAGATCTTTCTACTTCAAACGTTTTCTGTGTAATAAAACGGGGCCACCTACTTCTGAATGGGCGGCCAGTACTATGTTGTAAATTGAATAGTTTGGATCTCCGGTCGACTTGACTGCCAGATTTCACACTTTGTAATACACTTTGCGACATAACCTTTTCCACTTTACAGCAAATATCTATTCAGCATCTCGTATCAGTTAATAATTTCTACCAACAAGTGCAAATAAGCAAGATTTTTCGCAACTTTGCTAGCCGACTGCTCATGTTGTTCTGAAGGACGTCCTGTTGTAGCCAATACTGTTGTCATGAGAACAGCCTCATCTCTAACTTTTTTGTTTAAACGAGGCCACGGTCAATGAAAGAGATTAGGCCTTAACTGTGAAAAGAGGTTGCAAGCTTGTGCATCCAAACATTATCGTTTAAGGAAAAGCCTTGTTTAGAACTTGCCTTAATCTTTGGAAAAATACTTTCTATACTTGGTTTTTCGAATTCGTTCCTAAAGGAGGGGATCTTTGAAAGATGGTTTCACTATTGAGGCCGCAAATTGAGTACAATTGGCAGGATATCACCTCTGAATTCAAGGACGCGTGTGGTGTTTTAAAAGTAGACGAACTTGTACACGATGATATGTTTGGCTTGTTTGAGGCGATGTCGGCTATTGAGATCATGGATCCAAAAATGGATGCAGGAATGGTTTGCAAAAACACACCACGAAACATCATGCAGTTTAAAGATGCAGTTTCTTGTGGGAATTTGAAGGTCAGCGGTTTTCAGCCAAACGAACTTCTTGGCATTATAGATGAGCTCCTAGCTTGTTTTGTGACATGGCTTGATGGGCACTCACTTATCCAGACTGTTTTCATTTGCCTATACACACACGACACAAACCTGATTGAAGACCCAGTATTAAGAGCAATCTGCATATCAGTGCTAAAGATGGTTGATGTGGTTAGAAATATTGTTGGAAGAGCAAAAGTGTATGAAGAGGAAGACTTTCAAACACTTTCATATGGATTCAAATTAGGCCTGGATGTAACAGAGCTGAGAATATCTGGTATGCTAAGAGAGGCTGAAGAGGAGATTTCACGTCAAATCAAGGCCCAGCTCATTGATATGAAACCAGAGGACAAAAGTGTTGATGCTCTCAAGGGCATAAAACTAAGATTGAAAATATGGCGTGCATTTTACTGTGCCCTTATTACTTTTGAAAAACCAGATGTTGCTGAGGTAAACAAAGCTAAAGAATGGCTGGGAAGTGCATTAAAGTTAATACCTGAAGCCATAGAATCACTTCACCTTGGCTTACAGCTTGAAAAACGTGAAGGCAGTTCCAGTGAAACATCCATGCTTGGCTTTGACTCCCTTGTCAACCATAGGCTACTACCCCCATCTTTCCCTAGGGAAATAAATGTGGTTGGTAGGAAACAAGCTTATGATTATGCCAAGGAACTGATTCACAGTCTTCTTCATGTGGCAAATATTTTGGGGCGTACAAACTACCATTCTGTCTTAGAATTTGTTTCAGATTTCAGTAGGCAAAGTCCTTGTGTTCTTTCTAGATCTGTTCTACAGTTACTTGTCTACCATAATGGGCGAGTATTTGGAAAATTACAGATGTCTGAAATGCTTCGTGACACTATTAAGAATTTCAACTGCTCACCAGTTCTTGCTGACATGTCACCATTAAATAGCAGTCAAGAAGCAAAAGATATTGCAACAATGTTTGTTGGAAAAGCATCCATGGTAATGCTGTCACTGCTCCATGGACATGGTCATAACAGGGCTAGGCAGAGAGAGAGGTTAGCAGATACCCTTGAAGAGCTTGGCAATTTGCAAGAAGAAGCAGACAAGGCTGACAGTGCATTGAACCAAATTCTTCTTGGAATTGATAACAAGAGGCAACATCTTGCTTGCTTTGGCTCATGGGTACTTTATCATACTTTGAAGGTTATGATAGAATATATCCTTCTTGGGTTTGAACTGGAACTTTTCAACCCACACGAGTTTCATTATGTGTACTGGTACCTAGATTTTCTTGCTGGATGGGGGATAAATTGTTTGTCAAGAGCAGAAAAACTTGTAGTCGCTCAAGAACAATACATTGACAAAAAGTGTGGTAAAAAGGACAAGAAAAGAAAGAAAGAGCTAATCACTGTTTGTCAGGAATCCATAAAAGATCACCAGCATATGAAATCTTTTTTCATGGGAATCAAGTTTCTCTGTCTAGGAATTGTAAAGGCTTGTGAAGGGTTTGAAAAAGACAAGAAAATCAAAAGACCTCAAGCAGAACTTGACAATGAGCAAGTTCGCTTTGAACATCGTTTCTCTGCCTTCATGTGCATTGACACACCACAACCAGTGACTTATTTCCAATACAAAGATGCAACATCTTCACTTTTTTCAAGTGAAAACACCACCCCAGCTTTGTATCAAGAGGCTCAGAAGTATTTTGAAAGAGCAGTATCTACATTCCAAAGGTTTAATGAGAAGTCCAGAGAAACAGAATCTTTGCTGAAAGTCGCAAAGACAAACTTTGTTGTTATGAAGTTGGCTTGTTCTGGACATAAAAAGGAATCTAATCAATTAGTTGAATGGGACTTTACAGCTAGTTCAAGTTTTCCTGTAATCAAGTTGCTCTGAGACTGACACTTAACATAAATTGTTAAATTGTCGAAGAAGAGTTGATAATTTTTTGTGATCAATGTTGTTGTTCTCTTCAGTTTTCTATTTGATGAAAAAATTAAATGCAAAAATTGTGTTTATCTAATGGTGTCAGGTAATTTATTGCAAAAATTCATTTGCCAGCACATATGTATCATTAAGCAAAGAAAATATTAGATAAGTGATCAGTGAGGTGATGACCCTTGCCCTAAAATATATCATGTAAGTGTTTGAATTCAGTAGTGATAAAAACCTTCTCCTTTTTGCGTATCGTTGCTGATAGGGACAATGCACATTAAAATATTTTCAAAAGATCATCAACATGAAAGTGTTCCAATCACAAAAGTAAGAAGGAACTACAGTCTTTTAGCAAATCTAAGGGTGAGACAAGAAAGCAAAAATCATGTGATGTTACAGATTGTGTACAAAATGACATGATCAATAATGGTGATTTTAAACAAATGCTAGTGTTATGCATCATTGTAAGCAACAAAAGGTAAAAAAGCAAGCCAGGTACAAAAGATGTGCTTGACTGTTTTACTAAAAGTTTTGCTACAGAACCTACAAGATATTCAAAAGGTGCATGTGTCATCACCCCTAGAAAACAATTTGAAATTGATTTCTGCAAGGCTTAGTAATAACCTATAAAAATAGGCAACAAATGCATATACTTGAAAAAGCCAAAAACATCCTGGGCTCTAGTGAATTCTAAAATACTTAAGTACAACTATCAACTTTATTAATTTGTATCAAAGTAGAGTTTGATGTGATAATTATGTGCATGCATCTTTTCAAATACAAGTTCTAAAATGTTACATCATGCTGTTTCCCTCAAACGGTTTGCATCTGTCAGATTTGAAGTAATCTGCAAGCCTTGGCCTCGCTGCAATTCTATCTTTAAAGGCCTTAAGTTTTGGTATGTTTTCAAAACTTTTCCAGGAATCTGGAAACTGTGATTCTGTTGCTCGGAGAACATGGAGCAGACCAAGATCAACATAGGTCAACCTTTTGCCAATAACAAATCCATCTCCATTGTCATTGGCACGAAGCAGCTTCTCAAAATGCTCAAGGTATCGAGGAAGTCTTGTTTCTACAAAAGTCTTGATGTAGGGCTTTGTTTCCTCCTGCTGTTGGTAGTAACTCATCATGAAGTTCTTCCCATGAAATGCCAATCTCCCCTCCCCAATATAATCATGTATGGTTGCATTCACTTGCTCAGCTTTTGCTTCATCAACAGAATTTTCAGGATACAAACCAAACTCTTTTCCTAGATACTTGCAGACAACTGGTGTTTGGCAGAGTTGGAAATCACCTTTCTTTATCATTGGAGGGGTAAGACATGGCCATCCTTCAACCTAAATGAAAAAATGCAAATTTATGCTGGTGGTGTAGACAAGTAATCAAGATGTTTGACTCATGGTCCAAATATTGTTGGTTTGAATACCATAAGAACCCTTGGGGCTTAATTTGCAAAGAAAAATTTTGGAGGAGGGCTTATTCAAAGGGGTGTTTATGCCAAATGCCAAGGTCAGGGCTTAGTTAGCTGCAGTGAAAATATAAGTAAAAGGCAAATTTTCTTCCTCTATTTGTGGCTGGTCGGTTTGCTTATAAAGTTGCTTAAAAATTTTCATATATTTGGATAAACCTATAATGGCTTTTGAGGCAATACCTTAGGCCATGGGGGCTGATTTGAGAATAGGGGGTTATTTGAGGACTCACGGGTTTGAGATCTGTGGGTTTTAACCCTGTGGGTTTGATTCTCATAGGTTTGAGTAACTTCAAATCTGTCAAACTTTACTAGCAGGGCTCAAAACGTCTTTCCAAGACAGCTTTTTCAAGGCTTTACAAGAAATTGTGTCTCATGTTAATGAAACACAAATTAACCATCAATACCAACCAGAAACATTGCTTTGTTGGTTTCCCATTGTCTTTCTATTGTTTATTGGCATATATCTAGCATGAGCTTCACATGGATTCCACCCTGGTACAAATGTCATCTCTGAAGTGGCAATCCAACGTATTCATGAACAGACTAAGTGAATTCATTCATTTGCATACCTTTCAAGTTAAATATTGCCCGCACATTAAACATAGCTAATCTTAAATATAATCAGAATTTTTGTTGCCCTCAAAAATCTTGGTTATTCTACTTGGTTAATGTCAAAATTTTCACTTTCTAATCTCTACAAGTTCTTATTTTATCCTCTAAATCGAAATAAAAAGAAGTCAAATGATAAAACGGGGATAGCCAATTCTTGTATAAAAATGGGCGTTCCGCTATTTAGCGTGCGACATTCGTTTAGACATTCAAATAGACATTAGAATAGACATTCGGACTTTGACCTGAATTGAATAGACATATTTCATAGAGAGAAACTTGGCTGGATTCTCTGTTGATTCATGTATCTTGTTCATAATAAGATGCGCTATACTTCCATAGGTGATCAATAGAGGAACTGACGTGGTCGATATTGCCTCAATTTGCTGTCAATGTTATGTACCAATGTCAAGCACATGGGTTAACGGTGCCATATTTATATATTCCAACCCCGACCCTCTCTTACCCTTTTCTTGTGCATTCATCCTGGATGGAAGAGAAGAATCGAGAAAACAAATTTTATCGATAGATACCTTTCCATGACGGAACATTGGCACCAACACATCAAGGTCATTAATCTCTGTGAACTTCTCCCCAACTTCTTCGAATATGATTCTTACAAACTCTGCCCTCCCTGCTAGTTTGGGCCAGTAATAGAGCTGCCAGGTACCGTCTTCCTTTGCCATTTTGGGAGTGAGAAATCTCTGTTGTTGACCCTCTTCCTGGCCAACGTTCCTCCGCAGAGCATCAGCTCGTCCAAAGGGTCGTGCCGTCTTGTACGTGCATCCCCGCTAGCCCATCAATCATAATTTGTTATCCATTATTATGCTAATTACTTTTTGGTGCATTTACAAAGCAGTGCTCTCTAACCTCCATGCAGTTTTGGTTTTGGCAGCTCGTGGGTTTCGCCACGTATGCGTTTATTCCCCCTCCCAGTCCACCCTTCTCTTAGTTTTTTTCTTCTAAACCTGCCCCTACTATACTCCCTTCTGCCTCTCCTCCAGCTAGTTTCTCACCTTCTCACACAGTATTCACTGCGTGACAGGTGTATCAGTCTGATTGATGGGTTAAAAAACTGAGGTAGTTTTTCCCCTGAAATCAAACACCGACCATAAATTACATCATTGCTCAGGTAATACAAGGGTCCTGAGATATATACTTACTTCGTTCATAAATTAGGGGCCCCGTGAAGGAATTCCATTTTTCTTCTCACCAAACGAAAAGGGTATACCGTATTTCCTCTTATGAAGGCCGCCCTTTCAAATCACATCTTAATAATTATTTTTCTTCAAATATTTCTTCAAATATCCTTTATGTGCCGAAGAATAAAATCTTGGGGTTACAGCACCCCCGTACCCCCTTCGCTTTGGAGACGCCCACGTGGGGAACATTCGTCAAGCTTGCATTGGGATGTTTTTTTCATTATTTTCCATTGTGGCGAAGAAAAACATTAGCAAAGATCGAAATTTCCTTATTACCTAAGAACAATGATATATTAGTGCATCAGTGGGTAAGAACGATTTGAGAAAACCTTTAAAGATGGCAGTACCCTGGGTACACCTGCGTACAATAAATAACAGTTTTGCATGAAATTTAGTAGCACGGTTGCCCTAGCTGATAAAATTGTTCTGCTTAGTATACGTGAGGGTAAATTTTCAAAACACAACATGCATTCATTTCATCTAATTTTTATCCGACACTGGCGTTATTCTTACGTTGTAATTATTTGTTTTGGTAAATCGAGCCTCGGTGTCTTATAAACTGCGTTCTTACAACGAAAAAAGACTGTACACTCCCCTGCTTAGTCAGGTCCACCACAGCTTTTCTGGGGCCTGGGATAAAAAGAAATAATGGGCACGTGATGACATCGTTAAAACTGTGGTTGTTGTTGTTAGGAATTTTGATATAACTTTTTACCTCTGTCTGGGGCCTGAGGCAATTTGCCCCCTGTCCTCTCGCCCCTCTCGGGGGGTTGTACTTAGTAACCAGCCGGAAAGTTTCCCAGCGGCTCTTTGGATTCTAAGGCATCGATCACATTATTCCTTTTTCACGGATAAACATGGTTTTTTCGCCTTTTGTACTGTATCCGAAACAGCACATTCAAAACAGGGCAACACGAAAACCGATCAAAAATGTCATGCGAAAACCAAAAACGAAAAAAAACGTCATTGTGAAAGCGCAGACAGCGAAAACATCTTTTTGCAAGCTGATCAAAATGAAAACGAAGGTTAACTCAATAGAGGCAAGGTAAGGATCTTTGAATCCTGTTTCCAACACATAACATGATGGTTGTTTCCAGAAATATCCAACAAATACCACTTGTACATAATATACAAATATCTAGTGTAAAATATTCAATACAAAATATTGTCTATATCATAAAACTACGAGTCTACTGTAACTAAGATTTTTTACATTTTCTACTCGAATATAGTATCAAGTTTCCTATATACCCGATGAGACAGCAGTTGTGTTTTAAAACAAGTTAATACCGTTAAGAAACAGAAGTATTGGCAGTCAACCTGCAAACGGAAAGGCAGTCAACGGAAAAAGACCTTTGAAAAAAGAACTTTGTTAACCACGCCTAGACCACGTACTATTTCCATTGTTTTAAAAGTCTTGTTTATTGGCAGGAGGAAGGATAAGAGTTTTCTGGAATCTAACAAGGAACAAAACTGACCCCTATTCTTGTTAATTCAATGAACATTACCCTGCTTCATGCAGATACAATAGTAATCGTGCATTTAGAACTATTGTTTAAGTTGATTGGGACGGCTTACTATCTCATAGATCATTTTTTTCACCGAGTCTCAAATGTAAGTCACCACAATTCTTCACTAAGAGCTGGAAGCTTTTCTTTGGATCGAAACAAACTGGTTTTGAACATTTTCAAGACGTTCATATCGAAATCAATAACAATGCCAAATCTTTTATAGAGATATAATTTGGAAACTTAAGTTCTGAGTTCTATCAAAAAGCTCGGAAATTCAATAACAAACGAGGCCTTTCAACTGCTATCTAAACGAGGCAACCAGCTTTGAAATATCTAAGCGTACCTGCTCACTGTGTCTCGTGTCACGCCAAAAAGTCGCAACGAGAGTAAATTATCTCCTCCCGCACAACTCTAGGCAAATAAAATTGTAATTGATAGACCAAAAGAAAAAATAAAAAAAAAATTACTTTTGGTGGGCTTGTTACAATATGGCCAATCAAACTATTCGATCTCTGCCTGTAAGGGCTCGTTGAATCCATGATTTCCAATACTTCCAGTTACGAAAGTATATAAATACGTGGTGTATTGTTTGGAAGAGAATACGATGTAACTTGGTATTACAACATAATTAGAATTGCCATCCCTGACGTGAACATCACAAAATAGCAACCTCATTTACTTAACAAAAAAGTCGACAATGCTAAATTTAAGAAGGATATTACCACAAATCATCAAATTAAAAAATTACGAAAAGATACAAAAAACGATCTGTCACAAAACTCCCATTTATACATAGAAATATAGTGGAATCCCCAAGCAGGGACACTTGCGGGATGTAGTTTGTAGAAGGTGTCCCTTGCCAGGATTCGATCACAGAGAAGAAAATTTAGGGGCACAATAAATTTTTTTTATGTTCCTCCTAAATGCTCTTCATCTTTATGGTGCTCCTCAATGGGCATTTTCAGTGTAACTCGCCTACTAAAATTAATGTTCCATTTAATGGTTCTGTCGTCAAGAGGATTCAGCCTACTCTGTTGTGACAATCAAATTTTTCTTACAATATTAATATACCAACAAAAAGGTTTTATTGGAAGCCATGATTTGTCACAGAAGGCTATCCTTGTATTAATATTTGCACACAAAATACAACATATACAGAAGCGGCAAAATGCAAAATTCAGATAATTGAAATCTTCAAAGGCAGAAAAACCAGTGCAAATCTGGGCCCAGCATTTAGAGACATGACAATAATTTTTTTAGGAGCTCCTTTCATTGGTCGTAGTGCAGGACCTCAGTCACGTGGGTCGAATATAATTTAAGTTTCTTATTGTTCTTCTTTACAGCGGTTTCATGGACCTGTTCATGTCTTTAATTGATTTTAAATCTGAAGTAAAGGAATAACCTTAAAATTACAGGATTAACATACACAGTCTTATTTATGGAATATTTTTTTTGAGAAAATTTGTATCTCTTTCTACATAATGCTGTTAAAAATTCATATTATAGCTTATGCTCGGTATGTAGGGTAAAAATTAACAGTTCCTCCGCGGAAAACTGTAGAGGCAAGACTTACAGCTATCTGCCATCTTTTTAATGCCTCGCTTGCATTTTGGTGTTTTTATAAAACACAAGAATCGGTTGGAGAAAGTCGTCCTACAACAAAAGACAATTAAATTATTGTTTAATGATCTGACATACAGTGCTCTCTAAACAGAGAAATGTTGAGAGTGAAAAGTGACTTTGAAAGGAATAAATCTTTCATGTCAAGCCACTTGGGCTACCTTCCACGTGCCTACTAAGCAAGACAGCAAATTATAAAAAATTCAGGTGGGATTTATTTTCAGTGAAGAAGGACAACCGAAAATTAATCTCACCGAATTATTTTGAAACCGATAATTAAGGTTTAGTCTTACTGAAATTAGGGTTTTTTTACGCGGATTTTTACTGTAGTTGTAGTACTGTATAATTTTCCTCTACATGTATTGTATTGTATTGTATTGTATTGTATTGTATTGCATTGCATTGCATTGTATTGTATTGTATTGTATTGTATTGTATTGTATTGTATTGTATTGTATTATAACGTTGTTTTTCGCATTGCCTTATAGAAAAAAGATCCTCAGAGCAACTCTAGTTAAAAATTCTGTTGGAGTCCCCTATCAATGGCAGAAAGTAGTCTCTTAACACAAATCACACGATCATGAACAAAAAATCGCCAAATAGCCTTTAAAGAAGAAAAAACCTTAACAACACCATGTATGCTTTAGAATACACAGATTCTATTACCAAATAACCTGCTTGTAAACAAACGGTGTCAGTATTCGCGAATGGATTCAATGGAAATATTGTAGAACAAGCTCCTTTTACATAAGAAAACATCACTTTTTGCCAAATCACAACCATCCATCCTTAAAAAGCACTATTTCCATTTATGAATAGTTGAAACATGACCTACCCTTCCCCGATGTAACTTTGTTTCTTTTCTGCAGCATATGATGGACCATGTTTGGAGAAATGATTGGGGAGGGGGGGGGGAGTAATTTCCATTCTGAAATCCATTCTGAAAGAAATTTTGATTTTTAACATCGACAGACCCCCTCTCTAAATACAGAGCAAGATAGTAAGAGCATTTATCTACTTGTCAGATGCTCTCAAGGTCTGCCCACCTTGATCATAGGCGTCTTCCAAATACTGCAATTCTCCGTCGTTATTGTATGACGCAATCGCTTGCTCCATGTACCGTTTAGCATCAATATGCTGTGATCTATCGTTGAGCAATGTGCCAAGCTGCAAAAAAAATTACAAAATCACTTTTCATTCGTACAAAAAGGCAAATCACATATTTCATTTAGTTCAAACAAAAACTGCAAAAAACATAACTCAGCCACAATTGTTAAAATACAGTATTGAAATAGAGTTATGACGTCACTAAAGTGATGGTGTCACAAAAATCTATTTTTAGAACTTTTAGAATTGAATCACATGACCTAAAAGAACATCATCAAAATACATCCCAACAAATCAGTGTAATTTGGTCTCTGCTAATAACTTTATGAACAAGGTGAAAGTAAAATAATATGTTAGCAAACTTTAAATCTTTTGTTGGTCACATTGATATTTACCAGATTTTGAGGTATTTCATGGTGTTTGTTAGGCTATGTGGTCAAAAGTGAAAAATCCTAAAAAATTATTTTAATGACGTCATACCTCACAGTTTATGTCTAACCGTGATCGATGGGGTGAGTGATGAGCTTGCGATCCTTGAGGTATAGCCCTTGTAATGTTGTAAGGTAGCTCGTAAGCGTATTTGTAAAATGCTATTAACATCGAATAGGCAAAATTTCGAGAGGCCCGCATTTTAATCTTGATAGGTTTTCTAGGTAGATTGCCTCCACAAATAGGATAAGATAAGGTTATCCTGCAACAGATTGCTTTCAAAAAGTGCTTGAGCAAAGCATCTGGCTGGATGTCAATCGATAACAATCCTATAATATGAATAACAATTCGACAGGGAATATGTCAATAAAATTCGATTCACCATGATGGAATCTTAACCAGTTGTAAGATTCCTTTTCAGCAGATGAATACTTAAACAAGCCCAAAGGAGCTCTACTTGAATTATACTAGCATACCTTGACACAAAGTTCGTTAAAATCTGGCCTTCTTGTTGGTATTTGATTCCAGCATGATAACATCACTTGATAAAGATTTTCTGAACAGTGTGACGGTCTCGACATCCGTTTTTCCTTCCTTAAGAAGGCTAATAATTTTTCAATGAGAGGGATATCTGAATATGGTAAATCTCCAAACGTAGCGATTTCCCATAATAGAATGCCAAAAGACCAAACATCGCTATCTGGAAAAGGAGAAGAAGATTAAAACCGTTTGAATCAATATAGGGTAAGAGGTAAGATAGTCAATTATAATAGTTATAATAAAAGTGACGACATTTTTTAACAAAATCAAAACTGCGAAAATATTTCTAATCAAAAGAAAAGTATTTTGAAAGAAAACATGCACATATTTGAACAATTTTTTTGCGGTACAGAACTTGAAAACTGGCTATCGATTCACAACTGGGTATATATTTTTCATCGTGTTCGTTTGGACCCTTATTCTGACGTTTTATACCCTGAGGAGTCTCAGACGAAAAAGCTTTTAGTAGTATGTTGTGAAATGTTTTCTTTTTTTCAAAGCAATCATAAATATATTTCAATTGCAGGCCGCAAGAAGCGCTCTACATTACCAATATAGTAAAGTTGTATACATAGATATTGTCTATAAACTTCGTGAAAACATTAACTTTGTAAGACGTCCTTGCAACTGTGTGGCAGTTTATTGAACGTCTCTGCACCCATGTTGACGAAGCACGATTAATGTCGTAATGGTAAGTTTCTTCATTTCACACGGTATTCATTGATGCCCTGTGTAGCTCTTACAGTACTTCGAACCAACTGTCAATCAACGAATGGCCAATCAATAAACGCGTCAGTGGCATTACGCTTATTGATTGGCCCATTTTGATTGGCAGATTGCTAAAGCCCCTTTAGTATATGTCGATTGCATTTAAGAACTGTCCAGAACACTGATGAATACCTATGAAATGAAGAAACTTAACAGTACGGTAAAGAATGTAAATGGCAAATAAACCCAAACTACTTTAGATGTGGGTTGAAAAGGAGGCTACTTGCGCAAAATCACAAGTGGCCTCCTTTCCAGTCTCCATCAAGAGGTCATGACAATGCTTACTTGTAGAGTATGTTCCACTGAAAAGAGCTTCGGGCGCCATCCACCGAACAGGTAACTCCCCACCTGTAGTCTTTTTATAGTTTGAGTTTTGATAAATCGATCTAGCCAAGCCAAAATCGGATATTTTGCAAACATTTTCGTGGCCTAAAAGAATATTTCTTGCGGCGAGATCCCTGTGGATGATCGACATTGAAGACAAGTACTTCATGCCAGACGCAATCTGCCATGCGAAAGAAAGCCATTCCTTATCAGAATCAGCAGAAAGGCTTTTTAAATTGACATAATGACTTCTAAGCAGTGTCCGTTCAGATCTGCAAAAGAGATTCAGCAAACAATCACGCCAACATACATTTTCGGTACAGTAAACCGGACAGCCTCGAGCAAAAACCATTCTCTTAAATTACATCTTTTTCTCCGCAGGCATTGCTTGGAAAATATATCTTTTTCGATTGATCATAAAAGGCTTATAATATTTTTGCCTAACAATCATGATTTGTGTGTGTTAGACTCTAAAATTTAGAGTACCACAAGAATCATTATTGGAAAGTAAAAAATAACATTGTTACCAATACAATTATTATCTTTTTAAATAATAGAGATAAAGCTGAATATCATAGCAATGAATAACGATTCAATTTTCTTTAACAGATTCCCAGTCTTTATTACGGACTTCGAGAATGGCCCAACGTATTAGAAATGGGGTCTAATCTAATCGCACCCTCAATTTCTAGAAATATAGGTAAAATAACAACTGAATCTCAAGTAGGCCGAAAATGGTGTTAAGACAATCAAAGGCAAATTATGCTTTTTATAAAAAAGAAAGAGAAATGAAGCGAAGATCAGATAAAGGTAGATAGAGGAATATTATTGAGTGACAAGACGAGTCCTTACCTTATATAATTGAGAAGAGTTCCATTTGGAATAAATTCTTCAACAATATAGACATTATCTTCCGTTATGCACCAGCCTATGAGACCAACGATGTTTGGGTGCGGCGATAAAGCTTTTAACACTCTCAGTTCATCAAGCATCATTTTACGTTCACCTAACCCAGCTTTGTCTTTTAGCATCTTCACGGCGATTTCCCTCGAAGGTAAATTAGCCTCATCCAAGGTACCCCTCAGCACGACTCCAAACATACCAGAGCCACAAATTTCTCCAAGGTTCATGTCTTCATATGAGAGGAGTTTTCCTAGATGATAAAAAGAGCTTTTCGAGAGTGAGAGGCATATTATAGGGGCTTTTCTAAAACTTAATCGTCTTTAAGGTGTGGCTACAGGATTTATTTAAAAAACAATATGATTTGTGAAAAAAGAAAATATTAACTGGATAAAATGCTTTGTTATCAATTTAGCCTTTGAATTTAGAACACAATTCAATACTTCAAATTTGTATTCAATTTTTTAACAAAATCGACGAGAAAATAATGAGTGTCTTTGAGATTGTAACTTATTCAAAGCCTTCTGTTAACGAAAAGTAACTAATTCAAAGAATCTGCATTGAAAATCTGCATATAAGAAATTAACTTATAAGAGAATGCAGGCTAACATTTTCAAACTTCAGGGCCCCCGCCACTGACCCAGAGGTGGAAAAAGTATCGGAACCTGGGAACGTAGTTCCCAGAAATTTTTCTGGATGGAAATATTAGCAGAAAGTTTCACAGAAAAGTTTTGAAGTGTTAAAGTAAATGTAAAAATCTGGTGACAAGAGTTAAGTCAAATCAGCATTTAATGTTATTTCAACTTGCCTGTAAGCATCTAAATATGAGCCGCCAATGGACTGTTGGGTATAGCCTCTTTCCATTGGAAAGAAATTCTTTGTGCACATTCACCATCTCACAGAAATCTCAACCACTCACCATCAAAATTTTTTTTGGCAGCTGAGCTTTTTAGACAAACCATTGTTTAGACTGAGATTAATATAGGGACTGGAATCTACTTTCACGGAAATTATTTCTTGTACTATGGTGTGAGCAGCATTGATCATAAGTTAATATGCTTGGTTAAAGTAATTTGGTGCATATTAGGACTCCATTTCAACCATATATTTCTTCACACTTGTCAAAGAATAGGCTGTGTTAAGCTTTCTCCGTAAAATGCACCATACAATTCAAATGATTTTGCCCCTGATTCTTCTGAAACTATGTTTAGAAATTATTGCCTTCTGATTTTGGTTTTTCCATCCCGATGATTGACTAAATGCATAAATTTCTGGCTAAAGTTGATTTCCATCTTATGTGCATTTATGCATCAAGTAAAGCCATATCTAATATGTTGAGTTAGGCCTACTCAGAGTCAGTTTCATATAAACGTCTTGAATTTCTTCAGCTAAATACAGTATTGTAGGCACAAACAGAACGTTTATTTGTCTACCCCTTAAAATCTTGCAGAAAGTTTTTAGCCAGATACTTAGGTTCCCAGAAAGAAAAAAGTTTTTTCCACCTCTGCACTGACCTTTCACTGGAGGGGTCAGCTATGTAAAGAAAGTTTTCCCTTGTGGCGTAGGCCCTGAACGCACCAAAATCTAAGAAACTGTTAAGTCTGAGTTTTTGCAGTTCCTTGTAAATTCTTGTATGGAATAAAAGCTTGTGAAATGATATAAATTTTCAAAAGCAGTTTTCCAGAAACCAACTAGCGCTGCTCTTTAAAACATTCATCCTTTCTGCCTAAATGTGTAAAACCATTATTTTTCAAGCTAGTCCTGCTATTTTCTTCAGCTAACAGAAACTGATCAGCCTGACCAGTCTGCTCTGAAAAAATGAGTTTCTTATATGCAGTCATTTACAATTCTTTAACAAGTAAAATTGGAATTGTGCGAAAACGAGCTAGAAAAAAAATAACACTCGCAATCCCTTTGTCACCCCTGACTGCCAGTCTCCATTTAAGCCAGACCCAGAACCATACGAATTTGCAGAAAAAATCCATGAACTGCAACCTAATACCTACCGAGCTGTACCCCGACAGATACGGCTTTAACGGGCAGTGCACAACATAAATCTATTATACCACTAGACTGTGATGGCCAAAGTGCAGAAAAATTACGGCTGTAAGCAGGAGAAAGGCCATGAAACAATGTAGTAGCTTGGAGAAAGGCCAATACATAACTTTTTTTTATTCATAGAGATTGACAACAATACAATTTTACATTGACTATACTACCCTAATTACTGTACTACACTACGGGGACGATACCATGAAGAGGGAAAGACAATGACTACCCCATGGCCGATACATAAAAACGCACAACATCAAACAAAGATAGAAATAAATATAACTAAAACTAGGTAAACTAATTACGAATACAGAGTAAACAGACAAAAAGTAGATGCTAATGTATAGGAGTGTGCAGCAATGGAATATTTAAAATCGTTCTGAAGCATGAATGAATTTGAGCATTGCCTGAAGTAGCTTCTTATTTGAGTCAATGGTTAATTGCTCGTCACCATACAAAATGAATTTGAGTAAAACTTCATTTGAAAGGGACGAATGAGTAGCGCATAACTTATCTAGTGAGAAGAACTTACCGTTGTGCTTGAACTTTTCTTTTTTCCTGACAAAGCGCAAAGACTAAACCATAGATGATTTACTTAATTTCCATTTCCATGAAACTTTTATTGAGTTGGTACAAGGAAATAACTGAGGAAGGCAAATGGGACAAAATGTCTTCCGACGGAAGGCTGAGGCGCCCGAAGGAACTCTGGTCATGCCAAAACTCTATAGAAATGAAAAGAAGAAATACCTTACCTTGGCCGAGCGGTAAAATGACAGCATAATTGTTCTCTGCATCTTCTGCCTTTTCTTGCTTGTTCGCATTTGTGGGCATCGTCTGCCTCTTGATGGACATTTTTTCTCGGGCCTTTCGTATGGTTTCCACTGAAGGAACCGAAGGAGCACGGGCCGGGTAAATGTATTTTGGCTCCGCGATCAATTGCTCTTGATCTCCCACGGCTGTAGTTTCGTCCACTTCGTCGCTCTTGCGGTGATAAATGATGCTGGAACGGGTAAAGCTTGGCTCTCGATCAAGATGACGGTGACGCTTGGCAACGATGCATGCCACACCAATAATAATGAAGATTACGATGAAACCTGAAATGATATAAGGTCAGATACAGAAAAACGCAAACAGGTCCTTGTCATTTGTAACATAAACATAACACGGATCAAACTTTCTGGATCAAAAATAAAAAATTTCCGTAACTTGAGGGAGTAATGCTTACAGCTATTTCTAAGGTACTAGATATTTCCTAAATTTCAGATTTTTAAGTGCTTGTTCTTCTGTAAAGAAATCATTGTTTACTTTTCAGATTAAAGAATCTTAATAAAAAGCTTTTATGAGGACTTCATACTTGTATTCTGGGTAGCACTTTAAGCGATTTCATTACCTGCTAACAGTGGACAGTATTGATAAATTATGGGTCACACCTCGTTTTTCGCATTCCAGTTTCTCCCTATGTTCAGGTATCTAAACCGAAATATACGGGCAACAACAAAGACACCGAAATCTCTTACCTGTTGTGCATGCAATGATTATAATTGTTTTATTTGTCGACTTTTCCTTCTGGGCTGCTGGCTTGCCACCTTCATCCCTTTGAACAGCATCACCTTTCGCTTTCACTGTAATGATCTCCCAATCAATACCATTCTCATTTTTCCCAGTACAGTTATACGTCCGGACACCTTTGACAGACTGAATCAAATATCCGAAAGTTGTTTTTACTTGCCAGTGTTTTGCACCGTGCTGAATATAGTTCTTTGCTAAAATTTCACCATTGCTTATCCACCATATTGAAGGGGGTGGAAAACCCTGTACTTCGCAAATTATCTCAAGTGATTCACCAGGAGCAACGGAATACTCGGGCCCCTGTGTTATCATTACTTCTGGCTTCATAAGGATAACAACCTTGGCCTAAAAAAAAGTAAAAGATAAATTCCCATTTAACCCTCTACATACCAGTAATACGCTTTTGACAAATGTTCAAGGGGTACATCATATCACCCCATCCTCTATGGAACAAAGATTTAATTCACTGGGTGCCAATGTAACGGTTTTGTAGAACCAAGCTCAAGATACAACTCCAAAAACAATTATGCGAGTCAAATACGTAATTTTTAGATTCGTTCATCTTTTGACCGTATCTTATCATTATTATGTGAGCACTGCTGTTTTCGCGGGCCATTTCCCTCGCACCACCCGCCATGACCTCGTCCCCTTTAGTTTCTTCCACTTGTTTGAAACAGTTCGCTACAACATTAGAAATAAAACACATTTCCTGTTGAAAAGAATTTGCTAATAATAACAGAGACAAGAAGTTCTGATATAGGGCCAGAAGATCCATTTCTTAGCTTCGGTAAAAAAGCTAATGATGTTTGCTTACTACAAACTAAATTGAAAAGTTAAAGATAAATAATGGTTTTGTCTATGTGTCAGAAATTGAATATTATATGTATCTTTCATTTTGTCTGTATCTTTCAATTAAAATCTGAAATTGTCCCAAAAACATCCAAAAATTAACATCCGAACAGTTTGAAATTAAAGCACAAAATTCAAATATTTGACAGGTAAAAAAATCATGTTTTTATTTTGTGTGTCATTTTAAAATGGCCTCTTTTTTATTTTACTTACCGAGGCAGTTATGGCACCCTTTTCATTGTTAACTGTAACGGCGTATAAGCCATTGTCTTCAGCTTTTGCTATTGATACCTCATAACTTGTTGTGATCAGCGAACCAGTCTAGAACCAAACAATAAACGGTATATCAAAGCTCTTTCTTTTAAAAAAATATCCTTTGACCAATATTAACTATAAACTAGGTTCACTTAAACGCGGCTAGAACGCTTTGGGTCAGTTTGTATTGCTTTTATTAAATCTTGCTTGACATTCAATAAAACTACTAAGTTTCGAGGTGGCCTTCTATGGAACAACATGCCTGATTTGATGAAGTGAACCTCCAGTTGCCAAACTGGTGTGGAGGAAATTGCATTCTTTAGATTTGTAGATGATGTTTACATTATATACAACATATAATATTTCATTATAGATTTCTTCTTCTTGTCAATAGTTTATGTAAATAAGTTCAATTAATTATATATCTTAGAACGAGAACTCTGTACAAACTCAAAATTAAGACATTGTATTACCATTATAGTTTATCAGTGGGCAGAGAATAGAAAATGTACACAAGAGGTCAGCCTAGCGCTACACGACGAAATTTGAAACGGGTATCAAATTTGGAATCGCTTTATCATGGCAAACATCTTGCAATCTTGAGCACAGCTGTTAAGACAAACCCCTGAAAGCATACCGGGCAGAGCATGGACGTAAATTCTAACACTTTTTCCCTCCTCCAGTCAAAGCTGGTGCATATGTGCCTTAATAGCTGAGAAATAAACATTGAAATTGGGAGGGGGATGTAAAAGCTCAAGGCCATTTCTGCGGGATTGTAGCCCTAGCGACTTTTAAGAGGCTGAACTCAAATCCCTAGCATCATCACACATTATATCAAGGGCACAGATGGGATTCAATTTTGGTATCTGCTATCTATTCTGATAAATTCATGTAGGAAGATCAGAAAACATAACATATTCACGGTTAACAAAAAATCGAAAAGCAGCAACATCTCATTGAATTACTTGTAGTCTGCCCCTCGTACAGCCCCTCGTACAGCCCCTCGTACAGCCCCTCGTACAGCCCCTCGTACAGCCACTCATACAGCCCCTCATACAGCTCCACCTGCACCCCCAAGCAATTGCATTTAAACTGTTCATCACAAGCATTTTCACCTTATTCCAACTGATGTCCCTCTTCACAACTTGATCATTTCGCAGCCACGTGATCTTCAAGTTGTAATCACTGCCATAAAACGAGGCAACCAGCTTGAAGCGCTGACCCGCGTTTAAGGTTTTATTTATTGGCTTTATTTTCCAAGTTGGATTTTCAACGACGTTTACTTGAATATCTTGAGAGCTATAACCCACTTTGTTTTTAGCTGTGCAGACGTATATGCCACCTTGACTCGGTAAAGCATAGGCAAAAACAAGTTTGTGTCTTTCCATCTAGGTGAAGTAAAAAAGAGAATTCGCAATAAATATTCGTTTAATAATCGAAACAAAAATTGACAATAAGTAAGAATGACAATCAGGATCCTCAAAAACACAATGATATATATTAAAGGTAGTTTGGAGGAGGAGAGTAGGGGAAAACTGACTCGGAAGCAACATAACAAAAAACAAAAACGCATTCAACATAAGCGACATCCCAAATTCACTGTGTTGAAATTTCTGCTTTCTCCAGTAAAAAGTAAAAATCACGCAACTACCTTGAGAAAACAAGTAATTACCATATCCCTATCAGCCATAAAGTGTTGAAGCATGACTACCCCCCGTCAGGGGGTTGCAGCTCCTAATATGTTTTCTATTACCTAATATGTTTATGAAAGAAACCCGATGGGAACCAACCGAACGGAACCCCCTTCCAGGTGAACTTTGATCCCCCCCCCCCCTCCTCCATATGAATTTCGATCCGAAGACACCAGTGAGTTTTTGCAAATTTAAGCAACGGAGTTACGCAACAATGATTGGGGGGGGGGGTGTTAAAAAACTAATTAGATTTTCGTGCCATACCCTTCAAGTCACTGGTAAATGATGGAAACGCCCATTTTTAAAATTCTGTTTTTAACTTCAAGGTAAAGAAGATAAGAAGATAAATAAAGTAAAATCTTGGCGTTACTCTGTTACTTGCTGACTGCCAAAAAAAAATTTTACCGCATGGAAGCAAAATTTACCGAAGGACACAGAAATATTGGGGGTGTCGCACCTTCTACGACCCCTGTTAAATCCGTCCCTGAGTGTGCCTCTTCCAGTGTAACTGAATTATCGTTTATAAAAATGTTTCTCAATCAAATTAAAAATATATGACTGCATTTGAACTTGGTTGATAAAAGGCAACGGTGGAAATAAAAGGGGGTTAATCGAAGAAAACCTTGCTCTTCTGAGCAGCAGGGGGTTGATTTTGGCGAGGTTAATCGGCACGTGTGCTAATGTCTCTACTGAGAGGCAGGAGTTTTGTTACTCCTCAGTAAAATTGCTCTTTGCCCAGGTCAAAAGAATCAACTTTTATGCATTTTTTAACATCCAGATAGAGCAGAGACAACAACTTCTCCTAATCTAGCAACATACGCCATGACGCAAAAATGCAAAACATTTCTGGATCTCCGCTCCAATCAAGATTTACACACGTCAAAACTTTCATTACAAACAGTTTGATAAAAAATAAAGGATTCGTGTTTGTAAATTTTATGATCGAATCGTTTTATTGCGGTAGTCTTGCGTATACTATATTAGATGGTAACATTTTCGACAAAATTGCATCATCCTCCGAATCTTGAAAAAGGCTGTTACGTAAGGAAGTGCCCATCAATCACAAGTCATGTAGAAAAGACAGTTTATTCATTGATTGTTTCAAAAAATGGCTTTCACAAAGGGAAGGCCAAACAAATTTAATTTATCTTGGTTCCTAGCATACAAAATAAATCCAGTTGCGTAATCTTCGATTTCGCCGAAGCAGCAAGATTTAGTTCCAGGAAACCGAAATCTCTCTTTACGTTTCTAGCTTTGAGACAGCCACGTAGCTGCAGGGGGGCATTGGGGGCTGTAACCCCCAAATGACAATTTTGACAACAGCTTGCCCCCCTGGCTACAGTTTTTCCAAATGATATTTTGAAAATTTGGCATATTTAGAATTCCATGACCTTGATTTTGTCCAAATATATCTGTTTGTTATATATCTGTTTTCTTGTTTTAAAGCCTGCCACTCTCAGGTATGGTTCTTGCTCGAGTTTGCCCTCCCTAGCCGACACCTACAGCTACGTGGTTGCTTTGAGAAGCCTTGAAATCGAATCATTGCAAGCAAATATACAAATACATAATAGAGGACGTAATGGCCTTCAATGATCCTTTGAGTATAGTGCATAGTTTCAAGAAAAATTAAGTGCGTTCTGTAAGGATACACTGGATAACATTGTGATACAAAAGTAAAATGAAAAAATTCTCAGAGAATCCAGTGAGGGTGATCTGCAGAAGAAGTTTTCTGCAAAATGCCCTTAGACCTAAATTTACTCCCCCCACCCCACCACAAATTATAGTCTTCTTGTTATGACCTTGAATAAGTAGAGAAATTATGCATGAGAAGACTAATTCAGCTTCTATGGAAATTTTACAGGGAGAGCATTCTTGAAATTCAATTTCTATTATTAGAAAGAAAGGCAGCTGGGGGAAGTACAACTCAACTCATGTACCTCTGAATAGCCATCAATGAAGTTTAGATCAACTTAAAAAGCACACTATTAATGTTGCAGAAAACAAAAGAATGTTTATATGTTGAGCCTTGGCTCAAAATTTGTGGCTTTGTTTTATTCTGGGAAACCTGGCTTTATCAAAAACCTCTCCTGCAATTTACCCTTGCACAAATTTGGGCTTGCTGTTGCATTTTCTCTAAGTTGCTTTTTATTTTTTATTTTATCATCTTACAAAATGTCATAGCTCTGACCCGCGTAATAAATATCAGAAAATGTAGAATAAGGTACTGAGCAAATTTATAAATAACATTACTAAAAACTCACCACTACATGATTGTTCCCTAACTTTGAATCCTTACTCTCACATGAGTAAGTAATATCAGTTGGCACTCCATCAGCTCTGCATTCCATTCTATACTCTTGTCCTCTATACAGCGTCAATTCATTTGGAGGAAAGCCTTGCAAGAACCTTGGAATGTAAAAACTAACAACTTTAACTGTTATGGTATGGTTGTCTCCTTTACCCATGATGCTGTGACCCTCACATGAATAGCTTCCTGTATCTGAAGGAGCCAACTTATAGAAACACATCCTATGGTTTGAGATATTGGCTATGCTGCCCCATTTGTGAAAACTGCAAAAAAGAGAATTCTATATGAAAAATGCCCTTGAACATACCAAAATTTTGAGCAAAGTGAGTGTTAATACAGATACCATGCCAATTAGGTTGAAAAAGGCTGTGGTCAGGTAGGCTAGAGTAAAAAAGGGTCTGGCAATAAATTGTTAAAAATATACTTGAAAATGCAGGGGTTATAAGCATCAGCATAAACAAAAAGGTAGGTCTACTGACAAAACAACATTATCTATCTGTCTTGCATATTATGCTGTCATTTCATATCATATCATTGTCTGACAATCATATCAATGCAAAACTAGGGGCTGCTATTAACAACCAGTTCCCTCTCTACATGATCATATCAATGCAAAACTAGGGGCTGCTATTAACAACCAGTTCCCTCTCTACATGATCATATCAATGCAAAACTAGGGGCTGCTATTAACAACCAGTTCCCTCTCTACATGATCATATCAATGCATAACTAGGGGCTGCTATTAACAACCAGTTCCCTCTCTACATGATCATGTCAATGCAAAACTAGGGGCTGCTATTAACAACCAGTTCCCTCTCTACATGATCATATCAATGCAAAACTAGGGACTGCTATTAACAACCAGTTCCCTCTCTACATGATCATATCAATGCAAAACTAGGGACTGCTATTTACAACCAGTTCCCTCTCTATATGATCATATCAATGCATAACTAGGGGCTGCTATCAACAACCAGTTCCCTCTCTACATGATTATATTAATGCAAAACTAGGGGCTGCTATTAACAACCAGTTCCCTCTCTACATGATCATGTCAATGCAAAACTAGGGGCTGCTAGGGCTGCTATTAACAACCAGTTCCCTCTCTACATGATTATATTAATGCAAAACTAGGGGCTGCTATTAACAACCAGTTCCCTCTCTACATGATCATATCAATGCAAAACTAGGGGCTGCTATTAACAACCAGTTCCCTCTCTACATGATCATATCAATGCAAAACTAGGGACTGCTATTTACAACCAGTTCCCTCTCTATATGATCATATCAATGCAAAACTAGGGGCTGCTATCAACAACCAGTTCCCTCTCTACATGATCATATCAATGCAAAACTAGGGACTGCTATTAACAACCAGTTCTCTCTCTACATGAAAGCCCTAGAAAGAGTCCGATAAAAAGCCCCCAAAACTAGAAGTGGATCACTTAGCATGTGTCAAATTTGAAAATCATTTGCTTACAGTAAAAATCACTTGTGCATAAATTGCAATGACTACATACTTAGCACATCTTAGGCCTGTCTTTACCATAAGCAACTTAACATGCCATGATTTTATTGAAAATTCCTTATTTTTCTTGAAATTTTTGAACTGTTATTTTGTAAAACATTGACAGGGTGAACTGAAGATTTTTCCTTTATTAAAACAGCTGTCACAAAAAAAGCCCTGGGTGGAACAGACAACTTTCAATAGAACTTTGATATGAAAAAAAGAACATAAAGCAGAACATGCAGCAAGTAGAAATTAAGGAAAAAAGGAAAAACATTCTGTGGTATTGATATTGACAACTTCAATAGAGCCAACAAAGCAATCTTTATGCTTTGAAATTAATTATATATGTTGTCACAAATTATCTCTTGCCCCAGATAACCAAAATTGTAGCATTCAGGGGGAATTCAATTGGAATCTGTCAAAGTTGTGCAATCAGAATATTTTTTGCAGTTATTTCTTACAATTGTTTAAAATGTTTTATCATTTTTGGCACACTTTTGTTGCATTTGATTATTTCCATTCTTCAAATGGATTTCATTACTTCAACAGGTCCTTTTTGACCTTAAGACTCTTGGGCTGGGGCAATTTGCCCCTCTCTTGGCAGCCCTGACAACAGTAAGTAAGCTTAAGATATACGAGAATGGATAGTGTCCCTCCCATCCTTAATCCTTTTGAGGACGCTACTTGCATAGAATATTGTATCTGTTATTTTCTTTAAGTCTCCTATTTTGTGTCCTGGTAGGTGTAGGTTACAATTTCCATCTATGTTTATCCTTGCCTTTTGGGAGATAACATTGTCTAATCTTAAAAAAATTGAAGCTGACCAGTAAAGAATTCTATTGTCCTCTACGATTGCATACGGGGATAGCTCAGTTGTTAGAGGCGCTGACTATAGACCCAAGGGTCCGTGGTTCGAGTCCCTGGCATGACTAAACTTTCGAATAGAGTGAGGACAGTCGCCTGCTCTCTGTAATTCCAACCATAGGAATCACGAGGTGTGGTCACATCGAGAGGAAGGACCAGGACACTGCTCCATAAGCATAAGCTTCCTCAGTGTCCTAAAAACTACCTTCGGATGCTACGTAGAAACAGATACAAATACAAAGATAGAATTGTTTGCTGCCCTTTCAAAGCCCACTTATTCATTTAACTGAAATAGAATAATTTATCTATTTCTGTGCAGCACTCAAGGTCTGAATAATTTGTGCACTGAAGACAAAGAATAATTTTTTTTGTACAACAAACTGTGCAGCAACAAGATTTGCTGTGCACCATATTATCCAGTGCACAACGTTTCATTTCCATACTGGGTCAGTTCTGGCGTTAACAGCCTAACTCTGATAAATGGGGTAAGTATTTGTCGATTATCAGTTTACATTTCGGGTATAGTCATCATCTAGAATTCAAAACAAGGTATATATGTTTTATGACTCACCTTTTCCCTTCACCATCTCTAGGTATTTCAATGCCATTTTTGTACCATGTAACATTCACGGGATAAGGTGAATAAAACTTGCAAAATAGACACCTTTGTTCATTTTCATATGCAGTGAAGGATTGAATACTTTTCAAAAATTTTGGGCCTGAATGGCATAGGGCTGGATAAAACAACCAGAACAACTGAAGGAGATATATCAATCTTGGCAGCATCTTTGGTTCCTTTTGATTATTTTCATAGTATTAGTCTTTTGATCCACTTCTGTCTAGATCCATCAATGTCTAAGGAACTTCTATTCCAACAAAAACGAAACCGAAACCAACCCCAATATGAGTTTCCCTCCCAGCCTCTCTCCAGCGCAACAGGAAGTAGACCAAAGTCTCAAAACTCTGACGTGAGAAACCAAATGAGGTTGCAGGAAGTATGTGGGTGTATTGCATTTGGGTGCGCCAGTGCAAGAAAGGAAATTAAATTCCATACGTGATTATATATAACAGCAGATGCAATCACCCAAAAGGGCATTTTGGGATTACTGTTATCCTAACATTCTCACCCGGAAGCAAAGTAGACTCAGAAGTAAAAACAAGATTGAACTTGAGTACTCTGGTTTCCTAACTTTTTGGAAATTTCAACACCCGTTGTTTCTTAGGAATTTCTTAAATATGACGCCATAAATTTTAACGCTGGCATCCTTTTTCAATTTTTTCACGCTAAGAAATTTCCCAAGAGACACACGTTGGAAGGATTTTCTTCGCTTCAGTTCATCAATGATTCTATCATATTCAAATTCTTGTGACACTTCTGTGAAGAGATTTTCTTTAGTTCTAATGCTATGCGTAGATGAAGGAAGTGTATTTTTTAGTACCCGAGACTCTATTTTCTATGCCAACCAGCCAGTCATCATGATGGAATGCCACAAAATTTCTTAATTCTCGACATTCTCAAAAGTAAATTGTTTTTTATTTCGGTCTTACGTTTTATATTACCAAAAAAGTTTTTACAGTTTCTTAAAGGTAATGTGTCTAGCTAAAGCAAACAACTCTGCGGGGGTTTTTAGAAACATGTGATTTTTCATGTCATCGTCCCAGCCATTACAGTCGTTCTGTTTATTTATCCTGCTGCGAGGTTAGCTTTTCATGTGAGCAGTTTTGCATCGCAAGAATACTAACCAATCGCAAACCGTTATTTGATGGGTGGCTTGACAAGTTGGGTATACGCAGTCCTTTTATATGGACACATTACCTTTCAATACCAAGTGCTAATCGAAGAGCAGTTCACTCTTGCAAATAGTGTATGAGATTTCAGAGAAAAGAGCCCTTGCCGCCAATTCCAAACTGTGGGCAGCCAGTTAAATGCTTCAAAATATTTGGGGGCTCATCGCCCCTAAACAATGCTGCATTGATCTTGGTTTCGAAGAATTCTCCTTGCACACAGATTGTCAATTCTCTTATCACTGTCAGCTTTTTTCAATATCAGATCAATTTATCTGCTGCTATCTACCAGTTTCTCAATAATAATTTGGGCTATCTTGAATTTGGGCTATCTGGAAATTCTGTTAAAGTCTTATATATTTGTACTTGTCGAAAAGCATGCTTGTTAAGTCCAACTTGTCGAGTAGCATGCATCCCCTATTTAAAGTTGGTACACAAGTACTTTAATAGCAGAGATATCCCAAAAACTGGGGGAAGGGGACGAAAAATCTTAAGACCGCCTTGTGAAACCATGTTCTGCTTTGCAATAAAAATAGCAGCCTGACTTTAAATAGCCCGCCCCCTTTTTGCCGCGCCGTTGTCCATAGTTATTTAACGTTTGCCGAAAATGGTTTTTCTTAGGACGGTGGAATGGCCAATCATCGTGGGCTAAGGGCCTAGACTGCTTGTAGAAGGACACTATAGATGTACCTTTTGAATTCGTCTTTTTAATATCAGAAGAGCTTATTTAACTACTCTAACCACAGGAAAGAAAAACGAGTACGATTTATATACAATTTAAACTAGCAAAAACGTTTATGCGTAACAAACTTTCTCATTTTTATTATTGTAATAATTCAGGCCCGTCGCTAGCTATGGTGCTTAAAGACGGTTTCCAGGTCCCATTTCCCGACAAAGTGGATGGGCCATCAATTATTTGCCGACAAGTTTGAACATTTGCTGACTAAGCACCCCTTGATGGCGAAAAACTCTTCGTTTTCGCCACGGAATGTTTTTCGAGAGGGGTGTCACACCCCACACCTATAGCGACAGTCCTGGAGAATAAGAAACCTATCAAGGTGTCATAATTTCATCAGCACTGATTCCATCATGATCTGAATTTTCTAGCGAGCAGCGCCAAAGAAGGAACAAAAATGGTACAAAGGATTTACTGGCATAGCCAGAAAGTAAAACAAATTGTTAAGCTCTGGGTAGCTTTTTACAAAAGAGCCTTCTTCGCTAAATGTGGTTGCTAACTTTTTAAAATATGGGTCAACAAATTGAGGGGTGTGAGAACATAATGATAGAAAATGGCCCCCTACTGTCTCTAGGCAACTCCTTTGATGAAAGGAAATGGTACTCTACTGTCTCTAGGCAACTCCCTTCTAACAATCGGTACAGAAAAACTTATAATCTGGAGACAAATCTAAAGAGCGGTTCACTTGTCAATAGGAACGTGTGAAAACACCGTCCTATAGATAACAATTAAGGTATACAGTAAATAAAGGAAGTATTCTGATGAGTGAGCCATCCCCCTTACTATATCTAACCCAAACATCGATAGGGGTTGCTCTGTGTTCACAACGACGGGGATGTGTAGTCTTGATAGCGCATTCTTGAAATCTTTTGGGTGATTCAGTTTCTAACAAGCATCACTGGTAATCAAAATGTATCCAATTTAGTGATGATTAAAATGTTTCATTTAAAGAAGGAAATGAGGACTTCTGAAGCGTTAGAGGACAGAAAGACATGGCTTGTTTGAATATCTTCTGGTTCGTCTGAATTTGTCCCAATATCATCAAATCAGGAATCACAAAAATGCATTGTGGTGTATCCGCATTTCTTAGAATTGGTTTTATAGTCTGTGCATTCACAATGCACTCTAACTATTCTGTTCCACAAAAAGAGCAGAAACCTGAAAAAGAACACGGTAGTACTGTAAGGCCAATTTTCTAATTTTGTCTTGGTTAAGTCAAAAGGAAATAAGATACAGGTTTTATTGACTTTTGAGCAGGGACGTCGGAGCACATTTTGAGGTGGGAGGGGGGCACTAGACGAATTTGCAATTTTATGGTTGTTTTTCCAACATCAATTCTCTTTGATGCCACAACATCAATATCATACTCGAACAAAAAAGTGGGGGCATGGCTAAAGCCCCAAGCATCTTCCCCCAGCACCCCCAGCCCATCCGGCTCCGGTGTGCCTGTCAAGCATCCCAAACCAAATTTTGAAGATGCTATGGGATTTGAGAAAAACGATTGCCCGGAGTCTTACCAATGTGTGCACTGGGGCAATGAAGGTAATCACACAAACAAATGAACTTTGAATAGTATGAGAAACTTCGTTTGCAAGGGGTTCTGGGGGCTTTCTGGGGATGCTTTGAATCTGAACCAGGTATTAAGAATTTATAATCTATATTATTTCTTATGATAAATATATATGTATTTTTATTTTGTGGTATGTATTACTTTGTAGTAGGCTTGAATTAGCTTTTATTTTGTAGCTATCTTTATATTTCTACTTTAAATAAATAGATGATAATAATATTAATGGTATTGGCGGGTTGGGCATTTGACAAATTGGACGCTCTGCCTTACGCAGGAAGTAAATGACCTGTAGATTGATTCAAATCAATTTAAAAAAGTACTAGCAACTTACATTTTTATATATCTATATACTTTTTTGAATTCACCATTGCAGATTTTCATTGATTAATTCTGAAACTTTTATTCGATCAGCCTAGAATAAAATGATACAAACTTATCAATATTGAATAAAATACTATAATTATTAGCCAGTATACGTCAAACAAAGGAACCAAAAGAAAGTGACGTCACCACAAATTACTCACCATCGGAAATGAAAATGTAGTGGTAAGAAAATCAGGCCTCGTCTCAGATTTCTTTTACCATCTTAATCAATTTGATAGCCACAAAATAATTTCGCAGAAGTAAAAAAGCAAGGAACTGCAACTCTCCGGAAACGTTTGTTAATGCTGGTTTTTGTAGACAAAGTCGGTGCTAGTTTACAATCGAAAAAATCAGGCTTTGCGCCCAAATGCAACAGGGTAGCTTTTAAAGCTTCGATTTTCATGTCGCAAATTGACCCACAATTTATTTGCAAATTTAGCCACAGTGTTCTTAACAGGTGTGTGTATAAAAAAAGGAATGTAATAGGTAACAAAACATTGAATCTTATCATTACTGATGACACGTTGATATGCATATTTACTTCATGAATATCGATAAAAAGGGTGCAGATAAAAAAAATACACTACACTAATTCATCTTGTAACAAGGAGTATAATAAGTATATTAATAGCTGTGCAGTCATCCAGTTTTAACCTTTTTAATACTGAAAATACCAAACACAAATCTGACCCTCTTTTTTATAAGAATACACTTTGTAAGAGCACCGAAGTTTAATTTGGCAAAAAAAGCAAAGAAGACGGTACCAATTAATCGACTGTGCTACTAAAAATTGCCATGCAAACTTCAATTTAATTGTTTTAGAAGCTAAAATTATCCATAACAATGAGAACATCCAGCCTCGGCAAAAATTATCTGGTCTAGTAAAAAAGAGAGAAACTTAAGAAAATATGTCTTAGTGCGTGTAAAGAAACTCACTCCATTGATGAAGCCATATCTAACTAATTCATCCGCTAATTCTTCTGACTTCTCGCCAAATTGCACCTCACAGGTAAGCTGTCGATTCATTCTATCTTCAAATTTTAGTAGAAGTGTCATCTAAAATTTGAAATATTTTATGATGGTTTATGACTATATATGATGGTCTAGGCGGTAAAGGAAAATTTATGATGATTTATAACGACTTATGATGATATATGGCAGTTGAGGACAATTAATGATGATTTATGATGATTTATGACGATATATGATGACATATGATGGTTGTGGAAGATTCACGATGATCTATGACGATCTATGAAGATTTATGGCGAACAATGATGATATATGGTGGCTGAGGACAGATTATGACGATATATGACAATATATGATGGTATATGGCAGTTAAGAAAGATTTATGATGATCTATGACGATTTATGTAAATTTATGACAATATATAATGCTATATGGCAGTTGAAGACGATTTACGGTAATTTATGACGATTTATGATGATTTATGACGATTTATAAAGATGTATGATGATATATCACGATTAAGGACAAATTATAATGAAATATGACGATTTATGACGATTTATGACAATAATAACGATTACTGATGATGACTGTGACGACATTTAATGACGGCAGGTGATAATCATGATGGCATGATGTTACAAATAGTGATGTTAATGAAGTAGATTATGATTATGATTATGAGCAACATCATCGATGACGAAACTGCAAATTACCTGCTTGGTAGCTGCTTCTTCTGACGTTATGACGCTGCATTGCATATTAACTACCTAAAAGGGATGAAAATTTCGCTTTACACAAAGCATTCAGTGATTTACCGCATGCAAAGAGAGATTTTTGAACAGCAATCAAATACAAATTTGGCGTCTGATCCAGTTAACACGATATAAAGTTAAAAGCGATGTTGTAGATTGTAAGTAATTAAAAGCTTATGATAAGACTTCGTCAACTTCTCATGCGGAAATTGCCGTATATGTTGGACAAAATCATGGCTCATAAGACGCATAAAATGCTGGGCTACATTGTTTACGTATGGTATCAAAGTTTTTGCTGGCATTCGATAAATAAACCTGAATGTATTTTCAAATGAAACGAAGCTGATGTTTTTCATGCAATATTTCTGTGGACACTTTTAGCTGAGCATCCCTTTATAGTCCTGAGCAAGCCATATATGCTGGGAAAACATATATGCATGTATGGTATCAAAGTTTTTGCTGGCATTCGATGAATAAACCTGAATGTATTTTCAAATGAAACGAGACTGATGTTTTTCATGCATTATTTCTGTGGACACTTTTAGCTGAGCATCCCTTTATAGTCCTGAGCAAGCCATATATGCTGGGAAAACATATATGCATGTATGGTATCAAAGTTTTTGCTGGCATTCGATGAATAAACCTGAATGTATTTTCAAATGAAACGAAACTGATGTTTTTCATGCAATATTTCTGTGGACACTTTTAGCTGAGCATCCCTTTATAGTCCTGAGCAAGCCATATATGCTGGGAAAACATATATGCATGTATGGTATCAAAGTTTTTGCTGGCATTCGATGAATAAACCTGAATGTATTTTCAAATGAAACGAAACTGATGTTTTTCATGCAATATTTCTGTGGACACTTTTAGCTGAGCATCCCTTTATAGTCCTGAGCAAGCCATATATGCTGGAAAAACATATATGCATGTATGGTATCAAAGTTTTTGCTGGCATTCGATGAATAAACCTGAATGTATTTTCAAATGAAACGAGACTGATGTTTTTCATGCATTATTTCTGTGGACACTTTTAGCTGAGCATCCCTTTATAGTCCTGAGCAAGCCATATATGCTGGGAAAACATATATGCATGTATGGTATCAAAGTTTTTGCTGGCATTCGATGAATAAACCTGAATGTATTTTCAAATGAAACGAGACTGATGTTTTTCATGCATTATTTCTGTGGACACTTTTAGCTGAGCATCCCTTTATAGTCCTGAGAAAGCCATATATGCTGGTGTATGCAAATATCAGCACCTAAAACAGTTTTTCATTGTCGTGTTCGAAGTGGCAAAGAAATAATTTCATCAAGATATATTTTTAGAGCTAGTCTTTCTTTACCCTTCTTAGACCCTCCCTGCACGTGGTACTTCATGCGTGTATCGATCAACAAACGTTCCAATGACATTACGAAATGCTACAGATTGCCTTCCTAAAACATATATTACTCACTGCTCGTGTCTCCTCCTCTGGTTCCGGACTCGGCGTTGATCCGACCTCTTCTCGGATTGGAATTTCCGCTCTTAAAATAGAAATAAGCCACTTCAAAGAAAAATTTTTTAAGAATAACTGGTTCAAGAGTGACATCAATTCTTTACCCCTTTAAACAAATGTCTGGCTTCTTGCAAAAAAATATTTAGTCAAAATTTTCTTTGCTTTAAATTTGGCTTGATATTTTAGAAAGGGTTGTTAAATGAAAGTGGAAACGAAATAAGCTTTAAATTCGTGAAAAAGCTATAAAACCAATTTTTAAAGGAACTTGGAGATGATTTTTAAAAGCGCACCCTTCGTGTTAGCTTCCCCTTGGAATAAGCCTCCCTTTCGAATAAGCCCCCATCTATAAACTATCAAGTTTAATAACCCCCAGGGGAATGTTTCGAGGAATTACAGTACTTTGAAAACAAATGTTGGGGAACACAGCTTGCATTTTACTTGAATCAGTGACGGCAATAAAGCTTCTACAGCGGCGTGCAGGAAGTGCAACTTTCGGTTCAACTCGCAGCAGTGACCACTCCTCAAATAGTTCGGAAGGCTAGAAAGACTATTTCTCAAGAAACTTTTCATGGTACACTTTCGTAACATGTTTCAAAATGTTTGCCTCTTTCCAAGCCACTTCTGGCGAGGTTCCCTTTATTTTCATTCTCATATAATATTTTAAAGCCCTCTACAGATCATTGCTCTTTATCTATTTTCTACCTCTATTTTCTACCAGTGGTATCATTTCCGTAAACATAGAAATTGCTTCCAAACTTGCGCTGATAAAACAATAGTTTCAAGATTCTCCTTTCCTTTAAGACATTTAATTGAGGATTTTCAATCTGTATTAAAACCGTGTTAGCCTGGATTAATACAGCTTTGCGGTTATTACAAAGGTTACGAAGACCTACGTGGTCTGGAACAAGTACAAATAGTAAATTACAAAGCCTCTAGTAGGCACAGCTAGCCTCGATATATTGAGGAGATAAATGAAAACACATCTTTCTAAGTCGATGAAAATGGTCCAGGTTGCCGATATGGTCTTGAACAAAACCAATGCTTTATTGGTTTGATAGCAAGTTCAATCAATGGAATTAAACATACTTTGTTCTGTTTAGCAAAGGGTGACTTTCTTTTTTGCTTCTTGAATGTTGCATACCAGTTAAAGGGTAAAGGCCAATTCTGTTAAGAACAAAAGAACAAATGTGAAAATGACAAAAGTCAGTCTGGTTTAAAAACAGCAGACAGAAATAACCATTGTAAAAATTGTGTTCCAAAAATTGTCTTCGGAGCTATCGTATTTTTTTACTTCGAATATAAATTTATGCTGAGCCTTTGAAGGTTCGTGCAATTTTTCCCCAAAACGCTCTAATGATGGAAGGAAATCGTTCCAAAAATAGTGCATTTTGCTCTTGCCCCTTTCCTTCTTTGCCTTCGTTAGAAACGCATTTGTGTTAATTTGTAATTTACTGATTAAACATAATCTCATTAGACAATATCAAGATACAAGATTGAAAACATTCATCGCTTGAAAACGTATCAGAACATACCTCAATTCTTCTAGAAATTTCTCTAATTCAAGGGGTTGTACTTTTGAATACCTGAAGAGACAAAATCAGGATGAAACACGTGAGGTGAAGCTCAAATAAATTGAACTTATTAACCAAATATGCAGGTTGCACAGAATTGTTATCAGACTTGCGGTTATGTCAAGCTTCTACAATTGAAGAGAAAGATATAGAAAAGGAGGCCTTTCGCAATAACATCAACATAAGGAGGTTGCCACAAATTGTATTTCTTGTGTGTACAATAAAGAGAAATACACTCTTTTTTATAAGAACCAGTAAATTTAAGTTCAGGCTGACTGTTCTTAATTTTTTTCGAAAATCTGAGGCTGGATTGTTCTTGATTTGTTCTTAAATTAATAGGGTGTAAGCAGTGCTATTGCTAGCTTTTTCGCTCTAAGGAGGTGTTCAGGCCTCATTTGCCAACAAAGTGAGTGAGACAACCTTCATTTGCCGACAAGTTAGAATATTCACCGGAAAAAACACTCACACATGGCTAAAAATCCGTTTTTGAGATAAAATGTTGTTAAAAATTACATTTTACAGTAGCTCAGCCTCGGCTTGTTCTTAATCTGTTCTTAACTTTTGACCAATTTTGAGGCCCGTGTTCTTATAAAATTGTTCTTATAAAAAAAGTGTGGTGTCCAGCAACTGAATTTCCACAAACTGGAAAAAGAATAACTTTCTAAGCTTTATTAACGATGATTTATCTTCTTAAAGAAAATAGAAGCTTGGGTGACTAAAGTTCTTGAATTAATACGATCATTATTCATTATTCATTAATCATTAATCATAAATCATTAATCATTAATCATTAATCATTAATCATTAATCATTAATCAATAATCATTAATCAATAATCAATAATCATCAGTCGATCAGGTGCGAATAGGACTAGCTATGGCATGTTACTCTGGAAAGGCGATCAAAGTTATATCAAAACTTGCAGTTATCTCCATGTAAGGCTACAGACAGCGAAGACTTCTCTTTTGCAGAATTTTGCCTGCCTTTGAAGCGTATTACAGTTGAGAAGCATTGATACGGTGTTAGTGTGTTGTATGATATAAAGCTGTCGTGTTAGTATAAGGTAGAAGGAAGACGATGTCAGGTAAAACTGAACAACGCCACAAAAAGTCATGGTCTGCCATCGTGCTTCTTCTCGTTTGAAATTTCAAAGAACTAGAAGCACAAAATCAACGAGAAATAATAATTGAAGCCCACTAACTTCCACTCGACGATTTCGCCATTAGGATGACAGATTTCGGCCATCACTTTCTCGGGTTCCACTTCATCCACCGACTCAGGATGGTTTACTAGAAAGCAAAAATATCTAGCATCAATGGGGGGTGTTCAGGTCCCATTAAATTTTGACTACGTCATCACGTCGGAACACAATTCAAATAAGATAAGTTAAGATTACATGAACTAGAAATGTGAATTAGATGAACTATTGATGTGAACTCATTACACCAGGGTGAACGTTGTAGGAAGTAGTTGTTTTGGGTAAAATAGGGTACGTTTCCCAGTTCCCCAACAACCCTCTCCCAAGTCTCGCAATTCCAGTCCTTCCCCCTCCCACAACCTTGATTAGAAGAACCATAAGATTTGAACAAAAAGAATATATTAAAACACCAAAGAGATAGGCAAGCGGTACATTTTCGGTACTGCCGGAAAAAGAAAAGTCAACTTTAAAGGCACTACCAAGATTTCTGTTCAGAAATTGAATGCATACAACTGTTCAAGAGTCCAGGTTAGTTTTCGTATCTAGGCTTTTATGCTGATCTTTATTGCCCATAACGGCGTCTCTTGACAACAATCTTAAGCAATAAGATTTCATTGCGACTACGATTCCAAATTAAGACTCTCAGATTGAAGCAAAACGAATTTTAAATGACGTAATCCTAGATGATGCAACAATCATAATCCTTTAAGATAGAATTAAAAGATTAGGTAAACCAGTAATTATTGATTTAATGACGTTCTAAATTGGTATTGTTTGGCTTTAGATTTTCACAAACTAATTCCTCGTTTCGTAGATTCAAATAAACACACCCACAAAATCACGAAGGAAGTCTATCAAATATTAAATCAATACCGATTAAAATATTGACTGGTGAAAAGGGAGAGTTAAAAAAAGGATTTTTGAAACGTTCAGGCTGTTTTGAAACGATAGTCTAATGTAGAGGGTTAACTGTAGGTGGCGTAGAGAGAATGATGTTTTTCATTTTGAATTTCCGTTACAAAAAGCGGATAAACCTTAAAGGATTACTTCTGGGTATATGAAAGGCAAAAAATACACTCTGCAAATTTCAAAGGTCTTACACTAATCAACATGGATTTGTAGAATAGCAGAGTGGTGATGTCAAAAATATATTTCTGGACATTTGAAGTTTTGATCGTAAAAACTGACAGGACCCCAATGCACAATATGGTCAATGTGTTGCAAACTGGCTACGATATGGCCAGTGAAAGACCTTAAGGATACTGAATACAAAATTACAATGATATTGGCTCATTAGGCTATTTAATGACAACCTTTCAGATAATATTACTAAAATTTAAAAAAAATTCTTTGGATACTTATGACGTCATCAATTCTTACTCTATAATTTAAAAAAGGCAATCTCAAAACTTGTCTTAATCCTGCAACAAGGAATAATAATTGCATTTTCTAATAAGTGCTGCCTTTTTATGCAGAAGTCAATAAACAAAATTATGTTAAACATTTTTTAATCGAAACCTCTAAAAAGGCAAAAAACGATATTGATAGGAAGTGTGATAGTAGAGCCTTTGCGTGCATGGCAAATCGCCCAAGCGAATCCTGCGGAGTACAAGTTCGGGATTCTAGCCTCGATCTTGAATCTGATCTCGATGAACAAAAAGAAGACTTGTCTTGGCAGTTTTAGAGCTGGCAACAGTCGATGACACGATGCCTGTTGTCAACTTCCATGTCCAATCTGATTCAACAAGAAAGATGCAAACTCATAGCTCGTTAATAAATGGCATTTGATACGATTCGATATCGCTTTCTTTTTCGCGTTCCAAATCTTCAGTGTTATTTCACTTAAGTAGACCACCTTTCGTGTTTCTGAGTGACAAGGATGCCCTTCTTTTCCTGTGATTTCCGACTTCATAGCCCCATTCGATAAAAGTTTTTGCTAGACCCAAATCGATTTTTCGACTGCCTAAAGATGCATTACAAGATGCCTGCGTATTGCAATGGCTCATTGTTAGCAATGAGTCTTTGAATATGGCATCAACCTTAGAGGCACCACAGCGTGCCAAAGGGATAAACATGCAGACAAGTACTCGCAAGTGTGAATTCCGTTGCGTCTTGGCATTTAGCAGACTGAGAATACAGCACAGTGAAGGAGAAATAGATTGTATCTTGTCGAAATGATTACTGTATATGTCTGTAATGTTCTATTTAAAGGGTATACGTACTGTTTTCATCCACGATGTGATGTCCTGTAAGAACTTTTAATGAGTAGACCTAAAGATAAAGAAACAAATCTCATCCAACTGGCAGCAAACGACATCAAGAAACTTATCAAACAATACTGTAAACCTGAAATTCCGACTCTTCTATTAAAATAGCAAATTATTTCAAAAGACAAGTCACCAGGTTCTCAAGTCATCAATCTTCAGACCAAAATATAGCAAAGATGACTCATGAAAACCCGTAGACCGTTCCTTGAATTTCTATTCAAGTTTTTATCTTTAAAAAAGGCTGCAACATTTTCTTAAAAACAATTCTTTTCAAACATCAAATGTACAAGTTAAAATTCTCTAACATTTTGAGTTCCAAATTGTTAATTATTGATATATTAGTTATATAATATAGTTATCTATTCTTTGAGTTATAGAGCTCTATCAATTAAGCTCTATAGTAGCCCAAGAACCCCCTTTTTTCCCGACCGTCAACCAATTAGCAAGACTTCCTTGAATACGTCTGTATTATGTCTAGGCAAGGCATCGGTGATCAAGATAATCCTGGCGCTGGAAGAAAGCATGAAGACGTTGTTGCTATTGTCTGATCTTCTTATGGAAACATCAATGTACACCACAAGGAGGTATAACTCTTGAACTAGCAGCGAGGCATCACACCCTCCAAGGAAGCCATTTTCCATAATTCCAAAAATTCTTACCTCACCCCCTTATTTTTACGTCTGATACTCTAGAATGTGATGCCTAAAGATCAGGTTTCGTGCAGCTCTGACGTTTTGACTTCTTTATACCGCATGGTTTGATCAAAGTTAATTAAGCTATTCGCTAACAACTGATAAAACTCTTGAATTAAGATCAAAACTGACGATCGCAAAATCCAGCAACGTCTGCTAGAATCCTTTGATTGGATTACACAACTAACTGACCACCCATTCAAATAAAACAGCAAACTGCTAACTAACCTGCATGACAAATTAACTCTTGTCTTGATTTTTAAAACTAGCTTTTCCAGATCTCGTTTGCTTATGTTTGATGCCCAGCATAAAGTTATCTAAATATACATATTGAAGCTGTAGGAAATATGACTAATCTATAAAACCAAAACTTATTGCATTCACCCCCTTAATATCCTTGCTACAACTGTCTAAAAACCGAAAGCACAGGCTATACCACGGGGGTATTTCCATTTGCAATAGTAACTCCTAACTAATAAGTCCCAATAATACCTATATTCTAGGCGCTTCGCTAACAGGCATCAATTCTTTAAGGGTCTTTTGGCATTTTTTGTCAAACAAGTACATACCAGAATATAAAACAGCGCATCCGAAAGCCTAAGAAAACGAGAATCGCGGCAATGAGATTATAAACAAGAGCAAGTATTTAAAAAAGATCACAAAAAGTAGAATTCTAAGCCTTGAAAGAAAATAAAGGCTGTATATGATAAGCGCTTTATTAAGACAGCATCTGCGAGGTAAAGCTCTTTTGAACTGCACTACAGACAAAAACATAGGCGTTAGGTTTCCAGTATAAGAAGAAGCTATGGACAATAAAACGTTCTCACGCTCCATCATAGGTCAATGAAAAGACTCCAGTAGATATTCTTTCAACGCTATGCTCAAACATTTTTAGAGACCCTTTAAAGTAATTGCTTAGCTTCTTGGACAATAAATGGTGCATCTAAAGGTAACAGAACCGGAGCATGTGGCGAAGGAAACCAGGGCCAAAAGGTGGTACAGCACGCATCACTTTATCGAAAACATACAAAGGTAACCTTGCAAGCAAAAGATTTCCCTTTTAGGAAAAGGCCCTGTTTGTAAACAACTGCATACTAGTTGTTGCTGTTGTTGTTGGTCTGCATGTGTGGGAATGCGAGAGAGCCGGTAATCAGTCACGTGGTATTAGGTGATAGTGATAAATGTCTCAAGTTGTAGGAGTTAAAGTTGATAAAAAAGGTATTCATTTGCAAAACTGGATTCAAGTCATTTTGTCATAATTGATATGTAACATGTAGGTTTCGAATGAACTCTCAATTTAGATGGATTAGACGGGGGGGGGGATGGCAAACATTGGTGTGGTTTGCAATGGCTGTTTCGCCACTTTGTTAAGGCTATTTTTGCTTCTCTTTTAGACATTCCATGAAAGTATAAACATACATTACTGTATACAAGTAAATCCTACAATTTCTTTTATAAGAATATCATGCCCTTTGCTTAATTAACAAAAAACAGGTGCCTCTTTTGAACTGAGCCATCTGCAATTGTAGGCCGCCTTCCGCGAGTGCTTTGCAAACAGACAGAGAAATGCCAATCGAGTACAACTACGTGCATGCTTAAATGTACTCAGGAATGACGAGGAAGAAAAGACATGAAGGGACGTAAAATGAGATGAAGGAAAAGGCTAGCTAGGAAACAAGGTAGTAAGGAAAGTAAGGAAAAACAAGAAAATAGTGTACGATGAAGAAAGAAAGAAACCTCAAAGAATAACAAGAAAGAAAAGGCAAATGGGGACAGTAAGGGAACGGGTTGGTGAGAAGATGATGAAAAGAAACATGAAAAGAAAACATGAACCGTAAGCAAAAAAGCTCCCTAGGAAACAAGGTGGTATGGAAACCGGAACGGCACGATCAAGAGAAAAGTTTGTTTTCTCTCTTGGACTCCAGTGGTAATTTTCATTAGACACGCGGCACTGATTGGACAACTATACCGGCCTTGTGTTTGCGTTTTTCTGATTGGCCTATTTCGATCCACAACTGAGTATATATTTTTTATCGTGTTCTTTTGGACCCTTATTCTGATGTTTTATGCTCTGAGGAGTGTCAGACGAAAAAGCTTTTAGCCAATATGTTGTAAAATGTTTGCTTTCTTCAAAGCAATTTTCGAGTTCTGTACCGCCAAAAAACTGTCTTTATTTGTCCGATAAAAATCTTTGGGACGCCCCACCTGACCATTGACTCCTGGTGATATGAAATCGCCATTTGCAAGCAGCTTTGCATCAATAAGACAATTGATGATTAAATTTTATTGTTATACGAAAAATCGATTGGCATCCTAATCATACGAAAAATAAAAAATGAAAAACAATTTACAAGTATATATGTATTAATTAGAGGTGCTAGAAATCTGCCTTGCTTGAAATAATACAATAGTTTATAAATCTATTTGAGGGGAAGAGGGAGAGAAACTGTTTGCTGCAAAACAACCAGATGATGAATTATTAAGGGCTGAAGGGATTATAACTTTGTAATGGTTATCTAATTTTGCAATGATTTTCATAATGATGATGAAATAGGAACGACTATACAGGAACAGAGTTGTCCAGCAAACTTTGATAAGAGCATCTTCGTACATGAAAGCCAGGTTCAACTAAGCATTGAGACTCAACCAAGTCGAATGAAACAGTCAAATGTTTTGTTTCTTAATAAATTTACAGCAACAAACAAATGAGGTTGAAGCTTACGTGACTTTTAATGCCCTGTTATTCTACTCCATCAAAGCATAAGCATGTGATATACTAGGCCAGAAAGCCTTACAGCAAAACAAAGAGGTCTCTTGATTCTGATACAGCCGAGGTGCACGTAAACATTGAGAACCATTGCCGCAGAGACAACCGATTAGAGAGATCTTTAGAATGGGAAGTCATCGCTGCGGAAAATCTGCTCATATATGAAGGAAAATGGAAAACCAGGTGATGCCTAGTTTTCATTTGAAGCAGGTCTGTGTCATGAATAATTAATAGAACCACAAGCAGCCGCGGGTGATTGCAAAAAAACTAGACGCAAACCTGTACTGTCAAGATTTTTTTCAATGCAACAAAAGAAATGACTTTCTTTAAGAAAATATCAGGTTTTTTCTATACATTGCAAAACCTGATTTTAAAAAATCACTACCAGTTGAAAATAGTTGTCGCCATATTTTTTACGATGAACGAGAAATTAACGAGCAGGTGTCATTAAATTGTCCTCTCTCTCTATTGCTATAATAAATGTATTTTTCAAAAAGCTTATTATAAAAGATTGAAGAGGCCTGTATTTCCTATGCATTTCATTAGCCTTAACTGGCTAATGTGATTCAAGGAGACAGAGAAACAGAGTCTGAGGTCCTTCAAGTAAAAAGTTTCCTAGCTTACTGTGTAAAAATCAAAATTTTATAATGAAACGATCCACGTGTCAACAGTGGAGCGACACGCTTTTAATAAGCTCTATGAATGCTTCAGAAAAAAATCGATTGAGAATGTACTATGTATTAATGAAATGTCATAAGGCGTCCACAGCCTGTTCTTGAAAAAGAAGCATTTGAGATGAAGGCCTCCAGTTTGCAGTAGCAATAAGTGTGTTTGCTTGGCTAATGGACAATAAAGGAAGAAAACAGCTCTTGAACATTTCTATATATTAAACAAATAAAATAATAAAATTCGGAAATTATAAGAACTAGAAAAGTAGACAAGCCATTGACTAGCTGGCAATATTAAAGCTCAAAAAATGATCTGCTTATGAATCAACTTTGAATTTGCAAAGCGCCAACATATTTTGACAATGATATAATATAAACATCCTCATTTTTACCTCAATTATGAAAGTTGGTTTTCAAACAAAATTAGACGTTTTACCTGCATGCACGGAACTATTTTTAAACATGAAATAAAAAAATATCCTTAAACAGCATTTTTAAACAAAGCGAAAAACAAAAAGCATTTTGGAATTGTTAAAATCTCAATAACTGCTCGTAATACCAATAAAAAATTTTAAAGGATTTTGGAAAATTTCGAAAATTGATCTAGTGGGATGTTGAGATAAAGCAAGAATAATTAAGTGTTAGGCATTTCCCGGTAGCAAGTCGTCTATTCCTACCGTTTATAAGAAACAAGCCCTTGGAAATTTTCAAAAATTTCGAAAATGTAGCACCATCCAAAGAATATTTTGCTCTGAAATTATGCATGAAACTTACAGAGGCAACTTCGAACGGTCCTTTTATACCAACCAAGTTGCGTACAGCTTTTATAAGAACCTTATTTTTATAACAATTTTTGCCGATATTCTTATTTTTCCGTTAAGTTGAGGTTCAAGTGTTCCTAATGCTGTTTTCATTCTAAAATTGAACTGTCTTTAACTATATAAGATCGATTGGTTTTACGACCACTAAATATCAGTAGCAGGGTTGACTGGCTGGCAAACTCTGGTCTGTTTTGCTAACACCAAAGTAAATTTTCAAACACAATTATTACAAGCTTATTTTTGGCAAATCAGGCCTCGACATTCTTATAAACTGTGCTCTTACAAAAAAAAATAGTGTTAGAAAACAATATTGCTATTGTCTAACACTGTTGCAAAACAATAGCAAAAAAGCAATAATCTTCACAAATCTTCACGTTTTGGTATATTTTAGTCTTTGTTTTGCAAAGTAGTTTATTTGCAGAGCTTCCTGATTATTTGAGTAAAACAACTATCTCAGAAAACTTAACCCCACCATGTTTCCCATTCTTGAGTTACGAGAATTCAGAAAATAGTCATCATTATAAAGAACAACAAACTGTTGTTGGTTGTTGAACAGAACCTACTAGTAAAATGTGTCAAACATTGAAGTCCAAAAGTTTCATACAGCTTCGTATTTTAGTTAAAGCTTTATACATAGCTTTTAGGAATAATTGTACATATAGATATTTTAAAACCACGTCTTAAACAGAAATCTGAGGGAAAAAGCTCACCTCAGGAAGCTTTCACTTCTTGTTTTACCTTAGGAAATTTAAATTTCGTTTTCAAAATTTTCAGAAAAAAGGCTGTTGGAACTTCATATTAGCGGTATCTTAAAATACAAACGAGTAAATATACTAAAGATGATTATATAGCAAAGAATTACAGTATAGTCCCGATACCTCGAACACGCGAAAACTCGAACACCCAAAAACTCGAACAGATGATAACTGGAAACTACGTTACCCCGAAGTGCTTTTGCGTTTTTTGAACCTTCCCCATTACTTTCGAGTCCCCGATAACTCAAATTGGAACAAGAAAAGCCACGAAGTTTCAAAACCTTTTCATAAGAATAAAGCCAAAAATTGAAACTGTTCAAACTTTGCACCATATTTACAGGCAGCAATAACACCATGGTAAAAATTTAGGTACATATTTTCAAGGTGATATATTACGTTTTAATTACGTCAGAATACCCTGAGTGTTGAAAGATTTCAAAATATATATACCAATAGAACTGCTGAATTTAAACATGCGCCTTTCTTTAGAAGCAAAATGAAACAGCGTCGGCCTAATTGTTGTAGGCAACAAAGAAGAGAAGATTGAAGTCTAGTCAAACAAAGTGCCACATCTGCCTATCAACTTTCATTTCCCATGGCTTGTACTCCTGCGTGGTCTTGATTTCAAACACACTTTATTTTGTTATAAGAACAATTTTATAAGAACACGAGCCTCAAAAATTGGTCAAAAGTTAAGAAAAAAGTAAGAACAAGATGAGGCTGAGGATGAGGATGACACTCTTTACGTTGGCAAATGAGGCCTGAACACCTCCCTAGAGCTTAAAAGCTAGCACTCGCACTGCTTACACCCTAATTATTTAAGAACAAATTAAGAACAATCCGGCCTAAGATTTTCGAAAAAATTAAGAACGCTTAGCCTGAACTAAATTTACTGGTTCTTACAAAAAAAGAGTGTAATGTTTGAGGCCAAGTCAAAAAAATCCACAAGAGTACACCATGCATCTTTGGGGTTTTGTGAAGTACTCTTAGCAGAAAACTGTCTCAAATAGGGATGTACCGGATATCCGGTAGGCCGGATAATCCGGCGCCGGATCGCTGATTTTTTGAAAATCCGGTTCCGGCCGGATTTGTTTCCGAAATCCGGCCAGTTGCCGGATTTTCCAGAACTTTAATCATAACTAAGAAAATTTGGAAAACTAAGTCAGACTCCCTTCATACAGTGATTAAAAATGGATTTTCCAGAACTAAACAATATCGACGATAAAACAAGCGCCTTGAAAACAATGCTCGTCATCACGAAACAGGAAGACTGGATGGTATAATTCACAAATTTGGTCCAGGGTTGCCAGATCGGCTTTTTAGGCCAAATTTTTCATTTTTGGTTTCTAGATTTAGATTGCCTGAAAAAATTGTTTTTTGCTTACTACTTAAATTTGACCTTGTTGGCCTTTTCAGCAGACGTCCAAAATAAATAAGTAATTACTACATTCATAGAATAATTAGTAGTTAACTACAAAGTGTTAACCAAATTTCAAATTTTATCACCTAACCTAAATATTATCTTGATATTAGCAAAGGGTTTTGAAAAAAAGTAAGATTCTTATCTAAGTTAAGAAATTATCTAACAGGCACAAGCGTAGAAATATAACCAGTGCCTGCTCGATGGATTCTTGAGAAAGTTTTTGATTTGGTCTTTTTATGAGCATTTTGGCTTACATTGCTCACCAGTCTAGCCTTCGTTTGTAAATTCAATCTGGCAACCCTGAATAGGTCTCTTTGATCTTCTCGCTGTACATTTTTTTGCAAAGTGGCTCAAAACTTTTTATTACTGAAAATTCTATAAATGGTCAGATTATCCGGTAGAATCCGGCCGGATATTCCACGAAGAAATCCGGTAAATCCGGTTCCGGCCGGATTCTGAAAATCCTGATCCGGTACACCCCTAGTCTCAAACTGTTTCTTTAATCCTTTTTACGCTATAAACTCCTACTAAGCACCAAACGTTGCCTTTTCTGGCTAGTGTTCTTCTAAGAAAGAAACTATATCCTACGTTGCTGATCTCAAATCAATTCAAACCCGATATCCTAACGCATTTACAGAAAGACCCTTTAAGACAACCAGCTAAGGTGTAAAGCTACATGCAGATGATGTACAGGCCTCTCTAGATCTACTTTGCAGTCTGATATAAGACTGTCTATATATGAGACTGAATAAGACTCTATTTCGCTATTTAAAACTTCACCAAGATCTGTAAGAGACTTTGTTACGACACTGTGGCATCTAACGGAGAATTAGACAAGTACCTAGCTAAAGCTGTCAATATGTGAATGATGGCTGAGACTATGTATAAAACCTTTCAAGCCCGGAAAGCTGAATATCCTTGACTATGCAAAACAACACTTCATGTCGGGAAAAAGCCTCACCTACGAAATGAATCCCCTTTCGCCCTTTGTCCATGAGAAGTATTACTCGTGTTTTATCTGGTATAGTCCCATTTTGCATGTGAGCGATATTATACATTATAATGAACCTTGATAATATTCATTTTCTGTATAAAGTAAATATCAATTTTAAGTAAAAAACTGACTTATTCTAATTACATCATAAACGGCAACAAAAAAATATCATCATTTCATACTGCAACTGACACGATATTCCCTACCTTTCGTTTCTTGTTAAATAAAGCCCAGCCAAGAACAAATCTTGTTCATTCGCTCTGGACAGATTATTCAAGGTTATATGCAAAGTTAAGAAAAATTGTGAACGAAATTAACACAAACCTCGAGTAAAATCTCGTGTAGAAGGAGGTCTTTTACCGATGGTCGATTAGGTGGATCTTTTTGAAGACACTGTCTGACAAAGTCCTGAAATGAGAAAAATAGAAGGCTAGACAACATCTTTTGCAGGTAGCAGTCTTGAGAAAACTAGATGTGTAAATACTGTATGATTAGAGACTCCTTGACAATAGTGATTTATATTCATTAACGAAATCAAGCTTACTGTTATCCGTAGGCTGATGTTAGTTATATAGTAGTTCTTTTTACGCAATATGCGGTCTACAATTGTACCATGTAATCCTAAATCAAGGATAAAAGCGTCTGAGAGGTAATAAGGCTAAACTAAGTGTCTTTCATGAGGATGTTCAATAAATCTTGATATTAATAAAGAGAGAAAGATGGTCTGAAAGTATTAACACAATAGAGGCTGACTGTCCTCAATAACGTTCTAAAGACACAAAGCTGTCTTCAAATCTGCTCAACAGCGCAAAACCTGGAAATTATTTCATTGTACAATTGAAGAAATCTCCAACTGGAGCCTCTTTGCTATTGTGAATAAATATTTCAGCCGTCGCGGAACCGTGTACGGAAATGCATTATGCTTCTTCCATATAGAACTGTTCTTTGGAAGAACACTCAAAACATCAGATGCGGCAGACATGTTGAAAAACATGCAGCTTTTTCTAAGCAGTGGCGGACACTTGAGGGGCGAGGGGGGGCGACCGCCCCCAATACTTTAAAGGACAATGGTCTTTTGTTCTAAAACAATGGGAAATGGACGTCATCTTATTAAAACAATAGACTTGCCCCCCATATTTGACCAAGTGTCCGACCCTGTTTCTAAGGGCCTGTTTGGACAATGGGGCATTACGGATACTTAGAATCTTTAATAAGTAGCCTTTGAAGAATCTTAAAACGCCAAGCCTCGCAGCAAGCCGGGAGACACAGCCATAAATAGGTTACTTTTCTCAACCATTTTCTTTTGACAATTTACTACAAAAAAATTTTCTCATCGCAACGAATCACGTAAAATTTGCATTTTCCTTTGTTTTAAATAAAAGTGTGGCCTATATCCTATGGTCGCACAATTTTCAGTTTTCTCTAATGCCCGGGTTTTTTTAGTTGGCTTGAATATGGAAATTCAAAATGCTTTCTTCAAATACTTTAGCAGCAATTATGACAAATTTGTCTTTGCAAGCCGTTGTAGGCTTATTAGATAATCTCAAAATGCACAATACAATCGTAAACCCTCGTTTTCTTATCTCCCCTCGACAGAGCTTTAGCGGTTACACATATAATAGCAGCCATTTCCATATGCCCGCGTAATCGTTTTCTTATCTGTACACTTAAGAGCGAAAGATGCATTTCTGGTATGGCCACTAAACGAATCCGTATTTATCGTTCAAACAATAATTGCTATTTGCCTTAACGAAAAAACTGCTAAAGATCAAGAAATAAAAACCTTCTGTTTTGCATCGTCGATTCTATCGAGTGATTCCTGAATAGATTCCGGCGTGACAAATTTCCCATCTGCAGTTTCCAGCACCAAAGCTGCTAACTGAAATAAAAAATAAAAAAATGATCGCCCAGGATTATTCATAGCAGTTTCTTTAAAAATTCCCATCTTGGCATTTTTTGCGATCTTGCAAAGCAAAAGGATAGTCGTAGCAGAAAACCTTCTAAAATGTTTTCGACTTAAAAAAAGCTTAACTAAACTTATGATACATACATTAACAATAGAAAAAACAAATTCGAAAAGCTATTCAAAATTAAATATCTAAAAATGGCAATTAGAAATGTAATGCATTGTAACAAGGAATAATTTTTGCTCGAAACGTTTGATGGTATAAAACGCTGGATTATCTCCAAAAGATTAGCGGAAATTTAAATCCAGATGCAGATTGAACATAACGCGACAAAAAATGGTGCATTGACTTGGTCTTTGTTTTTGTCCAATCAGCAACTGCTAGCCATACACAAAATTAAAGAACCCAAGAGAGAGAACGAGTTTCTTTGATTGACGCCAATCAAGCTTTTTTCCTTCATGCAGAGGGTTTCCAAGCTGTCTACATGAAAAGACGGCCTTGTAACGTGACCGGAAGAATGATGCATTGATTGGGTCCTTGTTTTTGTCCAATCAGCTACTGCTAGCCTTCGCAAAGTTAAAGTGTTTAAGAGAGAATGAGTTCCTTTAATTGACGCCAATCAAGCTTTTTTCCTTCATGCAGAGGGTTTCCAAGCTGTCTACATGAAAAGACGGCCTTGTAACGTGACCGGAAGAATGATGCATTGATTGGGTCCTTGTTTTTGTCCAATCAGCTACTGCTAGCCTTCGCAAAGTTAAAGTGTTTAAGAGAGAATGAGTTCCTTTAATTGACGCCAATCAAGCTTTTTTCCTTCATGCAGAGGGTTTCCAAGCTGTCTACATGAAAAGACGGCCTTGTAACGTGACCGGAAGAATGATGCATTGATTGGGTCCTTGTTTTTGTCCAATCAGCTACTGCTAGCCTTCGCAAAGTTAAAGTGTTTAAGAGAGAATGAGTTCCTTTAATTGACGCCAATCAAGCTTTTTTCCTTCATGCAGAGGGTTTCCAAGCTGTCTACATGAAAAGACGGCCTTGTAACGTGACCGGAAGAATGATGCATTGATTGGGTCCTTGTTTTTGTCCAATCAGCTACTGCTAGCCTTCGCAAAGTTAAAGTGTTTAAGAGAGAATGAGTTCCTTTAATTGACGCCAATCAAGCTTTTTTCCTTCATGCAGAGGGTTTCCAAGCTGTCTACATGAAAAGACGGCCTTGTCACGTGACCGGAAGAATGATGCATTGATTGGGTCCTTGTTTTTGTCCAATCAGCGCTGCTAATCCTTCGTAAAGTTAAAGGGTTCAAGAGGGAACGGGCTTCATCGATTGCCTTCATGCAGAGAGATTCCAAGCTGTCTAGATGAAAATACGAGCCTTGTAACGTGATGATTATTACACCGTGCCAACGGATACATACTTACCTCTAAGGCAACCATTCCGAAGGAATATATATCAGCTGCACAATTGACAATAGTACCAGGGAGCCCTGTAAGAGAGACGATGAAACAAATAAGAGGCTGCATGAAAATGAGGATGCAGGTCAGGATTATAACACCAAATTTCCTTAAACCTATTTCCAGTCAGATTGGTTCCAAACTTATTCAGAAAGCTAATTCCACAAGACTATTTAACTTTTGAAATGAGTTTGACTTTTGAAACTAAAATTTAATTCATATCCTCTTAACTTTATTAAACATTTATTCTCATATTTTTGTTATTCGAGGATCTTATTGCACCCAACTAGATTATAAAAGGAAGGAGCTTTGCAGCGGGTCACATCGCTAATTTAGCTATTTTATAATAAGATTGAAGCAAAATATGTTTATATCAAAGGTGACTGTGTTTTCGATATCATACATTATAATTTATGGCTACACACATTATGGTTGGCTATTACGGGTGACCCGAAAATGAACTGAGGAAACACACATGGCTGCAAATGACAACAGGAATTGATATTAAGCTGGAAAGAGGGACACCACAATGTTCATGAGCCAGGTAAAATATACATATTAAAAAATTATGCATATAGGTCTAGGTGTAATGAGCAATGTTTAATGTTGAATGTGAACATAGTTAGATTTGTTAGTTTGAGCAAGGGAATTTTGATTTACTTTAGTCATTTATATTAGAGCAATCTGCGTATCATAAACTATCTTCAAGTTATAAAAGGATACCTTTCAAATAGAGGGAGAGGCCGTATTATCATCATTATCATCAGCTCATTCCACAGTAATGGAAAAGTGGGCGTTGTTTAAAGAACTAATGGGGCTTGCAATAATGTCACAAATGCATTGATATATGTGCCTTCTACAATTACTTATTTGGAAAATAGAGAAAGATATTGTGATTGAAGATCAAAATGAAATTAGATTTGTTTCCAAACCTAGTACTATCTTTACAATAAACCCAACATTGGTGCTTACAGAAACCCCAAGAAATTTGTGTTAAAGGGTTGAAGGTGAACTGATAGTTCTGCAGTGGCTTAGAACAAAAGGGATGTGTCATGATTAAATTCTGGGTTGGCATAGAACTCCTGTCATAAAATGAAAGCGCTTCTAATTTCCTTAGGCTATCCTTACAGAGAATATCATTGTCATTGACTGCTCTCTCAAGTAAATAGAACATTGAATATAAAACATGTCCCTTTTTTAAAGTCACATGAAATAAGGAGATTGTGAATACCCAAGTACGCAAGCAAAAAAGTTGGTTACCATGGGGCATATGGCAAGACACTTAATCAATGCTGAATAGCAGGACGACTTCTTGATGACAGAATGGTAGCAAAAAGGACAACTATATGGAAATGTCTGCAAATAGGATCCGTAGGATAAAGTTGTAGTCACTTCAAGTAATACGCCCAAAGGTGGTGCTTGGATAATTTTGCACCCAAGTTGTTACCTGCATCGTATAGTGGTAACATTGGCTAGAGGCAAACGTTTGGTATTTAAGTGGTAGTGAAAATGATTACTTTAGCGAGAACACATGCATAAGGTTTATCACTATAGATGGTTTAAAAATGAGCGGGTACTTATGTCACAGGGTAGTCAAATTGGTTAATGGCAATAAGAAGGTAATGAGGTGATGGCAAAACGTTTACGCAAAGAAGCAACGAGAGTGAGTGAGATTCCACCAAATTAACCCAAGGAAGGTTTATTACACCAACAATTCCCCAATGAAGATGTCAACAATGGTAGGAAGTCACCTTTTTCTCTAACGGAAAGTATGTTAGTGCAGTTGAAGGCTGAATGAATTGGATAAATATGCAAATTCACCCTACCATATTCAGGCGACGACAGAGCCGAATACAATGTCTGTCCATCTAATTGGGAAGAGAACATGAAAATCAGTAAAGACATTAAGACGAGGTCGAAAGTCTCGTTTCTGTTCTGTAATACGGAGACAGGAAAAAGTCGATTTCAAGTCGATTCGTTAAATCGTTGACTTTGAAGCAACGAAAAAAACATTTATATTGTAAAAAAAGTATCGTAGAGCAAAAACGAGACATTCTGGCAAAGTTATAGAACGATCTGATGTTAGCTACAGGAAAGCGAGCAATTTTCATCGAGATTATTAAAACTGGGGGTTTTAAATAATGTTTTAAGACTTTAATTAGACTATTTAAGAACGCAATTGCTTATGTAATTAAGGTATTATAGTTTAAAGTTAAATTATTTATTTTGAATACAAATGACGCCTCAACACCTCCATGTTAGGCGAAACGGGTGGACCCAGTATACTGCAGCTTGTATCGATAGCAATAAAGAAAAGATCATTACCAAACGTCCCTTATACTAGGCAGGAGTGGAAGCACCAGCTGTCATGGAACTTGTGGGTAACGAAGGGATAGTAATCTACGACAAAGCTCCGGAACCATGCCCTAGTCCACTATAAAAGTGCGCCCTTTCTACAAAAATTCCGAGCAAGTTCCTTTTAAAAGCGCTCTTTAGGTTTTTTGGAAGGCCATATTTCAACAAAAACCAGGGGGTGTAGTCACCTATAAACTATCCGTTATCGCTACCAATGCGAGAGGCAACTTAATATTTGCCTAACTCACCCAACAAACAAAAATTATTAATTTTGATTTGTGTTACTTGGAAACTATAGGCCAATCCAATGAAATAAAAAATTGAAGAACATTCTTTTTAAGGTCCGAAATCAAATCGAAACCTTTTCAGGTATAACAAAACGTTGGTTGTGTACGATTAATAGGGTATAGTTATTAATAAATATAGTTAGTAAGGAATCTTGGTGTTGAAGTGCCATATTAACACACTTTTGATTGAAACAACAATTTGAAAGTTTTAACAACTCAATGTTTTATCTAAGCATGCTTTGGATCATTAGCAATAAAACACTCCTGTTTCAGCAAAAAAGCTCTGAAATATTTGATTATAATTCAAGCATCATAATACCCGCTTAAATAATATTACATTGGAAATGGATTTTTGAATTGAAGATTTATAATGTCAATAATACAAAGTTGTGTGAAACATCTTCAGGGACATGCTGAGTTTGAAAGACTCTGTGCATCAAGCTATCAAAGGTTAAAGCTGTTGTGAAGTGAGAAGTGCCAATAAATCATTCTATGTATGTGCTGAAAATTCCCAATTTGTCTACATGCAGATGCAAAATGGCCATCTCATGACAGATCAATAACAAAAATACGAAAAAAGAAATAAGAAAAGATGAAGAGAAAATAAAAACATGTTTGCAATAAAAAGTCAAAGCAAGCATAATGCTTGGGCTTCAAAAAAAGGAATGAATTAACATGTTAGAATTAATAATCAAATATACAAAAGGCGTTATGGGAATCTTTGACAAGAATTAAAGGTAAATTCATAAACAAAAAACTGAAATTAGTGAAATGAACTCTATTTTAAAATAGGCAGGTAGCTTAGCTATACCTTTAAGACTGAATGGAATGTCACGGAGTTTAAGGACGGATGTATAGAAGAGCTGAAACCATACAGTTCGACTTATAGTTAACCCTGAAGGTCTTATGAATATCGCGTGATTTTAAGCGTTTATGGGTGAAACTGCTGTTTACAAAAATCGTATAAGATGGTTTATGTAAATGGATAACAGAGGACTGACTACGTTTTGCTGTCACGACTTTTCTTATTAGGTGTATTAAAATTACATGCATATATGCATATCTTATGTTTAAAAAGCATTTAGAATTCACGGCTTTGTTGAACTACAATATATATAAGAAGACAACCCTAAAATATAAGCATTAAAACCAGCGTCAAATTAGCTTGGAGAAAACACTTTAACATCATCTCATATTATGGCATTCGTAAATGCCTTTTCACTTACGATAAAAGTAAACGAGCAAAACTAACAAGCTTTAAGTATTTAGCATCGGGCTTAGACTGGACAGACAGTGTAAATTGAAAAGGACATTTTCCTCTCCAATCTATCTGCGGCTCAAGAAGTACAAACAGCCAAATTTGGTCCCTGGTTTCAAAACAAATTAAAACATTAAGTTTGTGGAACTAACTCGTGAAGAAGGTGTGTTGGCCAGTATTTGAGACAGAAATGACGTCTTCATTAAATGCTGGTGGAATCTATCATAGCATACTTGGCAGTTATCTCTTCTCCGTGTTAAAACTTCGCTGTCTATTCAAGGCTACCCCACCCCCTAAACTTCCTCCAAAACCCTTACTCGACAGCTCTTACTCCAAAACGCATAACCAAAACACATTCCTTCAAGCCCTCTTTTCTTCCATGTTCACTTGAGAGCCTTCAGATACCATCTTATAATCCCACCCTATTCTTTCCCATAATCCAGCTGCTACTCCACATCCCCTATACCCCGCCCATTACAATCCACAACAACCTGTACATGTCACCTCCCTTAAAGGCATTGAGTCATGATAAATAGACTGGGTATACCCTAAGTGCCAAAATCCGCTGAGTCATGATTTCCATGACTGCGATGCTATTGGTTGACCTTGAACTGGTCACATGAACTCACCTCGTACTGATTAACATAACAGTTTCCATCAATAGCAAGTTGTCAACAACGGATGCCAATATCACATGAAACAGCAGCGATCACGCCGAAACCAAATGACCCCCTATAGAGAAAGCCTATTTATCATGACTCAATGCCTTTAAGGGATGAGTAAAACAGCGCTATCAGTACAAGTTTCTTTCTTGTTTTCGTTAATGATTTTACTCTCAGACATTTGGCAAATTGAACAACAATTCAGGTAAATTATTACAACAATGCACCATTGGAAACGCCCCATTATGTTAGTTAAAACTCTGAGGACGTAGCAGAACATTCAACTGCTAAAAGCTAGTTCACGGGAGATATTAATCATATATGAAAAAGTCAAAAATTGAACAAGAGCTTCTTCCCGGAACGCAATAAGTGCACGCCACACGAAAAACAATCTTAAATGGACTTAATATAAATTCCTTAATAATGAGATGACACACTGGTTAAAAACTTAATTCTTCTTCATTTGTTAGGCAATTTTGATACTGCTAGACATATAAACAATTAATCAGGTACGAACAGTGTAAATGTTGTTGGTTTTCAATAAATACCAACATAATTCTTCAACAGAAGGCATTTTAGAGATTAATTCTGGTCCTTTTTTTAACTGATTTTTGTCCTTACCAAACTGCTTAATCGAGCTTTGGCGTTACTTCTCATAGTAAACCTAACAATCAGAAGCTTTAAGGGGTACATTAACTTATGGTTAAATGTTTTAGGTAATCATGATCCTGGGTAGCAAGATGTTCTCAAACCTCTATTCTTTTGCTTTGTTATATATAGCAGAAGAAGTTTAAAGCAGAGTCTGGAAAACGTTACGGTCGGACGGCCACTGACCGGAAAAAAGGTCCACGAAAAACAATAGAAGCTCCTATCCTATGACACACCCAAGCCACGGAGGTCTGGAGAAAGGTTAGCAACTTTTCGGAACTCTGGTTTAAAGCTCACTGATTAGCAAATCTTAGTTTATCCTACCTGCAAGACCAATATTTTGCTGTTTTGCACAGAGGATAACTAAAAATTTTCCTACAGATGTTTTTTTGCAACTAGCGGACCAACCAAACTGGCCTAGGCATGGCTAGTTTTGAAGAAAGCATTTCTTTGTGAAAATTGGAATTGCAAAGCAGTAGAGTTCTGGACATCGACTGTAGCCAGTAATCTATTCTATCAATATAAGTAGCGCCTCTTTGTCTTACTACCAACACAATACATTTACAATGAGGTTTGATTTACGAAAAACCTTCACTATCTCATTAGAAGTTAGTACCTCAATGAGATGGTTTAACAGCCTGTACGCCAAACAGAAAGTGGCATCAAGGGTTCTAAGAAAAAAAACACTCACCATATTCTGGAGCGACAAAATGCATATTTTTTGCTTCCTGTTTGCATGTTTTCACGTGTCGATGTATCGATTCCGGGGCAACTGTAAATTTTGCAATTGATTTAAAATATATTCAACATTCATCCAGATATTCATGGAAAATATATAAAAATGTGCTCAAATTAGATCCAATTCGCTATACTAAACTCATCCCTTACACAATCTCTTTCTGTGAAGCGTTGTCAAATTTGTAGCAAAGCCAGAACCGATATAAAAATTGTACTTACAATTCTTGATAAAACTATGAAGTCTTCATGTCTTAACACATGCTAGGTAGCATGTATGACAACGTATTTACCCCTCACAACCTTGCGATTCATACCCCCAAGAAAGCTCCCCAATGGCACCCAGCAATTCCCACATTCCATGTTGAGACCTACCTCCTAAAAACACTGACATCTACTTTAAACTGAGAGGAGAAAGATTGCAAAATCTCAATTTCTGGCCAGTACTTTAACCTAGAACCTATTTTTTGAAATTTTGGAGTCAAAATTTTGTAGGAGAGAATCTGGCATTTTTTTCAAATAAGGTCATTGGTTGAATTAGTATCATTTTTGAAAAGATGAAGTCGCATTTGTCCATTAACTGAGAACAAAGACCATTCTCCTCAAAAATATTAAATCGTTTGTGTGTCCCCCCAGGTGTCCGCCATTGCATATGTGGGTGTGCCAGCCTTTCCAAAGCAATTATTGAGACTTCCCTATTCTGAAGTTCTTGTTCAGAAGAACTGATGTTAAGTAATGTCATATCTTTGCCTTACCTGTGCCTATTTTCATTAATCCATTGTGCTGTATAAATATTGTGTCGCAGCTTAGGTTTCCATGGACAATTGGTGGGTCACAGCCATGTAGGTAGCTGTTGACGAAAAATCCAAGTTAGATTCTATTCACACGAGGAACTCAAACTAGTTCGATATATCATTCTCGTTTAAGTTCAACTTGGATTAACGTGGCTTAAAGTCTGAGGAAGTAAAGATTCATAGTAGAGGAGAAGGCATTCTTATGATATTGAGCATCTGATTTTCGCAGCAACTGTTCATGGAATATTATCAAGCAAGCGTTGATTTTACGGAAAGTAATGTTTTGATCTTGATTGTAAGCATAAACTGAAAAATAGATATTAAGAACTTTCCATTGTGGAAAATAAACCAACCTCAGCGCTGATAAGATCTGTTTGCACCATCGCTTCCAAGCCTAGGGACAAAATAAAAAGTTGAGAGCAAAGTTATTGAAACAATGTGCATTAAAAAAACATTTAACCGTTCTAAACGAATTGAAATTACAATAAGATGTGAATCCAACTCTTTTGCAGTAAAAACATAAAACAAGTTTTGTGGATAGCCATATAAACTGGGAGCATGAGGGCACCTTTCCACGTTTTTGCAAGTGCCTGTTAACCCTCTTTACAATCACAGTGCCCTTTTTGCAAGAACTGATACGTGACGAAATGGCCATGATGTAACCCCCCCCCCCCCCCCCCCCCTTCCAAAAAGAAATTCTAAATGCTCCCTCTGTCACTAACCTTGAGAATAAAATCCTTTAGACAATGTAAAAAAGTTTACAAGAAATTAATGAAAAAATAAAGAAGATAAATTGATGCTGCATATCTAGGTAGCATAATTGCGATAGGCCTAACATTGCATATATTTCATGCGTTTGGTTTAGAAATCAGAAATATTTCAATAGGTAGCAGGTACTGCCTCTGACAAGCAACGAAATAGCTACAAAATATATCTACAATTAATCTTTTAAAATTTCCAAAAAGCGCTGAATTTTAATAACTTGAGCTATATGATATTTGCAGCTATATCTAATATGATTATAATCAACTAATAATCATAAATGTAGAAAGGATTTATGAATGATGAAACCTTGAGATTTAGTGTCTTGTTATTTGACTTTGTCTTTTTCAGGAACTGTGTCAGTGAACCAGACGTCATGAATTCAGTGATGAATATAAGCTGTTTAAACAAATTATCAATGTTACATTGAAAACAAACAAGGGCTTAGCATTAACAAAACAGGCTCAAGCCAATCCTGACGAACAAATCTAAGGTTAGCATAACAAAATAGGCTCCAGGTCATCAAGGGAATTAGCATTAAGGCATAGGACACAGGACACACATTAATAACAGCAGTTTTTACTCGTTGAAGTGTATATCCTGTATAAACATTCGTCTTATTATTATTATAAGGCTCATTAACAATCTTGGCTTGAGTCTGTCTTAACTCTTTGAAATCTTAAAACAGTTCATCATTCCTGCATTTTTAGTCCTATTATATTTTGAAATGCTCACTTGATAGTATAGATGCCTACAAGGTTAAAGTGGAGCAAACTTTTGTGCTGGTTCAAATTCATTTTTGACTAATGTCCTTCATATATTCTAACAAGAACAGTTACAGGATGCATAAAAGTATAATCATAAAATGTTCCGCATACCCTTGGTTGATCATCTCTCATATCAACCCAGTATTTATGAAATTTGACAATATTTGGATGCTGAAAAAGATGTATGAATATTCATAATTGGAAGAAAAAGAAGATAAAGTGCCTTTAGGCAACAACAGGAACATTGACAAACAAACATGGCTTACTGACAGTACAAAATCAAACAGAGCAAAAATAACATATAACTATAACTGAATGCAAACACAAGCAGATAATTATTTTTCAAAATCATTACAAAGTTGCAGAAAAACTTTGTTATAAATCAGTAATGATAAGAAATAACATAGAATAACGGATAAAATTAGAAAAAGCCCAGGTTCATCATTCTAAAGTTTATCTCTGAAATTGTGAAGAATGGCATCCTGCGATTTGTTGACATTGTTTATCCACTTCAAAATTGTTTTATACCTTTTATCGTAAGTTTAAGAAACATTGAATCTGTTCTTCGTTTTTTTAAATATTCTACTGCTTGTGTCAAATCTATTTCTTGGCACTGAAAAAATAGCCATCGAGATGTGACTGCATTATATATTTTTAAAGTTCACCAATTGGCCTACCATTATAAGAAACCATTAATAATGCTCTAACCTGGACATTTTCATTTGCAAACAAGTAAAGGAAACTTTGCGCAAATGGAAAATAAGAAACTCAGTTTTTCTATTGATGAAAAAATGAATATTTATGACTTACATCTAACTGGGTGAGGTTCTCAAAAATTCTTTTAAATGTTGCCTGTGGAGAAGGAAAAATATGAGCATTAAAAAAGATTGAAAATAGATGAGCAAGATGATAAAAACTTGGATTTCTAATTTGCAGCTTTGACCATAACCTTTTCACTTTATTCAGGTGATTTGACATTTTACTACCCTTGCCATAACCCTTGGCAAATTAAGGCCTTAAGACCACGCTGGCAAAATCATGCTTTACCTGCAACAGACAAGAAGAGCTTTTATGGAAAAGTCTGTTCCTGTAAATCGCAATACTACCGAGTAACAAGAAAACCAAAGGATAGGCCCTAGTGCTGGAGGACCTATCTGTTAACAAATATTGTTGGACAGGTGATGGCTAATCCCTGAAGGCAGTTTGTTACCCTTGTGCCTGGCTTCTCCAAACCAATTAAGGGTCCTGGGAAAACTTTTTGCTTGTGCATGTTTGCAAATATTTAGAAATTCCACTCACAGCTTCCTTAATGTAGCTTCAAAAAAGCTTTAATCATTGAACAGCACTACAAATACACAGTCACTTGCTCTTGATAGCAATAAATCAAAAAAAGAATTTATAGAAGTTGAAATACATATCTTCAACAGCAATGAAATTATGATTAAGTTCAAACCAGGCTAATATCCTCATTGAGCATTCTTAAATAAAACCAATTTATAAACATCATTTGGCTTTAATCTGATACCAGCTTTAGAAAAAGCAGACATACCTCTTTATTTTTCCAAGACCTTTTCTCTGAAAATAAGACCTCATTCCACACAACCTCCACGCCTTCTTCTGTGTCCATTGCCAAGTATGATGAATCGATACCTGGAACATTTTTCTGGCTTACCTATTGAATAACACAAAACTGGTCACATTACATGTGCAAAATTGTTTCATCCACATTTAGGCAATTAATATGTCCTCTGATAGTGCTCTTTTATATTAAGTGTGATCCATTCCAATTATTCATCCTAAATAAAAATTTGTGACCATTTTTATAATTTAAGTTTAAATGCAACAGGATTTTGAAAGATAATCAGTAGAGAGTGCGGGAAAATGACCAACCTGAGAATAACACTTAATTGGAAACATCAAGCAGCTTGAAATTTGTGCATATATAAAACAAGTCAGGAACCTGGACTGAAGGAGCATTAATTAAGTCCTCAAAAATTATTCTTGTATTGTTACTCTCCTGAAGTAGAGCTAAATGTCAGGGGGTTAAGGGCTTTGAATAGATGTCCTGGCTAAACTATTTAGCTTACTCTGCTCTTTTCCAACAATTTCTAATGCAAGATTATGTTTAGTTCAGCTTCAATTTTTTCATTTCCACTTCATGCAATTTATCATGATAATTAAACAAACAAAATAGTTAAATTTCAAGAATAAGAAATATTATTTCAAATTTGCTCAATATTCGAATGAATAAATTACCTAAGCAATATTCTAGAAAAAGAAATGTATAGCCAGGCCTGGCCGTTTGTATTTTAATAGGCGAGCTGTGAATCGCTCCCCTCATTTGCTGAGGCGAGCTAAATCAGTAACACATAGAATGTACTTTAAAGACAATCGACAGATGACTTAATAAGCCCCTTTAGTATCAACACAAAAACAACAATTCTCTTGCAAAACAATCTTTTTGTTGTACAGAATTTGAAAATGGCTTTGAAAAAATTTTTTAAAACAAGCTGAAGTTATACGTCTAACACTCTTCAGAGAATAAAACGTCAGAACGAAGATGGAAAACTTTACGCTAAAATACCCAGTTTTGGATCGAAATAGGCCAATCAGAAAGCGCGAGCACATGACTGTTGAGGTTGTCCAATCAGTGCCGCTTTCCTATTGAAAATGTTACCAACGGAGTCCTAAGGTGAAAACGAGCTCATTTATGTCTACACAAAAGCGGTTGGTCATGTTTATAAAGTAGATAGATTCACAAACTGCTAGATGGAACGATAATCAGGATTTGCCAATAATGCCAAACATGTTGCCGTTATAGTTTTCACCCAATCTGGGTTTTTCAGTAAATGCTGCTGGATAGTGGAATTCGGGGAATTTCATGTTTTGTTTGTCGTTTTTGATCTGCAAGACAGAGTACCTTGTTCTCTTTGAGGCATAGTTTTGTTTCTATTACTGGAAGGGACCTGCTGTCTTATTATATCCCCAATCTACAATTCCTACCAATTTCTTCGACTTTCCTTCCAAAAATATTCCTGTTTTCTTAAGATTGAAAGGTTCTAATTGCTACAAATGTACCTTTCGGTTAACTATCTTTTTCCAAATTGATCGAAGTTTATGCCTATCATAACAAAAACCGCCCAACAAGCAAAAAGTTAATTGCAAAAAATGCAATGACAGGAGAAATCGCTGTTACAAAAATAAACCAATTAACCCTTGTGCGTTTTCATAATTCTCTGGATAGGAAATTTTAGGGGAGCGATTCTTCCTTCATGTTCTGTTTAGGAGAGCAATTCATAGCTCGCCTCAGGTTGCGAGGGGAGCGTGGAGGCGAGCGCGAGCTATCGTTCGCCTCAAACGGCCAGGCCTGGTATAGCATCAAACTTTTAGTGTTGGGAACAAGCCTTTCCCAGAGACAAGGGGTATAGCCCACGCCCACGAAAACCGCACGCAAAATAAATTTGCGAGAGCTTTTTTTGCTTGCGCAGTTTTTCAAACCAACGTTCTCATATAATCCCCGCAGTTTAGCTTCCCAATATTTTTACTACTTACCGCTAAATATCAGGGTGTTAGGAAACAAAAAGAAAGAGATCTTACATGTCTATATGTTTATCAAATGCATTATAAATAGGAGATTTCCGTTTCCTTATATGGGACATGTCAACAATCTATTGTATTAGCTGCTAAAACTTGCAATAGACTAGGAAATGTGTATGCACGAAAGGAACAACATATAGCGTGATCAATACTACAAATATATAATTAAAGTAAGAAATGTTACACCATGCTGTCAAATAGAAAACAGTTTCTTTTCAAGTCAAAACATATAAACTAGGCATTCACAAAAATGCCACATTTAACCTGCAAAGCCTAACAAAACTTTTCAATATTCCAAAAAAGTTATGTTCCTCTTCTATTTCGTTTTGAGGAGTGGTAATACAACATTTAAAGGTAGTAATACACACAAAAATGCCTTGTTCATCTGAATAGTGCTTAGAGAATTAGCAAAGAAATGTATTTTTGCCTTTGTAAATTCCCAAATATAAAAAAATTAATAACAGTTCAGCAAGGGCTAAATAGCCCATGCAGCCAAACTGGCAAGGGCTTTTTATAGACCATGCTGTATTTTTCCCCGGAGAGGCCTGGTTGGGAACCTCAAACTCAAAACTTTTTTATTCAGCAACAAACATACAAGTTTTAAAGGTATACAATTTCTAAGATTATAATAGATATACAAAAAATTACATAACAATGCTAGGATTGTCAATTTAAATTTTGCCAAAGACACTGAGGTTGATTACAAATACAAAATAACTTGGTTTATAAAATGTACATGAACATGTACAAGTGTATTGTACATGAAAAATATTAAAATTTAGATTTTTACGTGATTTGAATTATTTAGTAAAGAAACAGTAACAGAACAAATAAAAAAGGGAACAGTCTTCTGTTTGAAATTCGTTCTGTTGACAATATTGATCATTTAAAATCGTCATTAAAGACTCATTTATTTAAATTAGCTTATGATGTTATGTAATAGGTTTTAAGTTGGAAAATGTATAGAATATTGTATTATAATTATGCACTTTAATCATTATTATTATTATTATTATTATTATTAAGGGGGTAAAAATAGAAATGAAAAAGAAAGAAAAGAACAACTAGAAACTAACATGGAAGAAAAGATAGGGGAGGGAACACTGCAGTTAGTTTCAAAAATGGTTTGCATTGGAGGGGGGTTAAGCTTAACATTGAGTGCTTGACTGAAGCTTCGTGGTTTTCAATAATGTTGCAATAACCACTTATAAAGAACTTTACTAAATTTATTTTTACTTGACATAGAACGAATTTCTAAGGGTATTTTTTCTATATTTTGATGCCATTGAATGAAATAAATTTTTTACGACATTCATTTGTTAGACACATGACAGACAAGATGAAGAAAGTTAAACAAAATGGGATAGAAAGTACCAGAAACGTTATCTGGAAAAAACTACCTTAAAAGCAATGTTTACCCTCTACGTTAATCAAAGGGATTGTCGCAAATTTTAAAATAATAATTTTTGGAAAGATGGGCCTTAATTTAGGCCTATGCAAAAATTATCAATTATATCGATTCGAAATTACCTCTTTTCTGTGTTTCTCCCATCTTCCACAAGGACTTGTCTCGACAACCTCTTCATCGTCACTCTCCGAATCAGGGTGCATCTCTTGACTAGGTGATGTTTTATCGGCCATTTTTTTGTTTTAATTTTGACACGTTTTCCACACACTCTCTCGTCAAGATGGCAATATAGGCCCTAGCTAGTTTGTAGATGCTCCTCCATGTCACAAGGAGGCGGATGTTCCTTTCCTCCGCAGAGACAAGGTGTCATCCATTTTGTGGTGTCACATTTTGTATGGGAAAAAGTTGTTCACGAAAAGTGAGCACAATCAAAGCAAAATGACAGTTTCAGTTTTCAGTTTCATATTTTTAAATTCTCAACATACAATTTATATATCATTAATACAAAGAAATTATTAAACTAAACAGATACAGGACAAAATAAATTGTATGAAGGGAATTCTTAAAGGAGGAGATCTCTCAATAGGTAAACTAATCGAGGAGAGACCTCCCTACTATTCTAGGACAATAATTGAACAGTTTTTGATGACCTTCAATATAAAGTAATTGGCTAAAATGCACATACTCTTTTCACATAAAAATGGGGACTTTCCAACTAATTAAAATCAGCTGAATAGACTCAGAATGGCAATTTAGCAGTTATACTAGCTTACTGGTTGATCTTGTTCAACAAGTGGATTTTAAGTTTCGATTTGAAAGATTTGAAAGATTTCGAGTTTTGATTTGAAAGACAAAAAACTGTACAGAACCATCCAAATTTTTTTCAGTCCAACCACGTCCAACGCGATGCCATTTGAAAGGTAAATATCTCATTCAAAACTTCTTACCTTGAATTGAGATCTGATGCTATTTTGCTCTCGTCAGACTTAAAGCTTCCCGTCCCTTTTCTGAGAATTTCTACCAAAGATTTTGAAATTCTACATAATTTAATTCCAAAAAGAAATTTCTGTTTCATCAGTATTGAGCTAACTGGAGCATACCCATGATTTTGGGCTATACTAAATATTAAGCTACCTTGATAATTAGCCCCAGGGCACCATCCTAAAGACGGAGGTATATTCGAATTTTTCTACTTGGCTATGAAGATTACTGTTAAAAAAATTTCTCGGAAAAGTTCTATAAAATACTTTTGTACCTGTAATGGCGAGTCGTTAAAAAAGTCCCAATACTGAGACATGCTAGGGGACCTTTAAATTTGTATTTAAATTTTTGAGAAAAATAGTACTTTCTATATATCCTTTAATTTCAATTTTTTGACTGCTTTTTGGACTGAATTGGGGTGATTTTCCGGCACTCTAACGGTTCACACTAACCCATTCATGAAATCTTTATTGCATTTCCACTCTGGTGCTTATTATCCCGTATCCACTCGCTTAACTTTCAGCATATTCAACTGATGGTCATAAACGTGGGGCCTGGGGCCATGGCCCCCTGGACACCCCTTAAAACCGCCACTGGCCATGGTTCTTTAAAAAGTGGGTCTCTTTCAGTAAAAAGACCAGGAACTGTGCGCGTGTTGCTCGCTTTGCTCTGTTTTTGTAGTCTAAAGTCGAGATTCAAAAAAGGTTTCACGTCTTCAGACGGAAGAACTGTTAACAAAATGGCTCTATCCATTTTCTGAAGGTTACATCGACAAAGTAGTGACAATAAAGATAAGATTATTGGACGAAATTGTTTCGCCGTTGCATTTGGAGGTCTCTCGTCTGTATCGAAATCCATTGTTTTACCAACAGTGAGAAAGAGACTAATATCAACTTTCATTTTTGAAAGCTGACCCTCTCGGAATTGTATTATACCTTCCTGATTCAGTAAGCCTTGGACAAACTCAGCTTTCTGAGAGCAGATGAACCAGCACAAAAGTTTGGAAAGGGTAGAGTGTGCTTACAGCTATGAACAAAGAGAAACAGACCTCTAAGCAGACATAAGTTGTAAGTCCTATACAATGCATTACATCTTCATCATGAGACACTAGGTTTGTGACGGAAGTTATAGGCCGAAATCTTGGCCCAAATATTCAATTTCTGATATCTCTTCCGAGCTATGTAAATGTCCCAAAAACATCGTATAGTTTCCAACATGGGGGCAGCACAATGCTTCTGCAGGATATCCTTCGCCTTAAAGGAGAACTGACACGCAAAAATAAGTTTGGCTAAAACGGTAGTTTGTGACAAGTAAATTACGGGATCGAAAAAATTTTTTAAATCACAGTTACCGTTTTTGAAATACAGGCGTTTTAAGTTGAGAAACGACAATTGTTCCGACAACTTGAGACTCGAGGCGAAAATCGTCACGAGTGGGCGATCATCTTTGACGTCACAAGTGACATGTTCTCAGCACGTATTGTGTTTCTCTATAGAAACCTATAGAAAATGCTGCGGACAAATGTTTATTTTGTGCATCTGAAAGGAGCTAATTTTGCATTTTTGACACATAATTGACTTTTTCAATAGTTTGGGACTCTGAATCGGAGTTTTATTACACTGATTTCGAAACAAATGGAGAGTTTCAGCCGTCTGAGTTTTTGCTGCCAACCAGCGCTGCCGCTTGGGCAGACAGTCGTCCCATGGCTCAACAGTGACGATATTGTAAACAAAGAACAGACTGGAAGTACAAACTGATATGGAATTTCTATTAAAAATAATGCTATTGCTACAATCTAAATGAGATCAGGTATCGTAAAACTAGAATTTTATTACAGATTGAGGCGTCTTTGGCCAGACTGCTTTGTCTGTATGGCCTAAATTGGCTAAAATGCCCATGATGCCCTAAACGGAACTGCAAGTTATTAATTGTTAATGTAACATTCTATGATTGTTTTTCAATGTTTTAAACGCGTTAACTGTATAGTGATATTGAATAGTAAAGGCGGGTTAAAAGTCGACTTGTGCGGATTTTATGCCATTTTCACCTGGCGTGAAGGGTTTCGGGAACTGATAAGTTACCTGGCAGTCGAAAGATCTGGATTTACGAAATAGGCTCTTAGCTCTTAGTCAAAGAACTTGATTTCTTAGTCGAAGAAAATGCTGTTTAGCTGTCATAGGAATATCAACTGGCGCATTATATTCTTTTGCAAGCAATTTTGACTTGGGTGGGGGATGGGCTTTTTGCAAGACTAGGTTATTCCCTAGTATCTCAACCTCTGTTAAAATACAATAATCAAGTTCAGTGAAATTATTATTTAGTCACACTCGCAGCTCCCATCAACCAAGGTTTTTTCTTGAATTCATATTTCTGCACCCAAAGCAGGTTGCAGGATCGCTTTTACCGCGGTCGCCACTAGATTTCGTTTGTCTTTTGCCTACTGCTTCAACCCCCCTTCCCCCCACCCCCCATGTTGCGATTTTTTGTAATTGTAAAAATAAAAACTTTGAAGAAACGGTATCAATTTTCAAACAAAGTCGACTCCTTTTTTCACAAGCTTAGAGGTTCTTTCAATGTTTCAAAGCATGCTGGTTCGAAGATATCATGGCATGAAAATAAATTTTATGTGGATATAAGCGTCTTAGCAGACATGTAGCTAGGATTTTCTAGCTTCTATATACTTATAAATGAAATGCCTGACAATTTTTTGTCTTTTCACCGCGGACTTTTTTCAATAAAACACGAAACTTCACTTGTACTTTCACCGTTGCGGTGAAAGCCTTTACAACGGCATTGTTAACATGTCACTTGTGACGTCAACCGAGAATTTTAACAACTCCTGGCGATAATCTTGTTTCCGCTTCGGGAAATTCCCGAGTCCTGGCTGTGACGTATTTGACGGATAAAAGTGCAAATATCAGAAAAACAGCGAATCTAAGAAGAAAACTTTTTCCAGATTTGAAGTCAGCGAAAAATTTTGCATCGAATAAGCCAAAGTTATTTTTGCGTGTCAGTTCTCCTTTAACTTGACTTTATTTGCATGAAATATTTAAAGAAACATGACATGTAACACAAGCGAAGACTCCCACCGTACACAAGATTTTGAGAAACTTGAGGGGAACCCCCCTTTCTCAACTCCGGACAGGCCCGTAGACACTGGGGGCAGGGGGCAATGCCCCCTAATAATTTGCCAAAATTGTGTTTGAAGATCTTATAAGCGCAGCTTGATCTGATAGTATTTTGTAAGGCAGGTATAGAAAAAGCTATTTTTCTATCCATCCGCTCGCGTGGTTGGGTTTGCGCGAATGCTGACGCGATCGCGAGTGATCACTTGCGTCAAACAAAAAGGCCTGGGATTCGACCAAGTTATAGGACAAGAATGAGCAAAATGCTGATGTTCAACAGAAGTAAATATATTTTTATTTTAAAATATTTTTTACATTTTATTGTTACGACACATAACGACGAAGTTGCCACACATTAGACATAAAATTATGCAGTCTTTGTTGTAGACAAATATACTGAGTAATAGATGTAAGCAAGTGACACGGCAAGGTCAGGATTCAAATCCAAAACCAGCGACTCTGTACGAGGTTGCCTACCGATCGAGCTCCCGGTCGCGGCTTCAAATCAGAGCCCAAAACCGGGCCCACTCACATATACCCCCCCCCCCCTTTACCAAGTGCGTAGAGGAGCCATCGCAGCAACCAATGCGCGCCGTGCCTTCAAAATTTGATCGGGTTGAGTGACAGCAAAACAGGATTTAGGCAAAAACTTATTTTAGTTCCTACTGGAATATACTCCTTGCAGATTTGTTTTGACGGAGATTGGGTCAAAAGATGAAATTTGCAGCTACCATTCTGATGTTGATTAATGTGTGGCAGCCTCTTTTTGGTGAGTTTGGAATATAACTGCTTCGTAGTCAAACCCCATTTATCAATTTGTTTTTGTCCATTTCTCCTTTATCTCTTTTATGGCTAAATCCTTTTTGCCATGGCCAGACCTGGAGTGAGAAATTAGTGGAAGCTATCAACAAAATGCTTAAAAGCTAATGAAGTCATGAATTGAGAAAGCAAAAATACTATGAGTAAAATCTGATTCCTTGAAAAGAAGTGCACCTGTTCTTTCTACAGTAGATGACTTGATTTATGTAATTATTGAAATACTTTATCTTAGTCTTTATTACTGTACATTATCAAAAAAAAATATTGGCAAAAAATATTGATTATCATATTCTTTTCAGGGACTGCAGAAAGTGCCTATATAAACGCCACACTGCCATCTAGCACTACAGCCGAGAATGGCACAAGGATTGATTTCATTCTAGATGCATTTGATCCACCTACATCAAGTGTTTATTATTTACTATTGAAATTTGGATATGAGAAGACAGGAGCAGCATTTAATAGACTTTATAATTATAACAAAATCACATCAACATTTACTCTTCACTCTCCGATCCCAGCAGAATTTGTGGGAAGGCTAACCACCTCTTTGACTGGAAGCAAACCAATGATATCAATTTCTCCGATATTGTTCAATGATGAAAATTATCAGTTCTACTTTGAGCTGGACTATGCAACAGCTTCAGGTGTCCCAACCAAGATTGACAGCCAGAAGTATATATTGCAAAATATTTACTGTAAGTGTACTTTTATCGTTTTGTTTAAGTAATTCGTTAAGATAACGATGCTTTTTACTTCTTCAAGATTTACTTTGATCAACAAGATAGTTATCCTCAAATTGTTGACTTCTTAGTGATTACAAATTGAAAAACAATTTACATATCTGTCAGTGCATTTATATGCTAGTTGATTTCAAAGTTGAAGGTAGCACGAAATCCCAGAAACATAAACGTCAGATAATGGCCGAAAGTAAGCTGAAAATTTATTTCTGTCGAATTTATTGGTAGCTGACTACTGCATCCTACAAACCGAGCATCATATCGGCACAAAAATTCATGAACAACTAAACCTTTTGATTCGTAGGAACGCAATCCTTTTGAATGGATAGGAGCATGATCTTAGCACTATATTTCACAGCAGGCTTCGCTTATAAGAATACTCTTTCTTGCTAACCTCTCTAACAGGTAAGTCCCAGGAACTTAGAAAGCCAGCTTTAGCCTCGATATAAACTTGAGATAGCGGTAAAAAACATAAATGTTATCTTTCACAAGTGACAAACGTTGTTCCTTTGCAGCTTTGGTTCCCGGGTCTTTACCCAAACTCCCTTCTCTCGACACCCCCACCCCCTCTTGATATCTGACATTTTCATTTAAAATTTTAAGCAAAGCCGAGATTTGATGAAGCTGCATCGATTCAATCTTCCACTGGACTAAGAAAAGGACTTGACTCTACTATAAGTTGTGTTGCCAGAAGCAGGCCAGTCTCAACTGTCACGTGGTCATATAACAATGCAACAGTCAATGCAACGCAATCATCAACGACTTCAACTAGTGGGAGCATCATTAGAGTAACAAGCACGTTGAGGATAAGAAATTCGTCTTCATTAGCAGATGGTGAAAAAGTCACTTGCTTTGCATCACATCAGTTCTCCACTCCAGTGAATCGCAGTACAATCCTCAGGATGTTTAGTGAGTTTTATTTAAAGTCATATACTAAACATCTCAAATTGTCACTCAGCTTTCATGATCTTTTTAGCATCTCAAGAACTCAATTATCAAAGCGCCACTTGGCCTCGCATTCATTTGGGAAAATGGTTTAAAATTTTAAGCTAATGCCATTGTTGCTTCAAATGATATGAAATATTTGCAAACAATCTTGGGGGGGGGGGTATAAAATCTAAAAGTGACTTTGAAAAAGTAAATATTTTGATACGATACTAAAGCATTTCGTCTAACACTCTTCATAATATAAAACATCAGAATTTGTTTCAAAATGGTTGCTTTTTTGAAGCCATGAAAATTTTATTTTTTCCGATCAGGAGCACCTTATGAAATCAGGTTAACAGCAACAACAACAAATCCTGTGAATGGTTCATCTGTGACGTTGACCTGTTCAGCACGCGCCTACCCAGCAGCACACTTCAGATTTGCGTATAGCAACGGCACTGTACTCCAAGATGGTGCAAATCCCAATTTTGTTATTCCTTCCCTGAACTACAAACCTTTTCCAAGCTACAATGTATCGTACAGATGCACTCCCTATAACTCATATGGCGATGCCAGTTATCAAGAGATCGTCCTCAATATTCAAGGTAATTCTGTCATCAATACTTCCCTCTAATGCTTGCAATGTCTGTTGAAGGTGTTTCTAGCAACATTCCTTAGTTTATTGTTCAAAGTTAAAAATCATGTTTAGCTGACTGTAGGCCGTTAAGCAACGCAAAAATTGCACATTTCCTGATTCATCCTTAAAATATTTAGAATAGTTTTATTTCTTGGATGACGCCATGTTACTGCATTAGTCATTCTTAAGAGAGTCAAAACTTAGTTTTTTCAGTGCTAACTGAAGACATTATTACAACACCCATTTTAGTAGTAGGGTCATAGCTTTTGTTTAATTTTTCCGGCTTTTGATTTTGAGCACAGAATCACATTCTGGTGTTTTTTTCAAGGTAAATTACGAAATCTTAGGATTATTTTCTGTTTTTGGCAAAGACGATGTCCTCAGTTATTGTTCGATATTCAGCTATATTTCTTAAAATTCTGAGTATTTGCCTGATGTTTTCTGTTATTCAAATTTCTTCTGCGTCATAGTGAGTCCACAGATAAGAGTACAGTCTTCACTTACTGTTATTGAGGGTCAAGATGTTCTACTCACATGTGTTGTGGTTGCTGCTAATCCGATGCCCGCAATAACATGGAAAGACCCAAGAAACAATTCTTTATCACACAGCAACGGAATGCTCCTTCTAAGGTCCGTTCGCAGGAACCAGGCTGGTGTATATACATGCAAAGCATCAAATGGAATTGGATTTCCTAAAACAAAATCTGCTTTGATAAATGTACAGTGTACGTTGTCTATTTACTAGAATTCAATTCAATTTTTATTTTTTTGTGATTTGATAAAGCAACGGTATAAGCATTCATGCTTCCTTGTCGGTAATATGACAGTGTCGTTGGAAAGAAATTCATATAGGGATGAGGTCTGCCTATTGTATTGCTTTCCATTCAGTACACTATTATAGAAAAATATAGTACAGTTTTACAATTATTAGGAGGGGGCTCCACCTTCCCCCCCCCCCAGCCCCCTGCTTCCGACAGCCTTGTATAGTGCTCGATAGCAAGACCAGTACTAACCCTACGCACTTAGGTAGGTTTTAAATTGCAGCTACATGTTTCACGCTTTCTACGATCGTCAGGCAAAGAGAAGAAATGAAAAAAGAATAATTTTTGAGAGACAGCTTTATCGAGACAAACATGCTAATAGAGAGACAGCTTCCTTCAAAATGCAACTAAAAGCACATGTCTTTTCAAAAGAGATGTTTTCAAGACATTACCTCCGCAGATGAGGATAAATATTTCGAGCTCGATATAAAATAAAAGCTCATATTTATGTTTATAAAGAATTTACAAATACACGAGTTGTGTTATTGCTGAAAAGGATATTTTAAAATGGCTTTGAAAAACGCAAAAATTTCACAACATACTTAAAGCTTTTCCGTCTGAGACTCCTCAGAGTATAAAACGTCAGAATAAGGTTCCAAAAGAACAAGATTGAAAATATATACCCAGTTGTTGATCGAAATAGGCCAATCAGAGGAACGCGAGCACATGACCGGTATAGTTGTCCAGTCAATATCGTTTTTGCATTAATGAGTTTTCTTGCTCGTGAATGAAATCGGGACAGTTCCAAAGCGCAAAATCGAAACTGTTGAGCAAATCATTTTTATATGAAGTATTTGACACGCGATACACAAGCTGTTCCAGACTGTACTAGCAGATCCTTTAATCTGTATAAAAATATTCTTTGTTTTCATGAAACTTTTTTATGCTTGCAAGTGTAATTTTTTGTTGCTAAATAAATGAGGTTGCTTGGCAAATTTCAAATGTATTGATGAAACACTTAACTAGAAACTTATTTTCTTACTTCCCATTACTTTAGAATCAGCATATAAACTAGGCAAAATAAGCTAAGATATTCATTACGTATAACAACACACTCTATCAGAACACCTAGCCTAGATTTTCCGAAGAATAATGACGTGGGAACATGAGCTCAGATGAACATTTAGAAGAAACATAAATGTCTTTTGGAATTTTTCCTCATGTTTACAAAACAGATGAGATTTATAAGGTGATCAACAGTATACTGAAAATTGCATGCAAAACTATTATTAAATGATCTTAGAAACAATTTTTAGTAAGTAAATGTGGAATTGAAATAAATCAATAGTAAGTACAAATCAATTGAAATAAATGTTGAACAACGTTAAGAACTCTTGAGCCTTCAATGATCCTGAAAATTAGAAAAGCGCTCCTCGGCAAAAATTATCTGGTTCTTATAGAAAAGAGTGTATTTCCACGATACAGAATTCTTCAAGTAGTAATTGTTGTGAAAGTCTTAAATTCGCTGCTCAGCCAATAAACACACTTGTATAATTTTCTAATTTTTCTAGATGGACCGGAATTTCGGAGCAGCAACACCATCATAACTGCCTGCAGACCAGGAACAGTTGTCATAAGATGTGTTGCAGATGGAAATCCTGCCCCATTTGTCAGGGTAGTGTTTTTCAAAAAGGACAAGGCCCTGGGAACCAAAGAGGCTTTGTATACAATTACCGATTTAGCAGACGACACTTTTGGTGTATACAACTGCGTGGCAAATAACTCAGTGAAGGAAGTACAAACAACAACCACATTGGTTAAGCGAGGTAAATTGTGTGCAACTTCATTGAAGTTCTTGGATTGGTGATTGGTGGAATACGAAGTGCTTCTTTTGTATTACAGTTTGATCTCGATAACTCAATTTTTTTAAATGATGACAACTGTTCGACTTAAATAAATTTCGAGTTATCCTGGGTTTCAACGTATTGGGGAAAGTTCAAGAAGAATTGAGTTGTCGGAAGTTCAAATGAACTTTCAAATGGGTTCGACCATTTGGCAGTATATTGAAACTTTTTCATGCTTTGTGTAAACAGCAAAGACTTGCAGTCTTGATTGTAAATAGGTAAAATAAGTCATTTTGAGACATTTTACTTGGTTAATCCAAGGCCCTTGCATATCAGCCATAACAATACAAGTTGTAATACAATTATAAAGCCATATATATTCGCCATATAATCCATACTCATTATATAAACCATAACTAGTCGAAAACGACCCTGAAAAGGGGACTTCATCTTTAGAGCTAAAAAACTATGCTGATTAAAAAGCCTCTATCAAACTTTGTTTGGTTGTAGATTTTCCAGATCCTGTAACAAACGTCACATACAAAGCAACTTTGGACACAATAGAAGTAACATGGGCCTTGCCAGTATGTACCGGGGCAAGTGGAATCAAGATGATCAGAATTAAACACAAGAAGAAAGATGACTTGCAGTGGTCCGTAAAAAATATTAGCAGTAGTGATGTCAAAGCCACGATTGTTAATCTGGACAGTGGAACAGAATATATCGTGCAAATTTTAGTTGTTGACTGGAAGAACAGAGGACATCAAGCCCTCCAAATTTTGCTAAGTACAGGTATGTTAACGCTATTCGCATCTCAAAAGCAGTTACCCTAAAAAGAGGGATGACAAAGCTTAATCTGTTTGATAAAATGATATAAATAAATAGTAATTTAAATATAACCATGATTGACATTTTGATGCTTAGTAAGGTGATTGTAATCAATAAATCTATGAGGTCCTGAATAGAAAGACTGTCGTTGCCAAGCATTCTAAAGCCATAATTGATATAGTTGAGCGTGTTGTAAGTCGAGTAATGAGCAAAAATAAATCTAGATATACTTTACTCATTTATATATATTTCATTTATATTTCATTCTTGTACAAAGTTGCTATTTTATTCTATTGATATGAGGTCCACCAGAAAGTTAGATGGAACCCGCGCCAAGTGAGGTTTAAAATTCAATATAAACTCTGAGTCGATAATGGCTGATCTGTCCATCGCATGTTTTTGATCGCCATAATATCAGAATTTCGTGTAACTAGAGTACAATAATTAGCATAGTTTATATTTTAGAAAAAAAAGGCGACAAAAATAGTTTTCCCAATCCTTGAAAAACGAATTGCGATAATAGTCGCTCCAATGCTAAACGAAGATCTCGTTCGCATGTTGCAAATAAGAGGCCAGCTCACCTGATTAGAATAAATCTTTATTATGCAGAAGCTTGCAAAAACGATTAATGCAACTCTATTAGGTGAGGCCGCCCATATTATTTGAGGCCGCCCATATTATATGAGGCCGCCAATATTATATGAGGCCGCCCATATTATGTGTGTGTGGTGGGGGGAAGGGGGGTGGTAGGCTCTGACTGCCAATTTTCTCTGCAGAAACTTAATGTTAGTCCATTTTAAGATAAATAATCCATTTTCCTGAAGACAGACAATGTTTCACATTGATACCCAGTAAGATATTTTCTTCCTATATGCCTAAGATATTATTCTACAGCATTAATCGAAGTATATGATGCAGCAGTATTCTGTTTTCAATATATTGGAGTTGCAGTAGTTACATTAGAATCCAATCAAGTCGGACTTTCGCAAATTCGGCCTGATTTTCTATCCCCGGTGGACTTTCTTAGTCAAAAGCTTTCACACTCTGAATAAGGCAGACATTCGCTAAGTCAAACAGGTACCTTAATCACCACACCCTCCCCTCCCCCCTGAAGTTTGTATGGAAACAAGGAATACTTCATTTTCCCTCTGAATGTTCTTGTACCTCATTATGATATGGTGCATTCTTGTTTTTGTTTCAGATAAAGCAAATACGAATCAATCTCAAGGAAACTCATTAAAGATGAATCCATATGCCATTGGATTGTACACCGTGCTAGGCGTGGTCATTCCATTGCTATTATTGTTAATTATGTGTAATCTTAGACAAAGGCGTGCCATGATCAAGTTATCAGGTAATCACTGTTCACCAGTCTTTTGAAAAGTGTTGCACTTTGCAGGTTGTAACTTATTGATTGCAGTTTGCCGCCAGCTTTACACACAGGGCCGTCGCTAGCTATTGTAGTTTCCAGGTCCCTCTAAAGGGGGTTCCAAGTCCAATTTTTCCGAACAAGTTTGACAAATTTGAAATTTTGCCAGCTAAGCACTCCTATTTTATCTAGCGGACCTTTTTTGGGGGAGGGGGTGTGACGCCTTCATATCTCCCCTGGCCACGAGGACGGCCCAGTGCACAAGTGCATAATTCAGCGGTTTGGAATTTTGATCCTGGGCTTTCACACCATTTTTATCAGAGTAAAGCCCAAGAATACTGAAAATTCAGTATTGTTGCAATATGACCAAAAGCTACTTTAGGAATAAAGGGATTGTATATTCTTAATTATTTGGATCCTCATATTTCAGATGCAGTGATGAAAGGCACTACTGAAAAGTGAGTCACTTGAAACTATGCTTGAAATTTTCTAGTGATTTCTGGCTCTCGTGCTTGGCAATAATCCCGTCACAGAGCGCTGTTTGAATAATGCTCGAATATTACTGTTTCCTTTAGCCTGAAATGCGATAGTAGTTTTATCATTAGGGGGGTTGCTGCCATATGTCTCGTACGCCTATGATGATGTTCCTAGGAAATCTTCAGAAATACACACAGTGTACTCTTACTGTATATTTTCTTACACTTGAGTTAAACATAACAGAATTCACCACAAATCTATAATGTTTACAGTTGCAGAAAGCCTTTGAGTAGAAGAGAAGGGAATTGTGAGAGAGAAATCATCCACTTGAAAAAACGTTTTTCTTCTCGGATGACATTGAATTGGGATTAAGAGGGTAGTTACCCCGATCCCTCATCTTTTTTGAAACCGCAATTTCCCCGCCATTATTATCACTCAAGCTAAATATTGGTATTTCAAATTTGCTAAAATTCGAAAAATAATGCTTATAGACAGGACATATAGCCTGACAATCTGACATCCAAGCTAATGTTTGCTTTCTCAACGGATTCTGGTAGTAAGGAGGTCAGGCTTTCATAATCTGCCAGGTGACTTTTTTGAAAATGCCTGGATGTCACGTGACTGATGACGTCATTTAACGGTAAAAAGTCAGACAAAATCATCGCTAGCTCCTCACTGAAGGGCTATTTTTTAACGCAACTTACATATTTTGACTCGTCTCATTGCAAGCTTTCAAATGATATATATTTAAGCAAGATTTGCCGACATAAGTATTTTCATTATGACGTCATAACAAATTTTGCATGACGTCATCAAATATTTTATTGTCATAAAATGATACGTTAGATATAATTTTGTTTTAATATGACGCTGGCTGTCAGCAAAAGCTTTTCTTCCATATGTTTTTCAATCAAAATAATTAGTATTTAGTTCATTTAAATTGAATTTGTGCCAACCGCAATAGCTAAAGTTTAAATAAAGAAGTCGTTACTATCTGACGAGTGAGTCACTTCTTCCTCCGAAATTGCAAAGTCTTGCTCCATATTTGAACCGGACAATGATTTCTCTACATCTGCATTTGAATGTTACACTAAATCGGAAGAATGTCTTGGCAATATAGGCTATCCAAGATGTCCTACCGATGTGCTAAAGGTGCATGACTTTTTTCAATAAGGCTATCTTCTGCTGCGAAATAAGGCCATCTCATAAATAAAATACTCCATCTGCCATTTTTCTGATGGTGGATTTATATATGGATCTGGTTCCTTACACATGAAATTAAGAAGAACAGCTTTATCTCCTTGTCAGAGTACACCTTCAGGAGTTGCAAGACTAGAGTTATGGTTTTGATGGGATATGAAAATGCCTTTTCGATAAAGGCAGCCTTGCCAATCACGAAAGCTTGGTGGTCTTCGTTCATTATTGAGACTGCTTTCGCTGTTTTCTTGGATCTTTGTGCCCCAGAATGCAGCTTAAGTTTCTGACTATACTTTCGTTTCTAGCAACAACCTACAATGCGAGCAAAATAGCTCATTTCTTTGAAATATTTCTTCCATGTTAGCGCTAGTGTCATCAGTCCGTGAGAACATTTTGTAAAAACGCCACCAGAAAACGCCAGATGGAGATTTGATGAGACGGCCTGAGTTCGTAGCATCAAACCCAAGGAAACATTCAGTGTTTGGTTCAAGAACATTCATGGATGTGCTAATCCTCCTTATGAGGCTAAAGCAATGAAAGTGGAAACAAAGTCAACGCTAAATATTTAGAAACAGCACACGAGCAAGCAAACGGCAAAAGAGAGTCAGCAAGGCAAGTGCATATAAAAAGTGGAGAGCAAAAGATACTCCAAAGTAAGAAGAATATTTTTACATTGATGAAAAAAAGAGAATCTTATGAGACTTGCTCCCGAATTCTTTCAAAGCGCTGAGGGTCACAGGCCCCTGACAATTCAATTTATCGTAGCTTAAGGAGGAGAAGCATCGGAGACTTCAAAAAGCAAGTAGAAGTCCCTCCAAGATGTAACCACAAAAAGGCGGAAACCAGAATATTTTGCATGGTGACTCGAAAGATGCAAAAGTAGTTGCTGTTGCAAAAGATACTGATTTATGTGTGCTGCTTGTTCATGCAACACAGAAGTGCAAACCCACAAATTAGTGGTTTATGTGCATAAATAGCAAACAAATCGTCAAGATTTGAGGCATCGCTGAAACTTTTGGTTCCAAAATTTGCTGTATTTTATCACAGATTAATGGAATTGTGGGCTGAGACAACTGCATATAAGCACAACATTGATAAGGTTACTGTGAAAAAAGCTAACGAGGAACCAGAAACAAGTCATCATTAAAAGTCTCTCCAAAGGAGTTATCGCAAAAGCAAAGACATTCGCGAAACAGCAGAATATAGTGGAACAACATATAAAAGCTATTTAGGGACAAAGATATTTATCAAATCTGAAAAATATCATCTGCCCCAATTCCAGCAGATCCATAATCACTCAATCAGAAAAGAATTAAATTGTATCAACTTAACAAGGTTGTTTTGGCTACACTGTTTAGGTGCAACTACTACAAGACATGTCCCAAAAGCCTGCTGTTGAAATTTGGACGACATACTCGACCGTCTAAATGGTTCACAGGATAGCAACTTCCTCATCTCCGAGAGCTTCCTTTACATCACAAGAATATGAAGGTGACGCAGGAGATGAATTTACCCATTAAGAAAATCATACACTTTCATACCCAGCGCTAAAGACCTATAGTACGAAAACATCTTGGACAGCCTATAATAGTGCGAAGATATTTTCCGACTTAGCAACAGTCAAATGCAGATGCAGAGAAATCATTGTCCGGTTCAGAGTGGGAGCAAGACTTTGCGACTTCGGAGTAAGAAGTGACTCACTCGTCAGATAGTGACTACTACCTGTTTCGAACTTTGGCTATTGCGGTGGGCACAAACTCAATTTAAATGAACTAAATACTAATATTTTAATTGAAAAAAATTTGGAAGAAAAGCTTTTGCTGACAGCCAGCGTCATATTAAAACAAAATTATGCTAACGTATCATTTTATGACAATAAAATATTTGATGACGTCATGCAAAATTTGTTATGACGTCATAATGAAAATACTTATGTCGGCAAATCTTGCTTAAATATAGATCATTTGAAAACTTGCAATGAGACGAGTCAAAATATGTAAGTTGCGTTAAAAAATAACCCTTAAGTGAGGAGCTAACGATGATTTTGTCTGACTTTTTACCGTTAAATGACGTCATCAGTCACGTGACATCCAGGCATTTTCAAAAAAGTCACCTGGCAGATTATGAAAGCCTGAACTTTCTACTACCAGAATCCGTTGAGGAAGTAAACATTAGCTTGATTGTCAGATTGTCAGGCTATATGTCCTGTCTATTACCACTTAGAGTTCAATTCACTGGATGATGATGCTAGATATTTCTACGTACCAACATGTATTTGATTTTTGATTATATCTAATTCAATTCGGCTACAATTCTGATTTGATAACACAAGATAAATCAAATACATCATAGCAACTACAATAACATTATCAAAATGACAGATCGAAGCAGTAAGAGGAGCCCTTCAAAGTACGTTACATGCGCGAGATTGAGGCTTCCCTTTTGATTCCACAATCTTTGCCTTTTAAGTTTCATATTGAATTCAATAGAGGTTAATTGAATTAAATGTATTCCAACAAAGATTTATTTCATTATATCATCCCATTTTGATTTCTATCTATTCGCAGGAGTGCAGGTCCTTCTGATGATCAACAAGGATACACAAGTCTCCGGTTTGAGAATCGAGCTGAACCGTATGCAACGATTGCGAACCCTTATCCAGAGAGCGCCGAAGGAAACACAAATTCAAACTATATGGAGTTAGGCCCAAGCAGAAATATCGATCAGTCGTATACGACTCTTTCTAAAACTTATGAAAATATCAACTCGCACTTGTGATTAGAATCTACAAGAACGGTAATTTGCTGGAGAATCTTAAGAATTAGAACTACTAAACCTGCTAATTGAAATTGTGCTAAAGCAGAGACGCCGGAACGACAAAGAGCAAGGGGGACCGGCTTCAGTAAAAGGGCATTTTAAAAAATTCCCAGCTTCTACTGATTCTCTTGAAACTGTCATTTTATTTCGGTGTTCTGTACTCATCGTGTTAATTGGCTAACTGCTGCCATAATAAATTATACAAAGCCGAGATCAAAAGTGCTTCTATGAAAAGTGCACTTTGACCCCCTTGCCCCTTCTATCAAAGGGTAAAAGCGGCGGTTGCCCACCCCCCTCTTCGTCCCCCTCTCCGGCGTCCCAGTGCTAAACCTTCAAAAGTTTTTGTAAATGGTTGCAAGTTCTGCTGAATTCCCTTTCTATATTCTGACTTCGATCCACGTTTTAATGCAAGCTTTGTTTTCTTTCTGTCTCAGTGGCTGACCTTTCTCGCTGTATTCAAGGGAGCCTGTTTGGTTTGAACCCATAGCCTTTTTCACTGCAGGGCGTTATTCTCCCCGTGACCGTGTGCCATTGATCATACAAAATCATAGGTAAAAAATTTCCTCACAGGAAATTTTCAACAACGAATAAACAATTTGATAGTTTTATACACTTCACGAGAAGTTAGGCAATTTGGAATGAAAGAAAAGTAATGTCATTACATTGAAAATGATCAAAATTATGTTTAGCACAGTGATATTGTGTAGGGTGTATCTCAGTGCACCTCGCCCTTGCCCCTTCTTTTCGTAGCTCTACCCCCTGGTTTTACAAATAAAGTCTTACTTCTATTCAGTATTTCTAGCAGTGTTGCTCCCTCCTCTCAAGATTAAAGAGGTGAATGTATGTTAGTGTTTATCCCTTCATCTGTAGGTAAAAGTGTAGTTTGTACCTCGGCAGTTATCTCCGAGCTTCCAGTTAACTTGGTATTTGCTTCTTCCACTTGATTTTGCCAAACGTGTCCACTTACCAGGCACTCCGACTTAAAGAAAAGGAGCCTTACAGGCTATACAGAAAGAGCCAATCTTCCATAAGATGTATCTTTGTATAAATTCTTTTGCTTGCAACTCAGTCACAACACGACAGACTCATTTCGTCTGTGCATAATTGTAGCTTTTTTGATGAACAATTCGTCAAATCGTTTAATTCGTTTTTGTGCCTCCTGCTTGATTCAAACTACATTATTTTGACACAATCTTTTGGCGGTACAAAAACTTAAAAATGGCTTTGAAAAAGGCAAATATTTGAGTAAACTAAAGCTTTTCGTCTGACACTCTTCAGAGCTTTAAACGTCAGAACATAGATCGAAACCTCTACGTTAGGAAATATATATACCCAGTTATGGATCGAAATAGGCCAATCAGAAACGCGAACACATGACTGTTGAGGCTGTCCAATAAGTGCCGCTACCTATAGAGAATGTTACCAATAGAATCCTAAGGTGAAAACGAACTGCTTTTGGCTACACAATAGCGTTTTTTTTTCGTGCTGATGTAGATAGATTCAAAAACTGCTATATGGAATGACGATCGGGCTTTACCAATAATCCGAAACATATCACCATTACAGCTTTTTGCACAATCTGGGTTTTCCAATAAATGCTGCCCGATAGCAGAATCGCAGGTTTTAGTTGTACTTTTAAGATCTGCAAGACCGAGGTGGCTTGATGCTGGAGAAACTCTTTAATAAAGGACGTTGTCCCAAAAGCGACGGACCGGAAGTGACGTCACGCTCATATTACTTAATTAAAAAGTTATCCTTAATTAAAAAGTGACAATTTACATTAAATGCATCATATTTAATCTAAGTATGTTTCATTTTGTGAAATTCAAGGTCACGTGACACCTTCAAGCTACTCTGAAAACATTTCCATTGCATATATATTTTTGAAATCCACACAAAATAAGCTTTGATTTGGTATATGGAGGCCTTCATCCCTCCGAGTGGCAATGAAAGTGGCTTGGCCCATCTAGGTATTTTGGTTTTGTGCTAGCATGGGAACGGTTCTCCTAGTTTCGTTCATATTCACATTAAAGTCACAAACATTGTACAACTGGTGCTATGACTTGGTTTGATATTTATCTTAGATATCTAGGCATAAGGGAATTGCATAAGGGTACTATTGTGATATCTTGTAAGAAAATAAGCACAGCCATCCGAAGAACAGTCAACTTAACTTGCACATTTGAAAATTAAGGCGACACCAAAGCATTCTTTTTTTAGCCCGCGTGCAGACTCCGTCTACAGGCTACTTGTTTAGGCAACATCTGCATTCGATCTGCCAAGAAGTTACTACATCGTACCTCATTGACATTAGATTACATTAGATTAGTGAGTGACATTAAATAAAATAAAATGCTTAGTGAAAGTATTTCCAAACACAGCCATTTTTCAACTAAGGAAATGTATGTAACGAGTTGTAGAATTTTACAGATGATTCTACCGAGGAACAATTGAAAGTATTAGTAATAGTTTTGAAATCATCGCTGCCAAAAACCATATGTTTATTAAGATTTGGAACGAAATGGCAATATAAAACACACTAGATAACTGAATAAACTCTTTGACTGACCATGCTATGTGCATAAGGTAGAGTCTTCCACCTCAAAAAATATCTAGCATGCACATAGGCTATAAGGCTAATGAAAATTAGTATCGGACATACTGTTAATACCTTTTTATGTTAACTGTGGCCATGTAGACTTCATCTTTGTTTGAACATCCCTTCAAAATACCAGCAATAGCGATATCATAAACCTTGTTTGCTTTATACATCTTGCCTTGCAGTTTGGTGAGAAATTGTTTGGCGTTCACTTCAAACCAAATCTTGAATAATGTCCCGGGAGTACAAAATCTTTACAATGCCAATTCTCCGAATGCTCAAGAATCACGTGCAATAAAGATGTCAATCAAAGCAGCCCTGGCATGGGAATTAAAATCACAGATAAGAAGCATTTTCAAACATCTCATACTTCCATGAATTTTTCTAATGCTCAACAAAAGGTACAGTTACCACCAAATCTTTGTACCCTGACGTCAGTTTTCAAAGGTGCATTCAACCATCCCACTCTCACTCTTCAAACAATGTTGATTTTCCATAACATCATGTAAAAAAATTAATTAGTAGGTTTTTTTCCGTGACATCTGTCTAAACTATCAAATTTTTTCTGGGTAAAAGGCGGAAATAGTAGCAGTCAGGAAAAAATGAAGTAATTCAAGAAGTTAATTTCGGCTAGCATCATGTATACTTCCGTTGGCCCTCTAATCAAGCCTGTGTTCCAGACCATTGGCTTGAAAGATGAAAATTTTAGATTAGGGGTAAGCACCCTAAGTGGCTTACTGGTGTCTTTACAGCACCACATTTACCTCATGCGTGCATCTGTTTTGCGTTCTATAATCTATCTTTTCAGTTTAGCATTAAGCTTTTATCAAAATTTTCCTTGGTAGATGGTAAATGGAATTACCCTGGGAAACACTGCAAAGAGTGATACTAGACTATTTTACGAAAAGGCGCAACGAAAATAATAAAATGAAAACAAAGGCTGAACTGACTATCTGAACAGTTTAGTTTGGAATAGACTAGAATCGGAAATGCAAATAGTCCCTACGATTCAGTCATTCAAAAAGAAATTAAAAGCTTTAAACTGAGAACATTCAAAGAAAGCTGATCTGCATCTTTATTTTAAATTTCTTTGTATTACATTTAGTAGCTTCTTTATTGTATCATATTCAATAGTTTTTATCTTTGATTATAAAAAGGTTTTTATCTTTATGTAGTTAGGTTTATTTTGTTATTTTGCTGGTACAATTGGAGAGCAGTTTAAATTGTTACCTGAATTGTATCCCGGGTAAATGTGTCTTTAATAAAATGAATGAATAAAAAATAAGCTCGGCTTCCCTAGATAAAAATAAGAAAAGATTACTGACAACATTATCAAAATTGTATTGGTAACCAATAGAGTATGTTGTAACCAATGAGGTATACACCTCATTGGTTGTAACCCTCTTTCGTGTACAATCTATGACGCAATACGCATGACAATAAGAGGTTGAAATGGGAACGAGGCAGGCCTTTGATCAACTAACAAATTTTTACTGGAGTGGAGAAATTTGGTGTCTTGTCCCAAAATAAATCAAATTCATAGACCAAAGTTTCTTCAGACACAACAATGAAGTGCGGTGGAACTGCAGATGCAGCTCCAGCTGACGAGGAGACACAGAAAGTGATTGATACGGTAAGAGATTTCCAGGAAAAGACCATATGTTCATGCGTAATTGTGTTGAAAAGTTTAATGTTTTTAATCATCAACTATGGCGGATAGTCAAGTTCCTCCTTATTCTTAAATTGATCTGATGAAGGTGCACACCCTTTTCACAATCCTTCGGTTTGGGAATGCTCCTTTCGTTCCCCGTCCGCATCGCTACGAGCCACCTTTTTTTATCGACTCGCTCAAGATGCGGAAGAATGGGCGTGGCCCAACAAACTACCCTTTGGGAAAGGGATTTCTATTCCTAAAGGTACCAATTTCTGAGGATTTGCAATTAAAAAATTCTTGTAACTAGGTGCTAGTCATGTTTTATCATGCTGACAAGCTCTTTAAAAGAACCATAATTTGTTGCAAAGTAGATAAATCATCTACTGCAAGTACTGTTGGTAGGATAAAATCATTGGAGGTGGCCTATATTTTAGAACAAAGGGATTTTTGTTAGAAACAAAGAATTTTTATTATTTCCAAGGGGCAAAAATCCATTTAAAAAATAAAAGTTGATATGACCCTGTTCATCACCTTTCTAAAGTCTGTCTCCATGAATTATATTGTGCAAATCTTCAAATCCCAACTTTTTTCCCTCTTCTTTCAATTTAGCTATTAGTTAGCAATTTCAGCTTCATAAAAAATTAAAATAAATACTAAACAAGTTTCTTATTTCAAAAAGCAGGAAAAACTTTTTCCTCTAAACTCATTTGAATTTAATCATTTGAATTTTTCCTGCTTTCTAGGTGAAGCAAGAAGTTGAGCAAAAGCTTGGAAGAGAATTACAAGTGTTTAAAGCTTTGCGAGTAGCAAGACAGATGGTCCAAGGTTTCAATTTCTTTGTCAAGGTATGCTTATTTTTATGTATTGCCAGAATCTCTTCAGTTGCCATCAAAAACTGTGAAATTTGACCATTTGACAAACCTTAAGAACCCAATTTAATAGATCCAATTAGTATTTATTTCATTAAACATCTCTTTTTTCTTTAATAATGTGCATTTGTAAGTGATGTTTAGAGTAGAGATAGTAAAATCAAAACCAGACAAATTTCAATTACAACAAATTCCCATTGGTTTGATTTTTCATTATAAACTTTTGTAATTTCCAACTTCCAAACAGTTATTGGCAAGTAGTTCTCAATGTTTTCTTGCCGTTACTCAATGTGTTTTGTAATGTTTTCTCATACATGCATCACAGAGCCTTTTGAAATTCTTGAACAGTACAAAGCATATGGCCTTAAAGACTGGCATTAATTATCACATTTAATATGTATTCTGTTTTAGAATTTGCTACATCAGATATATGATGTTAATCAAAGAACTATTTTATAGCAAAGAGGTACTTACATATGCCACAAAACATAATTAACAGTTTGAGTGAGCTGTCTACCCTACTTTTCCCCAAGATGTTTCTCTCTCTGAAACTTGCCCTCTTGATTTTCTTCCCAAAGTCAGGAAACACTTTTTGTGATTGCATGATGTAATAATTACTTGTTTCACTGGGCTCTCCAATAGGTTCAATCTTTATACCTATTGACATCAGAATAAAAGAAATAAGCTCACTGGAGTACTTTTATCTTCAAACATAACCTAGTGACATCAGTATGTTCTATTAGAATTTTTTTATCTTAATAATTCATAATTTTTTAGGTGGATATTGGGAACAATGAATACATACATGTCCGTATTTATCAAAATCTTCCCTGCTATGGCTCCAAAATTGAACTGCATGGAATTCAAGTTGGCAAAACAGTAAATGATGATGTTGGTTATTTTGAAGGGTTTCAGCTTTAGTTGACATACTTACCAAAATTTATTGGAAGAAATGAAAGCTTATTTGATCTGAATTTGAACTAATGACATTTTAAGATATTTTACGAACACAATTTTTTGTATCCTGATACAGCAATACACGAAGAATTTCTTTCACAGTCATAACCTCATTCGTGTTATTAATTTGGGGCAAATTTGCTAAATCTTGTAGTTTTATTTACTCAAAAATATATTACTTATTGAAATCTGCCAATAATGACTGTAGCCTACTTTTTTTCATTACCTCAAATGCAATTTTCTGTTGCCCAAAAAATGCAACTTAAAAGTCAGTCATTCTATCTGTTGCACTGGTTCTACCCCATCTATAGATGATTTGAACATTACCGCATTAGGTGAGATGCTAGGACCCCCTTGGAGTCACAAAATTTGGTCACAATGGTGTGTTGAATGGCACATCAAACTCATTTATGAAAATTTCAAGACTGTTGAATGTTTGCAAATCTTAATCACAATTGACCATGAAATTGGCAACAAGACAACTTATTTCAATACAATATATTTCTAATCACCTATTTTGCTGGAGATTAAAAAGAAAAACTTCTGTTCCCAAAACATTAACATTATTTTGAAAGAAGCTTCCATTTACAATAGAATAACCAAACAATTCAAAAATAATAAATTAAATTCAAATTATACAAATTTTATGATTAGTTAATATCAACATCTAGGCATATCTGCTGAAAGAGTTTATAAAAGGGATTTTTATAAAAATATTTTTGGTTTTTAGTATTAAGAGTTATTTGTGTGGACTTGTTAGCTAGTGGGAGAGCTTCTATCAGCAAAATGTGAGAAAAAGCTTTTCAGCTTGGAGGGTATCCACTCAGTATAAAGGCAAAGGGCTTTTAAGCAAGAGGCTTCTCATTTCGAGATAAGGATGTCAAAGATACTGCAGAATAAAGAAAACCTGTTAGAAATGCCTTAATAAAATTTTCTTTTGAAAATATCTTTAACTTTAAATTCTTTTTTAAGATATATGTGTCTGGTCCCTTTAGAACATAGTTGAATGAGACCTCTAAACCATTTCCCTTCTTGTTGTCATTTCCCCCCTTAAGAAAGTTTTGATTATCGATGCATCAGGTCATATAAAAAAATTTACATCATTGGTTTATTTTTTGGTCCCAGTAGCTGACGTCTGGGGAAGAAATTTCTAGGCCCATAGCCTATATGTCATGTGTTTTTCAAATTGAAAATTGTAAAAAATTGCATATAGGCCCATGGGATTAATATAGGGGTAATAGAGTACATATTATTGCCAAATGGTATATCATGTTAGCTTTTACATAAAGTAATGTTAGCCATGAAGTCATTGAATTTTGTGTCATTGGACATTAACAATCACCGTCCTTACGATAAAGGCCAATTAGTATGTTGTGATTGGCTAGTATCAAAAAGAGTAAAATGGGATTATGTTCCCAAGCAAGTGAATATTCATGATAGAAGACTAATAATTTTTTTAAGCCTTAATATTCTTAGCCAGCCAGAATTCTTGTCCCAAAAAAGCACCTAAATGGTACTGAAAGGACAGAATGGCATCCAAAAGAATTTTGTTTCATGCATTACACTACATTAAGACTTACCTTAAATTTTGAAGAAAAATACTACAATCAAATTACTTATAAACCTGTTGAAAGGTACAAAAACTCATATCAAATAAGCTGCTCTTAAGTGTGTATGTGTGTGTACATGCGTATACCAGTGGGTTGTGAAAAACCAAACCAAGCTCCGGTCACAATAAGCAAAACTGTTACCGGTCACCACGAAAGAAAGGCACAGTCTTTCAGGTTTTAAACGCTGAAAATTAAAAGCAGGATAGTTATTAGATTGTGAATGGAAATCAAAGGAGATTGAGGTTAATTTATGATTTATGATCAATGATTGTGATGAATGATGGACTGATTACTGATTGATGACAATTGATTAACTATGATTATTATTGACTGGTTGATAACCATTGATGATTGTCTGGTGGACTGGTGATTTGCAGGTTGACTGATGATGGTGATTGCTTGATTAGTAATCAACGATGAGTGGTTGATGATTGGCAGTTGGCAGATTAAATGACTGGTAATGGTAATTGATTGATGAATGATTGACTGATGATGATTGACTGATTGATGATGGTGACTGGTTGGTTGTTATGATTGATTGATGTTGATTGGTTCGCTAATCATTGATGATGAATGATTGGCTGATGATGACTGAACATGACTCATGATTATAGTTATGATCGACGGTGTTGATGAGCACGATAACGATGATTGAAAATTGTTATCACGATGTCTACGCAAAGCAGCGTATCTGTATCGGAAAATCATGGAACTGCCAATAGACACGTTTGCTAACATAAACGGCTAGAGATACCTGATTTTCAAGTATTTAACCACTGGGATATTCTAATTACGTAAACAAGTTTAGAAAAAACTGTCAAATAAGCAGGAAGCGCTAGGTTCACAATTGATGGAATTTTGTTATCAATCTGCATCTGCTGCTCGAGGGGTTTACAAAAATTTTAAATATCCGATATAACCAAATCTATCAGCCTGAAAAAAATAAAAAACTTGTGGGAATCCTAGGAAATGTATTAGAATATCGATCTCTTATCATAGGGTTTCCAGCTCAAGTTGGAAAGAAAGTTAAGCAGTACCAAAACATTTTGGTTTCAATGGTGTAAATATATTTCCAGTCCAATTAGTAGGGTGGAAAGACTGCTGCAGTAAGGAGGAGAAAAGATTTGATAAAAAAGGCTATGAAATAGACGATGACTACTGCGGAGGTTATATGAAATACTCTGAATACAGCATACAACATCAGCCAAAAATGATGTTGCTTCTTAATAAATGAGCGTTTACTAGGTTTTGAAAGGTGTGGTAAGAAAAGCATTCCAGCTGGCTCAACTCCTAGCTCCCCTTCGTTCCATTACATGACCTTCCTCAATCATGGACCCACCCATGAAGGTTACACTGAAACGCCATCAACGGATTCAACAAAAGTGCTGCATATCTCTGAAATCTATTTCCAAAGAGTATTTCAGTAGTGTTTAACAGGAAACTAGCAGGCATAAATCCTTGTATTGTGAAAATAAAATAAAATGCATCCAACTTGTAAAGGGACTGGGTTGTATCCAAAGACAGATTTTCGAAGATTTTCATTTGGGCGAAGAGATGACTGCGATAATGAAATGACATCATTCTCATAGATCTCTTACGTTACAAAAAGGTGCAAAGACCGGGTTACAGAGACGAGACAACATACATGCAAGCAGTAATGTTGATATGTATATGATGCCATTATTCTAAGTATTTTTTGGATTGCAATGATTATGGACAATTGTTTATTGTATTAAATGCTTGTCAGATCACTGCAACAGGTCTCGCAAACAATCCTTTATATTTCAATGTTAAATACAACAAGATATAGTATAATATAATAGCAAATCGATTTACAACATTTAGATTTTCTAGGCTTCTATGAAGTATGTTTAGCTTGGAAAACTACACGCTTTAGTATCATCTGAATATGGTGGGCTGTACCAAAAAGGATTGGTAGTGCTTTAGAACCCCCCTAAAGAATGATAAGACTCCAATTTTGGGTTACCTTGGAGGTAAAGCATAATGCAGTTAACTGAAAATGGAATAAAATTGATGAAAAATGCTTTAATCGTTTCTGGGCAAAGCCTTGAATGAATTCCAAAAAATTTTTCCCTGGCTTTATATGGGACATTGCCATACATAGAAAAATTTAGCCATCTCTAAAAATTGTTATATAAAAACTAACCATTAATCAAGTACTATTGACATGGTCAATTAACTCGGAAACAAAAGTCAAAATTATTCGGACACTTACTAAACCTTGGTTTCCGAGGAATCGTCGAATCTTTTGTATGAATGAGAGGCTTCACTGGGCGATTCCGCAATAAATACTTCTGGATCCGGATTAATGTGAACGTGATTGGTTACACTTCTACGTGTTGGCGAGGCGGGTGTGTCACTTTCATAATCCGACCGGCCCTCTGATACACCGAGTGCTTTCCGGACGGGCCGAATAATATTCCTCCTAGTCCTTGTGATCAAAAGTGGACTGAATTCGTCATACTCGGCAGATGATAAAAGTCCTACCGTGCGTTCCTCGTTTTCGACCCAGCGTCCAATCATGTGCTCAACGGCTTCTTGGTATTCCTAAAGAAAAAGACAATGTGATTGACAAAAATGTTTTGTGGCAAGATCACTACAGTCGTGATGTAGAGGGTGAAAGGGAAGAAGTGAAGATGAGCTGTATATCTTATTGGTTGATAAGGAAGGAAAAACCAGAAACTGAAAATTGATACTGGAAATTGATGCACATTAATACTCAAACAATATCAAGGAACAATTTTTTGTTATTTTGGAAGTCTATCGGTTTAAAACGAGATTTGTCTAGCGTTTGAAAATTTCGGAAAGAAAAAAATTCGGTTTCAAAAATCTTCAGTGGCATTAATTTTCGGTTGCCCTGCATCATCGAAAATGGATTCCAACAAAATTTTTGGTACTTAAAGTACTCAAAAGTAACCAAATATAATCCATGTTACAATGTTAATTCACCGTCCTCAGAGAATCATGCACCACACGTCTATGTACCTGTACCAATGGTGTATTTACTTTCTGAAGGAGAGTCTTCGTTATAACGGTACCCAGTTGAAATGAGTCTCACCAATTTAACATGAAACGACATTCGGTAGGCTTTCGTTATCAACGGTAGTTCTTACACGGGGGTTACCACCGAATTGTAAATCAGTAGGATCCAAAGGAAATCCAAAGGAGATCCAAAGGAAAGCATTAAGGTTTTTAGACACAAAAACTGACTCACTAATGGTGTAGGGTCTTTTATGAAGAACGGGATCAAATATTTCCTATCGAATCTTCTCCATCCACGGATGATGCTCATGGGGGACTTTCTATTTCGTTCACGATATTGTGACATTTGCTTGGTAGCGTGGTGTGGACCAACAACTTTACCCTGTCAAAAACAAAACGAACAAATTTTAACTCTAACTAAATATATACTCTCCCTTAACATTTCATTTACAGCCTCGATAGCTGTGAATCTTTGATGTGAGAAAGCCCAAAGAAATATTCTTCAGACGAAGAAAAGTAGTTTCCGGTTTACTTTTGGTCAGCCCATTTTTCTTTACGGTCCCAGCTTCTAGAATTTTTTCCTACTGAATTCGCCATAATTATTTTTCTTTTGGGGGGAGGATAATTGTCTCTTGGCCTGGCAGCACTCAAACCCCTATACACCGTTCGATAACGAAGGGCCCCTGATCGAAAAGGGATTTTAACGAACTTTAATATCCGTGTTTTTAGGATATTGCTGAAGTTGGCCTTGCTTTTAAAAACTTTAAAACAGCTTTAACCGAAGCATGTAACTTCGCTCCTTCCCAGTTTAAAAGAAAAAATATCCTTTTCCATCTTGCTATTCTGTTTAACATGCTATAAACATTGAATAGGACCTTTATACAGGCCGTACGTAAGGGTCCCTGTGAATACGCACTATCTACTAACCTATACTGTAAATTGCATTTACTTGATAAGTCTCACAGTTATTACATACAATGTATATATTTCATAGTTATCATTCTAGTTCTATCGTTAGCTGCAATGTAAAACAGGAGATGACTGATCACGCCAACTAGAGAAGTCTACAATCAGCTGTAACGGGTACGGAGCACATAGGATTGTGGTGGGGTTGGCCCGTCATAAAGGTTGCTGTCTTTGTTACCAGGAACACATTGACGTTTCGGTTTTCTCATCCCTTGAGAAAAAAAATCCCTCGATTCGATCCATCAAGAGGCCTAAAAATGCTGCCTTTAGGCCAACGGACTGGGACGAGCGATTGGCTAGACGCAGTTTATGTGGGACGTTTCTTAAAGACTGTGACTCATTAATTCGCCGTTGGAAAATGTTAATCGAAATAGCTAGAATTGAAGGGATTTTTTATAATTGCTGCGATGATGTTTGGATTATTTACTAATATCAAAAGTAATATGTTCGAATGGTGGCGTGATAAATTCTACAGGTCAAAAAATGCAGCAATTGGTTTTGATTTTAGATGAAGTAAGATGAATAGCAAGCAATGCAAACAAAATAAAAACAATAATATAATAAAAAAAACGAATCGTTCGACAGGAGTTTACACTTCATCGTCTGATGCTGTTATCAACATGTGTCCTAGTAATGGAAAATCAGTTGTGAATAAAACTTTTAACTCTTATTTGATATTTACCTTTTTAGCTCAAAATTGTAATTAGGTAAAAAATAAACCGATATTGTCAGATGCTGTTAATACTGAGCGAATCAATCTGTTAAAAAGATTATTAATTATCATCATTATGCTCTTACCAGCCCGAGAGACTTGCTGACGAATCCCTTGTTTGTCTTTCTTGCACTTTCAACTTTACATAGCTAAAGAAAGAATCAAATATTATTGATATCAGGGACAACACAGTACCGAAACAGCGTAGAATCTTGTGTAGAAAACCAAAGAATAGCACGTTACTGTATAGAATTTCAAGAGCCTCTACGGGATAGCACTTATAAGATTGATAGTGATGGAGCATCTAAATCTGTACAATGATGTCTATATGAAAGATGACTTTGCTAATCAGTCTATCTTTTTGCAAAGTAAAGTTGTTTTGCCAAATATGACATTACAAGTTCAACACAGTATACAAGAAAGGGGCTTTTTAAAGGCAATAGGCTGAAAATGGATAAGATCGTCACGATAGGAAGCATTTATAAAGCAAAGGAATACAATTCTGAAGTATCATTACCTTGCTGAAATGTTCAAGACATGGCTTTTTTAAACAAGGAAATAGGTTAAGTTTCAGATCCACTGTTATGGTCTAGAGGCAGTAAGCCTTGGTTTACATGGTGTCTACCCTACAGATGATGTTATTAATACCAACCGCAAGGGAAAAACTTCCCAAATGAAAAACATGTCTGACCCCAAAACTACACAAACGGTCCTCTGCAAAGAACGATTAAACGAAGGTGGCAAAAAACTTTTTTGATTCCTTCAAGAGATCAAACAATTTTAAATGTCAATCGCTTTATCAGACCATTTCAGAAAGGTCTGCAGCTACATCAACAATACGGTAAGAAATCAAGACCATACCTTGACTAAAGGAAGTGTGAAGCCTCCAAGCACCACATTTGTGAATACAGTGATGGCAAGCGTTGTTGTCATGATCATTCTTGATGCTTCTTCGTTGGCCAACGGCAAGTGAAGACTCTGCGCAAAAGCAACAGCTCCACGAAGACCTTTCGAAACAAAAACTGACGAGTCATTTTAGGTTTGGATGAACTGAAAGTAACTTGAGCAAAAGCTTTGTGAAATGCTCTGTGGAGGAGACAGGAAAACAGAGTGGATATGGATGGGGAGATCAGTTAGATAGTACTGATGTATAGCGAGGCTGCGTGTAAAAGAGGAGGCATTTCGTCTAAATGGGGATTTCATACAAGAAGCACGAGAACACATTGCATGTATGAGGCCTTAAAGAAGGGCAGGTCACGACGATGCACAAGTCGACCCAAAAGCCATACTGCACGACACTTTCAATTTAAACTCAAACATAAAAATCACAGCTGGGTTTTGCCTAACTATGACATCTTTCCTCTCAAGAGCTTTTTCTGTGTGCGACAGGCTTTAACAAGCTAGGGTTAAAAAAGGTCCTAAGTTAAAAAAAATAGCACAATTTAGATAGTTATGACAAAATTAGCAAAATAGGAAGCAGCTGGGAGCAAAAACTCCGTAAAATCTAACGTAGGCACGTGCAGTTGAATCTCGTTACGTTAGACCTTCGTTGGAGGGAAGAAAATGGTCCGATTTAGCAAATGTCAGACTTGATTAAGGTCGAATGGGAATTGAAAATTAGTCTAACATAGTAAAGGTCCTGGTTGTCAAGGGTACTACTTAACGGAATTCAACTGGATTTTTGAACCAATTAATCTAAGAACGATTGGTGCATAGAGAAAATATGAAAATAAATGAATAAGGTTACGTTCTCTTACCACTAAACCATATAAGTGAGAGAATTTTCAAAGAGACTCTGTTCTCTTTAATTCGACAGAAGATAAAAAAGAGCGACAATGGGAAAACAATGCAAGCTCTTGCTACCAAGCAGGCGAGCTAAAAAAGAGATAAAGGCCAAATAAATAAAGAGATAAAGACCAAGAAATAAAGAAAAAAGAGAAATACCAGTAAACATTTAAGTTCAAATATCTGAATCACACGAGAGTGGAGAGTTAACTGGAACTTATCAATTAATCTTTTGTAAATGCATTTCATTTAGCGTCGTTATTTACTTGATTATTTATCAAACCAGAACTCATGCTGTTAAAATTGTAGTCAACTCAAGATCATTTGATGTTCGCGTGGATAAAATCACGTGACTCTTTGTCTCAATCTCGAATCCGTCCTTGCTTCTTCAGCTTAACCTTCACTTTGAGCGGCAAAAGCAAGAAAACCGGATGCAATCAAGCAAATCTGACATCAGAAATATATTAAAATTGGTAAAATGTATCTTTAAAGCTTATTAAAGTTATTTCTATATCTTAGAAGCATTTTTAAGTTCAAGTATTTCAATGTATGTTGAGACAGTAAATATCTTTTTAAATGATGAAGATCATTGTGATGACTATAATTGAGTATTATTATTATTGGACAGAAGAAAACGACTCGAAACTTCTAGAACGCTGGCATCCTGCTGCGACTATGAACGCATTGACAGAAAACAATGAAGATATTAGACATGCTGAGTAGACACTTAATAAAAAAGAACAATAAGCTTCGTAATGAACTAATTATAGAAATGTTGCGTCATTCCTTTGTAACTGCTTGACCTATTAATTCCCGTGATTTCTTGTTTATTCCCGAACTTTCCTTTTAAAATGGTTTAAAAGTAGCATTTGTACGATTTGAGTCTTAGTATTAGTTAGTTTGATAGTTAGTCTTTACGCTCTTCGACGATAGACGATTATTATAAACGACTTATTATTGCTCTCATAATCGGAGAGTTATTTTTCTATGATCAATCTTCGGATCAATTAATATTATTATTATGATGCTGATGATGATGGTGATGATGAGGATGATGATGATGATAGTGATTATGTTGACCATAAAAGAAGACAGCGAATACTATGGCTTAATTTCTACCTGAGGGTCGCTACTATAATATTATTAAAGTAATTTGTCCTGATGCATTTCGCTGGCCATTTAAATTTCCCATTGGTTGGACTACACAATAACCTATTGTTACGTAGCCAATGGGCAAAGTAAGAATAGTTCTCAGTGATTTCTCGATTATAAACGTGCTGCAAAGCCTATTGCAGACTCTGAACGGTTGTCTGACGGGACAACAGGCCTCTAATGAAAAATTTGCACCTACCATTGCAAAAGATATAAATCGAATATCGAACTCATGCTCAGAACTGAAAATTGACATCCCTAAGAACAGGAATACAAGCGTTTCTAAAAAAGACAATAATGAAATACGTTAAAAAACTGCTTGCAAAAAACAACCAGACTAAATGCTTTGGTGTAGCTGTGGTCGTAAATAAAAGATAACAAAAAGAAAGGAGTGTCATGCATCAGAATATAAACATATTGAAAAAAATTTGGCAGGTGATTTTTTATCCTTTTTAAAACAACTGGAGGAGACAATGGTCTTCTGTTCTAAAATAATGGGAACATCTGACGTCATCGTATCAAAACAATAGGCTCACCCCCTCCCCTCGCCATTAGACTTTTGACATTTTGGTCCTTTGACATTTGGCTTTTGCTATCCAGATCTTTTGCAATGTAAATACCTGACTTGCGGTATTTTGCTCTTTTGAAACCATATTATTTTACTTAAAATATTTCGATCCTTTTAAACTATAAAATCAAAATTGTTGCATGCTGTTCTTTGGAACAATGATACTTGAATAGTGACATTTTGATACTTTGAAACTATGACACTTTGATACTTTGAATTTATGACACTTTGATAGTTTGAAACTATGACATTTGACTTCTGATATGTTGAGACTGTGATATTGTCACGAAGGACATTTCAGTGGGGCGCTTCAGAAACAAAGAAGCGACTGTTGTTTGGTGTCTTTGTGCTCTAACGATATCAATTCGCCGGAATACAAAGTTTTGATGTCACAATTGGTGAGAGCCGTGCTAGAACAGAGTGAGAGGTCGAAGAAAGAGATCGATGAATCTTGAGTTCGATTGCTGAGTCGAAATGTTTGTGAATATGGCTTTTTAATAAGTTGTTTATAAGATAGGAATATATTGACCAAAGCATCTTCAATTGTGTTGAATAGCAAATTAGGAGTAAAACATCTTTCATCAAACAGTTCCTTCAATAACTTTGTGAAACTGGCAGCCTACTTTCTCAAGACAAGACATTTAATAAAACGAGTTTGGAAACAGAGTGACACAGATTTGGTGGACTAAAAGTCCTTTATAGAAATAACATGGTAACAAACCTGCAATTAATGCTAAACATCGAAACACCTGCTGAACCGATATCTGACTCAGAGGTGACAAATTGAAATGTGTATAATGTGACATGGTGATGCCACATAACAGAATTGCCATAATTCCTAGAAAAATAAGCAAAAATAGAATAGTGAATTTGGTGGTTGGTTACGTAACGAATTATTTTTAATTCAAAAGAAAATAATTTTTGCATTTAGAATGAATCTAGAAAACCTAGAATCTAGAGATCCAGGGTTTCGTTTATCATATTTGATACAGTGATTTACGCCAGTAAAAGCAAAGCTAAAGTTGAACACCCAACAAATGCTCTAACGGAAAACGAGGTGCTTATTTCTGTGTTAGTAGCTCTTTCCGCATAAGAATTTGAGAATTTAGTACGATGAAAATTTAGCAGTCTCCAATCAGCTCATGCAGCCGTTATATTTTGGGGGTAAAAGGGGACGCATGGGTGGGCTCGCTGCCAATGAAATAAACTGACTCTATTTTGTACTCAGTAGTACAGTGCTGTCGAAGTTGAAGAGCTAGACAAACACATTCAAAATTTAAAGTTGCATTTCAAACTATTTGGTTCAAAAATTTTAATCATTAATATTAGAAATATTGAAATGAGCTAAATTTTTTTGCAAGGATAATTTAAAGGGTGCGCAAAGAAATCTCACACACCTGAGAGCTCAAGGCCTTCTGAAAGACCATATGGCATGTATGCGAATATAATCATGGTACCAATTTCCAATGAAGGATGACCCTTGAAATTCACGTACTTTAAAACCTGATGACAAAGAAGACAATATAAAAAACACTTATAAAAAGACAATATAAAAAAGACAATATACAAAACAAGAGCTGGGGTACTTTTACCCTGTCATCAGGTTCTTATAGTGGCATCCAGAAACTTGTTCACATAAAAGCATGTAATGTTGAAGCGGTATATGACGAGATTAGTTTACTTTCGATGTTTTATCTTAAAACTTTGAAACTTAGATAGGAGTCTCTCTTGAAACCAAATTCCAAAACTGAAGTGCTACCGTCCTTCATTCCTAATCAAGGATATGAAATTAAAAAAATGGCTAATATTTCCGCAAAGGCAAATTGATCAGCATTTATAGTTAGTTTAATATATCAATAACTTAAGGGAATTGAATCGTAAAGGGTGTTTGGGTTAGTAAGTTTCAACCCTAACCCTTGAATAAGGGGTTCACCTCTTGGCTAATAACGAAAGATTAGGGATCTGCAAATGATTTGATCTTGAATATGGTTTATTCTTGCTTGATAAGGCCATTGATGCAAAGTCGGGAGATGGCTCGAAATATTTTGGGTTGCTATACATTTGCTACACTACGGAGGAATTTCCTTGATCGACTCTGAGAAATTCTTCTGGCCATTCCTGGTATTATCAACAACAGGTTTTTTACTCTTTATTTTTATTCAATAGAAAAAGCCTCACATACATCAGCTATTAATGTATTGTGCTGTTAAGTAATCTGCAGTGGGAGCTTGCCAACATACTGTTCTTGCCATTCATATAATTAAAAATTTCTTTTGTTATTCTTAACTTGTGATAAAAAAATCGTTGAATTAGTTTGAAATATGCAAGGAAACTTGGATATTTAAGGACAAAATACAACTTACAACGGCACTGACAAGACCAAAAGCAACGCCAATGATCGCTGACAAAAACAACATCATACAAAACTTCGAAACTGCACTTCCAGCTATTGAACTGTAAACAATGTCGCCAGATTCCATTGTCTTGGCAGCAGAAACCAGAGTTCTGATTGGATAAAACGAGAAATTTCAACTGGTTAGCTAAATAAGAACTGCATTCTGTTCGAGGAGAAAACCAATACAAATTATTCAATATCTTTTGATTCAAAAAAACAGTAAAAACAAAATGTAGCCTACGAACGCACTTACGAAAGCTTGAAAATAGTATGCTAAAATTCTAATTATACTTTACAATGTTTAGCAGAGAGTTACTTCACATAAGATAGGGTTATACATAGCTCTTATACTCCGCTTGAAGAAGTCATTGATTGATGAATTGCTCTGGTTATGGAAAAATCTTAAACGTATATTGAAATGGGGCTTACAATGTTAAGACGATGGACACAGCATCATTGAGAACGCTTTCACCGAAAACGATGGCATACAAATCTTGGTCAACGTTCATGGTCTGGAATAACGCCAGTGTACATACAGGATCCGTTGCCGATATCAAAGACCCGAATGAAAACCTGGAGATCAAATTAAAAGAGATTAGGACTTTAAAACCTGGAGATGATTGTACTGACAATGCCTTGACAATTTTAAAAAGTATACGGATACTAGAAGACAGAGAGGTCTGTTGTGAGAATGCTGGCAAAAATACGTTAAGGATAATATTTATGATAAGCGTAATTAAATAGATATATAAAGAAAATGGTTGTTAAAGTTACTGAAGGATTGCCATATAGTGCTCAATTCCCTAAAGGTAAAAGCAAACGAAGGATTCGCGACGAGATTGGAGATATAGAGTCACGTGGTTTTATCCACGAGAATGGCCACAGAGCTGGAGTTGACTACGATTTTGACCGCACGAGTTCTGGTTTGGTAAAAATTTAGTTTACAGATATCCCCTATAGGTAGAACTGTATGGGGTTTGGTGATGTTTAGGGGGAGGGGGCGAGCCTATTGTTTTGATATGATGACGTCAGATGTTCCCATTGTTTAGAACAGAAGACTATTTTCTCCTCCAGTTGTCCTCCACTGGTTCTAAGTTGCAACAACAAATAACCTCATGCCAAAAGCAACGATCCCTGATCATGTCAAATTCCTGAGGATTTGGATCACTATGAAAGTGACCAATAACAATCAGGTTTCGCATAGAGTAAACCCTGGTGACAGTAATTAGAAATGTTGAACAGTGTTACCTGTTCATGAAAGATGAAATACTATACTCCTTTTCTTAAGAGCATAATAAGCCCTGGTTCTAGGAACAGCAAATACTGCCTAGAAATTGTGACTGTTAACAGGGTGTCAGGGGATATCAATTAAACGGATGTGTATGCATGGGCTCGAAATTGATGTCACTCTGACCCGCAGCGTGATTTAAAGTGAAATTATTATAACTGGAGCGGACTTAAAACAAATTTAGATGAAAGAAATACACAGAGAAAATATTTAGAATTTATTTACTGCGTTAAAACATGTGACATGTATGGAATTTATGTAAACTTTAAGAGTTCTGTCTCACCGGATAAACTTCCTAACCACAAAGTGAACACTGAAGTAAATAGTCGTGAATAAATAATTTTCAGAACAGTAACAAACAAACCAAACCAAAAAAACTTACGCTTCCATAAAATGGAGTTTGTAGACGATCCCATACTGAAGCAGCAAAAAGGAAAAAATTAAACAGAGCAGCATAAAGAAGAAGAAAATCAGCAAATGAAAAGAAGGATCAATATCAAAGAACAAGAGAAACAGGCCAGAAAATTCACTTCTTGGGGGAAGGGCAAAAGAAAATTGTAGGGAAGGAGCACTGAAGCTACTTAAAAACATAAATGTTTACAAAATCAAAAAATGCAGCAGGTACGAATGCAAGAGTTAGCAAATTTCTCAAACATACCTGCATACTGAATCAGGTACCAAAAACAGTTTATTGATGCGTCTTTTGTTAGCAAATGTTAGGGTGCATTAAAGCTACACAATTGATAAGATTGACTTGAACTGGTTTTCTCATATATAGTTCTTCTGATATCAAAATAGCGCGAAGATGGCCAGTTTTAAGGTACATACCATATAACAAGTAAACAGTTTAAGTACCAACACTGAATAAGACTTAGCAGTCATCTTCGCATATTTCATTGGATTTCAAGGTAATATCAGTCTATATGCAAGGCATGTGTGACTAAAAATAGGTTCTGTTATTCAAGCCTACACAACTTTCAAGCTCTTTTGTAACAGGTTTTGGATACAAAATTAGTTTTAATAGGCCTTGAGGGTCATAGAATACTTACCAAGCCAAGAAAATACATAGTGCACCCAACGATGACTGCAGATAACAGTGTCCCTAACAGTGCATAGGTCAGAATTGCACCAATGTTGCTGAAGAAATCACCCTAATATATGAACAACAGAATGTGCTGTTAAAAGGAGATGTAGGTGAGGAGAACTTCAAAATTTACTTGCACTAAAGTATAAAATTCATACTTAAAAGATTATCTGCAAAACAGCATAAAATTTAATAGAATCTGTAAATGCGGTGTGCCTTGCCCTCGGAGCTTGTCGAAAAATAGCATTTGATCACAAAATAGCATTTTTGTAAAAACATAGGCGTCTTTGAATTTGAGGTGAATTTCAAATAGGCAATGGCATATTCAAAACAGTGATGCAAATCTATATGCTGGGAAGCTTTCATATTACATCCCTATCAGCTGAAACTGAAAAATGGCGACTTACCTTTTGAAGGGTATATCCAGATTCAAATATAATTGGTGGAAGGAGGACAATGAAGAAGGTGTCAGGGCGAAAATATTGCAAGTCCTAAAAATGAAAAAGCATTGGATAAATTCATATCATGTCTTTAATGACTCCAATAAAAATTAATTTTGTACTTGGAGACTGAGATCAATTTCTCTAGCAACTGCATTATGTCTGAAAGCTAGGCTGGTGAAGGCCCTTGTTTGGAGGGTGGCTCTATACGGATGCAAGAGTGATTGAAAAAGGAATATTGAAGATAAGGTGGTCTTTAGAAACAAGAACAGTAATTTTATATAAAGTACTTTCTGAAACTGAACAAAATGTTTAACAAGTTCTATTTACTGTTCTTTGTAATCATGAAATTCATCCTTGCACGAATCAAACTCTTAATCACTAATTCTAACAAGTTTTCCTATGCTCTCAACATTGTTTCCTTGCCCAGAAGTACTTGCCATGTTTTATTGCCAAAGACAAGACTTGTAGCTTGAAACTCAGAGACACTTTTAAAAAACACAAATTTCTGAAAACGCTTTCCATAATAGATTTTACAAAAGCGCCATTATTGTATTTACGAGAGGAAGGGTGGAAGGGACTTTTGAAAACGCTAGTCTTGTTTGACTTCAATATATTCATCCCTCTTTGAACATTAAAGATGAAGGCCAAAGTAAAACTGATATCATTTTTAATTTGTGTTCTTTTTGTGAGGTAGTCTTATTAAAAACGTTGAGGCACGATATGTTCAAAACGACCAAATGTCAACACCAATGCCAGCGGCAGGTCAGATCAAACAAATGCTTGGTGGGACAATTTTTCATTCGTTTACAGTGTTTAAAAGTAGTTTATGAGTGGACGAATATTTTTAGAATTGACAAAAATATCTGCACTTCAAAAAATATTTGGATTTTAGTCGAAGGGAACTTGAAAACCCATGGAAAAAAATTCCAACATAGCACTATTGTGTGGAATATGATGTGAGTACCATTAATATGTTAAAGTTTCTCGAACGAATATATGCTTAAGATGAGACAAATATTATGCAGCTTAAAGTGTCAACTAACATCTAAGGCAAGCAGCTAATCTTAAAAACCGTCAGAAAGGCGGGCGATTGATTCACCTTCTCTAGAAATTTAGGAAAGCACTGAGGCCCAATGGAGCCATCACCCTCCTCAACCAGCCAGGCCCAACTCTAATCAAAGCCGCTCCGTTTACAATACGTTGATTAGCACCACCCTATAATAGTCCAAATATATGTAATGATCCACAGCCTAATTGTACATGTAATGATCCACAGCCACAGAAATGGTACATTTTCCAAGAAAAACAACCAAGGGTCAAAGATGATGGAGATAACAACATAACAGTACAAGCTCTATTGTGTAAAGGATAAAGTGAAAAGCATTTGCAAGTACCGTCCACTCTTTCATGCCTACTCCAGCAGAACCAATGACATACTTTATCAACACCCCAATCACAGCTCCTGTTTTTGGTATTGAAAAAGAAAAGTTATTAAATGCAACAATTAGGCCTAAGTAAAAAGGATTACTTAGATATATTTGTAAATATGTCAGTGATTTATACCAGTCTTTTGTCAAAAAACTTAAAATGATTTTGGTCTGTTTCCACAGGGGTTGCCACAGGGGTACTCTCAAGAATAGAATCGGTTCAATTTGTATAAATATGCTATTAGTGAATGAGATATGGCATTGCAAAGGTAACCAGAAATTTGACGAGAATTTCCAAGAGGGTGTTTGCTTTTGCCTTGATTTTTTGTATATCAACCTGATCATACCAGTCTTCTTCTTGTTTGCCACATCACATTTGGACTTTTGTTCAGATTATGCAAGTGCTAGTAAGACTTGTAGTTTCTTGAACATCAAACTAAAGTAGGTTAGGGCACTTAGGTACATGGCCTGGTATTACCTAACCTGGGCTTGAGCTATTTTCATACATAAAGCTTCTTTGCCCTTTTTACTGCCTTGCATCTGGTGACGTCAATAAAGACGTTCACACCTTTAATTTCATGCCTTCTTGGACAGAATTTCATGCTAATAATTAGCAGGCTTTCGTGGGAAAAATATAGCAGGCGTGCTAACCACCGCACCCCTGAAAACATCCAGGCGTGTGATGGGGTGTGACATTTTTTCACAAAACATTTTGGCAATTTTGGTAGATCTACGGAGAAATGGCCAACACGAAAATGATGACAGCAAAAATTTCAATGAAATTTACTTCGCTGAATTCTTACCATGACTACTTACATTTTAGCAATTGAGCAATTTTCTAAACAAGTATAAACTGAGCTTATTTAATATATCCAAAAAAAACGGCACTAAAAAAATAGAAATATGTTTGCCATGTCGTAAGCAGTTTTCATAAGCTTCAATAATGAATCCTTAACAGAATCATTGATGCTTTGGCGTTCATCTGGTTGTAATGGCAGTTTTTGCGTGTAAATCAGTGCACCGAGAGCCCTTTGTTATCAAACATGACAGCTATTTTGTCTACCTTACTGGCCAGATGCATAAAAGATAATGATGGCCCAATTTTCATTAAATCAAATGTTGCTAAAATCTAGATTTAAAGCATAGCGATGTCTAAAGAGGGGGCTGTAGGGGGTAGCGAAATCCAGCAAATCCTCTGTTATTTTTTCTGCATCATTGGCAAATCGGCTCCTTTTTATCGCATAATCGGCTACTTTCGTACATTAGCGATAGAAAATGAAAGTCTTGTTCAAAACACTTAATGTTTCATAATATCGGGATTCCACTGTAGATTAGTTCTATGATTATTTAAAAATTTTATATTTAATCGGCAATCCTGAAAAGGTGTTAAGCCTTTTTGAAGTGGCATGAAGTAATAGTACCAAGGAGGGATCAATTTATTAACTCATCTCAAAAACCCACAAAACTAATAATTATGAATTTTGCTCCTATAATAAAAGAAGGCATGCGATGTTTTGCACGCCTGGAAAGCAGCAGGCGCGCGCCAGGGTGTGCGCGTGCGATCGCACGCCTTTCCGCCAAAAGCCTGCTAATAAGTAGGTCTTGTCCCTTGGCTCTCAGATATTTTCTTTCCAATTCATGCTCAAGATCAATAGAATTCTGACACTTAGGTGAATTCTATTAGTAACCTCTAACTTGTTCACACTCATGTGAGGGTACATAGCCTTGCAAAAGACTTAACTTAATGACATGAAAAGTCTGTTTCCTGAATACAATGACTTACATTGCATTTGGTTCCTTATATAATGATATACTGTAAATCTTTACTGAATTGAAAAACTAACAAGTCAATGTTAAATACAAACCTAAAACCATGATTGCAAGTGCTTCTGGTACAAAGTGGACTTTCTTGTTTATAAAGAAAGTAATAACCAAGATGCAGAGAACTAAAAACAAGCAATGTGGCTTGGAAAGAAAAATCACAAAGACAAAGCTACAAAAATGCCAAAATGTTGTCACAAAAAATTTATATCCAATTTGGCTTAAGGATCTGCCCTGAAAATGAAACCATCTGGCTGAGATACTGATCAGATTCCTTGTATCCCAAACTAATATGAACAACAGATTTTTTTCAAAAAACAAAGCCAAAATTTTTTTTACTAGATTAACTAAATCAAACGTAGTAGGAATACAACATTCAACAGCATTAAACAAAATATCCTCCAAAAGCGTTATTTTTAAACCTGCCCTACTCTTAGTCCTAAGGTCTTAACAAACAATTTTCTTATCTTTCCTAATCCAGCTCCCAATTTCTTCACCTGATGAAGATTTATTCTCAAAATGTCAGAATTACATTTCTTTCAAACATAAAAGCCATTATTTAGATATATTTATTCTTGGTCATTATTTATTGACGTGCAACATTCTGAACTGCATTGTTTACCAATAGATCTACTGTCACTTACACAGGATGAGCAAAACAGCAAAGAAAGTCATGCTTTGGTGTGCAATGCTTTTGGCCATTTTGTCCTCTTTTACAGTATGGTGTTTTGTTGGCTTGACTGATGCCATTGAGAAATTGGAAGACCATTTTGTGAAGTTAGTTGGCTGAGCAGTAGTGTTGATACTAAAATGAAACCAAGAGCTTGGTTCAGTTCAGCCTTGATTAAAATAGATTTACTGAAAATTTTCATATATAAACTCGTTAGTTCTTTATGGAAATGAGATAATTCTTCATTTTTTGAAATATTTGATTTGATTGCAGCATTAATAGGTTAGAGGCCTTGAAATGTCTGAGCAACTAGTTCATAGGAATACATGAAAAATAATTCCCAACCAATTTTTTGCAATCTTACTTATTTGAAACTAGCATGGGAAACATTTATGTTTCCAGTTCAAACATATCTATTTTCTCACCCTATCTTCAAATTTTGTATTTTATTATTTGCTTAATCTAAACAACATGCCTCAACTAAGAAGCTGGATGAGATGACAACCTGAGCTAAATTTGATAAAACTTATCTGGAAAATAAATTATTTTGTTATCACTGGTATGTCACTATGGTATGACATTATGTCTCAGCTTTTGTAACATAACTTCAGTAGAAAAGTGACGAGAAGGGTGCGAAAAAAGGTCTTGCTAAAACTGGTCCAAAAATCTAAAAAACATAGCAGGTCTTGGTGTATATTAGCATGTAGTAATAGCTTTTAAAACCTAATATTGGACTGACAATAGAAATCAATTAATTGTTTTTCTTACTGCTTCTTTGTTTGGAAAAGATGCAATCTTTTGCAATATAGATTGCACTTGTCATGAAAGCTTATTCCAGTCAATCACATATGTATTTTGCACCATTAAATATAATAGAAGCACTTACCTTGACATTGACACATTGCATAGCATGGAACAAAATACCATGAGAGAGAAGACAAGCTTCAGATTCTGCAGGATGTTCCTCACTTTGTTGCCCATGTCTAGACTAACAAAACAAAATAAGTGTGTATAAACTTGAAATACTTTACAACAACATTACCTGGTGCACAGAAAATTTGTCAATGAACATTTTGGGTCACAGAAAATCAATCTATGTTTTAGTGCACAAAGTATTCACATATGCATCAACACCTAGAAAAAATAATAGTGGAAAATGTACTGAAAGACCCAACAATAGAAAATTTGTTTCTTGGTTACAACAAGTTTATTTTGCAAATTCCAGACTGTGTGGAAGACTTATTGTTTCACAGACTTTCACATCGTAATTGTTCAGTCAACTGATAAGTCTGCTTGGAACACAGGTACAATGAAAAATATTTCTTGTTTGCAAACTTCCATACTGGTCTAGCAGTGAGTTAAACAATCAGCTGACTTTCAAAATCGGGAAATCTCACGAATACAAACAAAACAAGACCTTATGTAGCTTGCCAAGCAAAATTGATTGCTCCCTGGGTGAAATTTTAATAGGCTGGGTTAAAAAGTTATGATTTCGCGCCCATCGATTATCTGAATATAATTAATGCCTAAACATGGCAAATTGTTTAGGAACTAAGTTTGAAGGCCTAACTTGCTTGATCGCTTTAAAACGTAGCCCATTTTCGCCTTAAACCGTCGATTATGCATCTACTTTCTGGCACACTGCCATTTTGGTTTTTTGTTGGCCTAAATTTAACACAATGTGTGTCCAAGTGTATTGATATCTAATAAGAAATAGGAAATCTTACCAATATACTAAAGCTGCTTACTGCTTGTTTTGGACGTTCAATTCAGTGAGAGGAACTGCAGCCAGGCCAGTAGTTTCACGTTAAGCCCGATCCAGACGATCCTGCAGCGTCCTAGGTCATCTTGCCCTCCATCGTACTTCCTTTACTGCTGGGGAAGTGTGCAGATACCGTGACAAATACGAGTAATTATGTTCGGAGACACTTGACCGACAATAGTTTTTGGTATAATGTTGTTCAATTAGAATTCAATGACATAGATGTCAAAAATATAGCTTTCTGACTTTAAATTGGCAATAGGAAAGTGTGATCACGAAACTCACGCACACACACTACGGCCTTTGTCCTGTGTCCTAGGCCAACTGCACACCAGGGGAGGGGGGAGGGTCAGATGGGGATGGGAATGATGCTCGAGGGTGTAATGAATTTTCCACATGAACATGTTTCCATAAAAGAGTTTCTTTCTATCTGGCTGTTTATTAGGACACCTGAATGCAACGCAGACTGTGATTCAAATACTAAAGCTTTCCAAGTATCTTGCTAACAAAGAAATACAAGGAACTGTTACCCTCCCTTTTTTAATGTGAAAATTACGCTAAAATTACTTGTAGAGTGTAGACTAGACTTCAAGTTGATAATGCGCAGTCTAAAATTTAGTACAGAGAATTTTGACGTCTTTTGCAAAACGATGTCGTTAATTGAATCAGTGGATTACAAAATTTGATGAGATGAGGGTAATAATGGCGATGATGATGATAATGACTGACGATGTTGATTGATGACTGTTGATGTTAGCAATGATTTAACATTACCTGGAAAACCCCCTAATCGTTTCCTTCCTCTCTTTCCTCGTCCATGCAGCGATCATAAATCGCCCAATTACCTGGAAAAACCCCTAATCGTTTCCTTCCTCTCTTTCCTCGTCCATGCAGCGATCATAAATCGCCCAATTACCTGGAAAAACCCCTAATCGTTTCCTTCCTCTCTTTCCTCGTCCATGCAGCGATCATAAATCGCCCAATTACCTGGAAAAACCCCTAATCGTTTCCTTCCTCTCTTTCCTTGCCCATGCAGCGCTCATAAATCGCCCAGTTAACTGATAAAATTTTTCGTTGTTCACATCCTGATAAAATTATCAAGAAGTACTTTGTGATAAGGAATTATCGTGGTAAAAATTTCATTCTCCTTCAAGATTTTTATACTGCAGGTATAGCTGAAAAAAGGGCTGCAGTGAACCCTCGGTTGGCTCCTACAATCATTGCTAGGCTAGTCTCAGATGGATTCGTGGAAAATCCTTTCTTCTCAAAAAACCCGCTTGTTCTTCTTGTCTCTTGCAGTGACGGCGCATGCTACTGTGGAGTGGAAGGGTAATGGGCGTGGCCAGTGGGACCACGCCCTCTTCTGCTTCGTTTAAGTGCTTTGTACTAGTTGAATTTTTCTTACAAATTATGAACTACCCCTGCCTAGCGCTTTCTAATCCGTTTTAGAAGAAATATTTAGACCATGTTTCAACAAAAGTTGGGTTGGTACCCCCATACCCCACTTGGCGCCGCCACTGGTCTCTTGGTCGAGAGGGCTATGTTTAAAACGCCCAGTTGTCTCATGCCTTCGGCATCGCCCACCTGATTGTTCAGTAAAAACTGATTGAATTTTGTCAGAAATAAATTCACGGGGAACATTGTAGAATTTGGTTTCACTGGGGGGTCTTATTTTAGCAGAATTTTATTAATCATGTTTGGGCGTTTAGGTTAAAACACTTACTCTTGTATTTAGTCTTCATGTGCTGCTTTTGATGCCTTTGGGGATAATAGAGAAGTAGGGGCTCTGCAGTTTGGGTCCATGCTGTTCTCTTCTCCTGCTTCTCACTCAAGAATCCATGTTTATTACCTTGATCTCTTAGGGGTTAGGACTTAAACATCCAGGATTCTATTCCCAGTTCTTTTTCAGATAGACTCGGCTTTTTCAGCAAGTTAATGTTTTATTTCCCCTCTCGTGAATTACGTGTCTAAGGTCTGGTGCATTGACTCCTTGGTAGGAAAGGTGAGCTTTTCATGTCAATCCCCTGCCCAGAATTTTAAGTAGGACTTAAAATTGGTAGGTGTAGCGACTTGTGATGATGCACCAACGTCCAATCTTCAATTTTTATGAAAAGGAAATGTGTCCTCAACACCTGGCTTGATGTAGGATGTGGGAACTTCTTTCTTAGTGTCTTCTTCCCCAAGTCAGAAACTAACCGTTACTGTAAACCAAGGACAGTGAAAGCGGGGCTGAAAGGGGCATAACTCTTTAATAATTCCCAAAAATATCCTCCGCGGGAGATGATCGTGGGTAAGCATACTGAGGAGGAGCAGTTATGGCTATTCGAAACGATTATCTAGCCAGTCCTTTTCCAAAAATTTACCAATTACAGATAAAGACGTATAAAAAGCCTCAACATCGCTAGACACTTTTAAAATGATTGTGAAATTATAATTTGCTGCTTTGATAAATCGTTACACAATTGACCGCATTAGAAATTCTAAATATACTTTTATATAATTACATCGACACGAATTTATTGATTTGAAAAAATGTAAATCTAAATAATTGAGTTAGATCGTTAGATCGAGCCTGCCTAACATCAAGGAGAGACGGTGTTGAGATCTTGCACCCCTTCTCAGATTTTCATTTTGCTGTTTCTGCCACTAAAAGGGGGAAGGGGGATGTTTGATTATTGGGGGCATGCTATTAGGCATGTGTTGAGGTTTGGAAATATGATGGAAAAATTTATAACAGCATAATGCGACCAAGGTCGGGATGAATTGAAGACTTGAAATCGAAAGAGCATAAAGGTTTGGGGGAATTGACACAACATCCGTTCTCCAACCAGGCACACTATGATTAGTTCGATTTCTTCCATTAGTGGACAATTGATTGGGTAATATCGTGTTCAATTTAACATAGGTCTACACTACACTTATACAAACGAAACAGTGTTCTACAAAAAGATAATTTTCAGAGCATAAAACGCCCTTCAAATGCCAAAGCAGCACATTTTATAACTCAAGGGCACAATACAAATATTTATACTTCGTGCAACGATTTTAAAAAGGGAGATGGTGTATATTCTCTATACTCTACCTACATGCTATATCCTTGGAGTTTGATACACAGTATTTAAAAGACATTGACTGACATATAATATAACAAGATACAGTAACTGAGTTCAAATATTATTATCTTTGAAGTATACAAATTAGTCATTGTTTCAGAGTGTTACAAAAATGCATTGATTAGAAATTTGAAACCAATTACCAAATGGCGTCATTATTGCAATTATGATTTAACAACAGTGGAAAGAGTCTACTCTTCGAAATTTATAAGCAAGTTCTTCAGAAGCCCTGGTCAAATAAACTGAAGCAGCACCAGGTTTACTTGGTTAGTGCAATTTTGAATTTAGGATTGGCAGCCGTTCTTTAACTGTTCAGTGATGTTGGGCGGTGCACAATCCTTGTTGAATTATGAGAGATCTTCAGTGAATCATTGCACTTCGTCAGCGTTCTTCTTGATGTTGTGTGACAGTAGAATGTGGTATTCGTCCCTACTCTCACCAAGCAACGCAAAATAACAATCTGTGGCCAAACATCACACAGCAACAAAGTGTAATGAATTGCGTGCTACTCAATGAAAAGTTCAGTTAGTTTGACCAGGGCTCAAGATAAAGCATTACTGGCAACTTGGGCAAATATAACATTGATCAAACGCAACAAAATAAATAAATCTACTTATATTATATATGGATATCTTCACAGCATGAGGAATGTGTAAGGCATTTATTTTCTTCAATATTTTAGACAGCGTTGGCCTTTGATGACTCCATAACTTTTATAAATTTCATAACTTTTTTTGGAGCAATTTGAGCGTTTCAGCCGCCTCAAATGCTCCCCCACGCATAGACCAAATAACTAAGTCCTTGGTCGAATAGGCACATGTCCTTTAAAGGGCCTTTCCAATAAGGGGTCTTAGGCACCAGAGAAGAATATGCATACCTTTTAAGCTGTGACTGCGTCATAATTAAAAAAGCTATCTTGTTCCTTGTGGTATAATTTCTAAATGCATCCGCCACCACGTTTCTTGGCATAGGTTGCTCAAGAGATTAGAACTTGAGTGAAGTGGTTTGTATTCAAACATAGCTGTTGCTTTTACTCTTTTCTCGAAGCGACTAGCTTCGTAACTTCACCGAGGTTATTAAATGAAGTAATCATGAATGTTGGATCCAATGTCTTTCATGCTCCAAAAATCTTTTTTACAGTGTATCCCTGAAGAGAAAGCAAATAGTGAAAAGAGACAGTATAAACAAAGGTCGTGGCACCAATGATAACAATTTTCACGCGCTCAAAGTTCGCAAAGATATGTATTAATTGAAGTCTTAGTGTCAAGCTATGTGACGTTATGGTATCACAAAGCATGTATTGTGCTACGTAGTGAAAATTACTGTTTTACAGGTCTGTCATGTAGTCCTTCTGGTGTACAGAACTGGATGGCACTAAGTTACGTCTTAGAGTTTAACGCTTAATGCAATCATCAGGCGACTATTAGGTTACTTCTGCGAACATGAAGCTTTGTACTCATCACCAAATAGTGTGTTTTATAAACAGTTAACCTTTGGCTAGATTCTCAAGCTGTAATAGACTTTAGTCATTAATCACTTAATAGTAGATATTTATGTATAGTTTTTTTCGGAAGAATAATAATCTTTAACATGATGAATTGAACCACACATAATGTTGATTTAAAAACTTCAGTAGATACATTCTCCGATCTTTAAAGGATAAAAACAGACGTTTCAAATTTGGGTTAAAAGATATTTAACATTTCAAAGATATTTGATTAGAGTTTATCAAAATCTGTGCACACTACACGATAGTCTGCAATTATTCATCTTTATATGCAACACTGCCGTAGGCTCATTCGAAATTAATAAGAATCATGCAACTTACGGGCATAGAATAGAAGAACAGGGCAACTAGTATGATCAGCAAACAGACAACAAAAAACTTAATGATGCATTTCTTGTGACTGCACAGCAGTAGTTGGAGCATTCTCAGTGGACTCATGAACAGATTCAGGCTGTCTGCAGGTCGACTGAAAGTTTCGAAAACAATAAACATTAGATTAGAAACCTAAAAGAAGAAGTAATTAAATATAATGAAGAAATAAAGATTCTCTAAAGTGATAATCAAGTAATTTAAAATTATGGTCTCAGTTTGGAGCCATCCAAAGGTCTGTATTTACATGCCTACGTGGCCAATTTTGTCCCTTGCTACGTCATAACTGTATAAGCACGTAGGAAATTCTCCAATCATTGTTTTGCCGTGGGGAATGCCTTGCATAGAAAAAACATGTTATCCAAAAAGGGTGGGGGCACGATCGACAAGAACGTAATAAGAGATGGCTGGCAAATGCAGTTCTGTGGGCAAATTACAATTTTTTTGTCCTTGGGCTTTGAGGTGGGTCTAGGAAAGCTAAAATTGCCTGCAGCTAGCAAAGCTTAACAATATAGAGTCTGATTTTCAGTAAAACAAAATTTTCAATAAAAATGCCAGAAAATTCTAGTTTCTTAAGCTGAAACTAGGACTGTCCCGTAATTAAAAGAAAATTAAGATCAAAGCTATGTCTTTAGAGAATGATTTTTATCTTAGCTATCTTCTTAAAGGGTATTCTTTCATCCCTCCCAAAGACACCATCTTCATGGCAGAGCGTGAGTGTTATCTAACTTTATTTCGATTCAAGTATAATAGATAGGTTAATCATATTTCTGTAAAAAGAATGGAATGAAGCTCACTTTGGTTTTGCTAAAGGTTGAGGCTCATCTCTTCCCCTGCCAGCAGGGTTCACTGATGCCTCATCCTTTTTCAGCAATTCAAATTCTAGCTCAACCTCACCCTACAAAAGCAAAGAGAAATCCAATGAAGCATCACGTTAGAAACTTTGACAGGCTTCTACGTAAAATTTTTCTGAATGTTCCTGGAATCTACCCTGCACGTCCAACACATAAGCACTGGCTCTCACTATTGTAAAAAACAAGAGAACATAGTACAGAAACTAAAGAGAACCTACTGAAAGAACATTGCACGCACAGTTTAATTGAAAATACAGAAAAATCTTGCTTTTCATTTCATCTTGCACTAATTTGTGCGATTAACGCTATAGAAGGCAAAAGTTGGGAAATTTTTTTGCCTTACCCCTAAAGATATCACATGTAGACGTTTTTACACATACCGTAATTGTTAGGGAGACAAATCATGTCCATTTTCCAGACCATGCATTAGCCCCCGTTTCGGGGTCATTGCACATGCGCATTATCACTTGAAGCCCTGGCAGGAAGTTCAAGAGTTGTGTGGTCACAGACAGAACAGCCATGGAAAAACTGTTATTAATGCGCATGTGTCATGACTCTTCGACGCTGATTGGTTAAGACGGAAATGCTTCAAAACAAAGGACTAAAGCTTTCGTCTCCCGAACAAGTAAGAAAGCGATAAATAAAGCTAACATGAAGGTAATGATGTAACAAACAACAGCCCTATTGCTTCTCTAGCACGAGGATCGGCACTTCTTAAAACTTAAGACTCACCCTTTGACAAAGGTTCTCTTTTTCATCATACCCTTTTATCGGCCACCAGCCTCTCATTGCACCGCTTTGCACCAATGAGGACACGTTTTCTTTGCATTCCATAATTTCCAGCTTGCACAGCTTTGCAGCTTTCATAGGTGGAGGGATTTTTGTAATATTCAATGTCAATTCACCTAAAATATGCGAAAAAATTACTTTTTGTAAGAAAAGCAAAGGGATTTGATTGGATAAAGTTTAGCATGATCGCTTTCCGCACTTTCCGCCATGAAAACGTATTTGATAACCTTAGACCAGTGAGAATTTCAATATAAAACGATTTATTTGGTTTGTGTGCAACGAGATTTACTGAGCTATTCACTACCGGAAGAAGTTGGAACCACTTTCTCGTTTTCGATTTTTGGCCTCTCTTTCAGATGCCGTGTGACGTAATTGGCAAAGGGTCTATTAAAGTAACTTATTCAATGGCCTCAGGGCTTTGACTATTGATGTGAAAATATTGAGATCAGGGCCTTAAGCTACACTATAACAATATGGTGCGATTCTTAGACAGTGATGGTGCTTTGAATTTAATAAATGTTACTGACGTTTTATTCATTGTTTGCATCTTCAAAAATTAAAACACTTTCAAGTTGATTTATTCCTTCTATTGTCCTTTACACAACTTCCAGGATTGAAATAGAAGATTTAGCCTTAACTCATTATGTGCCCAAGGTCAAAAATTTTACATCGCCCAAAAAATTTGTTTGTATGACCATAGAAATACATTTTCAATAATTTTTGCCAAAATAGTTCAAAGTTTGACACAAAAGTCTTAAGTTTTCTCTCAAAAGTTTTCTCTCTTGGACTCCAGTGGTAATTTTCTATAAGCGAGCAGCACTGATCACTTGTCACTACAGCGAGCAGCAACTATGCCGGTCATGTGCTTGCGTTCTTCTGATTGGCCTATTTAGATCTGCAACTGGGTATATATTTTTATCATGTTATTTCGGACCCTGGTTCTGACGTTTTATACTCTGAGGAGTGTCAGACGTAACAGCTTTTAGCAATATGTTGTGAAATGTTTGGTTTTTTTAATGCCATTTTCAAATTTTGTACCGCAAAAAATTTTCACTACCAACACAGTTAAACATACACAGGATTGTGTTAAAGAAGATCGCCTAAGAAGGTCAGCAAACAACGAACGCAAAAAGAATTCAAAACTAACCTATCATATCATCTGAACTGAAAACATCGGCATCGAGAACTTCAAAATGAAGCAGCGGACAATGTTTTTCTTCCCATTCATCAAACCCAATAATACTTGCCTATAAAACAGATAAGTAGGAATTTAACTCATGAATTTTATATCTGCAAACAAGGAACGAGATTTAGGGGGGCCGGGTTTAGCTTGACCTCTAAAACATTTTAGTGGCATGAGTAAAATGCTTTTATATCTTGTTATTGAATCTGAAAAGAATTAATCATATAGCACTGAGTTTTACATAAATCAACCTTTCTTGAAGAGAGTGAATGGCAAGCTATTCAAAATTTCCAAAAAAATCTAGATTGAGTCCTAAGACTTAAATAAACACAATTGAATAACGACTCTATACACGAATGAAAGGAAAGCACGGCGTTTCGAGCAAACCCTTCATGGGATGTTTAAAGACTTACGAAGCATCGTACTTATCTTTCATTCAAGTATAAAGTCTTTATTTATCTGTACTAATTTTTGCTCCTTACTCGAAGTACGCTCAACTACATTTATTATCAACTTTATCAAGTCCTTAAGCCATTGGAAGGCTTTCTGGTTTTTATCAAGAGGAGTTGTCAAGAGAAAACTCGAGATACCTTTTTCTTAGTAACAAATTTTTCCTCAGCACGATGGTACAAAAATGGAAATACGAATCTCCAGTTAAACATCCCGTTTCCATCTGTAGATCTTAAGAGACAAAGAGGAACGTTAATAGGTTAACAACGTGTGACGCAATCGTAAGAAAAATACTTTTAGAATTTCGACATTTAAACAGTTAATTTAACATTAAACATTTAATATTCAAGTTGACCAGAAAAACTGAAGAAACCATGAAATTCCTCTGAAGGTACAAAATCAGTTAAAGCCATTGCAATTCATTTGAGAGAAAGCAACTGAAATTTTGCCATCGAATTACTAGTGCGTTGGCTAGTTTCATAGATTTTGGATTAAGTTCTTAGACCAAATAAAAGGGTTTAGACAGGAAAGGATCTATACTCATGTGGGCATATCTCAACCAATTTATAGGACATTTGACTAAATTTGCAAATTGAGAGGCCTTTGATAATGCCTTTTCAGGCTATGGTGTCCAAATCCAAGAATTGGTAAATATATATTTCTGATGTCATTAGTTTGGAACGCTATCATGTTAGAGTAGAGAGCATATATATTTGTATCAATTCTTTCTTATACGTTTAAACAATACTTAGAAAAAATTCAGTTTGGAGGTTTCTAGTTGTACAAAACGACAGTACAAAGGGGTTTAAAGCCACGAAGAAGGAAAAAGTTACCTTAAACAATTGAAAAATATACAGAATAATAATGAATATTTATTATAATTTGAATCAAATGAGATAATCATAAATAATTAAAATAATTATAAAAAGGATTAACATGGTCAGGTAAATGGGGAAAATATATATTAATTAAGAATATCACATTTCCCCTCTTCAGGATCAAGTATACACAGAGCCCTTTTGGGATTTCAAAACATGGCAATTTAAGGACTACGGCTTTTAAACATAAACTGATATCTTAAAAGTAGGAATTCATTTTTAAGATAACTGAAATGCTCAAAAACATTGTTTAACTTTGTGCACATTCTTCGAACTGGCTAACTTCAAAGAAATAACGACGCCCTGCGCATCCCACTAGCTTCTTTTTTGCCCCTTTATTGTCCCTGCATTGTCCCTTCATTGCCCCTTCCCTATCCCCAATAGGCTCAAAAATAGACCTACCGGTAATGCACATCTGTCTTTTGAATATCATCGATTGACCCCTCTAACCATCTAGAAAGAAATGATTCGTTACGACTTTCATTTCAGAAAAAATTAGAGGTTCATAAAGCAGTCATTGTCATACGCAGTCTAGAAACTGAGGGCTGCACTGAGCTAAAAACAAGGCAAAGGAAAAGAGGTTTGATGGTTAATGCCGTATACTGCCGTGATGAGAGGATAGCATGGGGAAAGAAGATGACCCTTGCTCAAGACAGTCAGAAAAGGCACTGGAGACATGGAAGACGAAATTGTACGAAGACATTTGGAGGAAAATCATAAAGAAGAGAGCCGTTTTTCTTCAAATATTTGAAGAAAATTGAATGCTCATAGTCTTTTCAAACAGAAAGCAGTGAGAGCGTGTGACAAAAATGATACGTGAAGTATAAGTATCAAATTATAGAATAAAAAGCTAGTTAAAGATAAGATTGAACGGGTAGACATGGCAAAAGAGTTCAGCATGAAGGGAAACCAACGTTACATGAATGACAAGATGAAGACACTACAAAAAACAACAGTAAAGAAGGATTTGGAAGCTTTGAAATATAGCTTCGAAAGTGGTCTATTTAAAGAAGAAGGAAATAGATACATAACACGATACACAAATCGGTTTATGTTAAACAGCCACTCGCAGACCTAGGGTGAAATCTGCTAGCCACTACTTTACAGTATTTATCAGAACGCTTCTTGTTAACGAGAAGACAGGAGAAAGACGAAGGAAAGACAAGCCTTTGCATCAGGCGTAAAACTTACCATAAATGTATGAAAATTTGATATCTGTTGCCTCTTGAGACAATAGAAATAGAATTGTAAAAAGGAGATAAAGAAATAGGCAAGAAAGTTGTTACCCCTTAACGTAGATGTCACTGCTTGGGATTCCTGTTAGTATATTGGTGTCAGCCGGGGGTATGTCATCTGTGTTCCAAACGATCACCCTTAGTTCGAATCTGGTGAAAAAAGGTATTGTTATTTAGTTTAATACATTACACAGCCATAAGGTATCAATAAAACGCACACTAAAAGCGTGTATAGCTCTGCCATAACAGCATCGATCACTTTATGTTGCGAGGATGGCTCAGTTGTTAGAGGCGCTGACTACAGACCCAAGGGTCCATGGTTCGGGCCCTGGCATGACCAAACTTTCACCCAGAGTGGGGAGAGTCGCCAGCTCTCTGTAATTCCAGGCATAGGAATCACGAGGTGTGGTCACATCGAGAAGAAGGACCAGGACACTGCTCGATCAGCATAAGTTTCTCAGTGTCCTAAAAACTACCTTCGGATGAAATGCATCGATCACTTCATGGCATACCGGTTACAAGTAGTTTTCATACATCCATAAAGAAGCCTTTGGTACCGTAAAGCATTAAAATAGCACGGAAGAGCGGATACATATCACATCATACTTCAGTACTTTTCGTCCTACTTCCGTCAGAGTGTGAACGTCGGATGATATCCAAGGGTAAAAATTTTCTCCTTACCTTTGGACATTATCCGACATTTATAATCTGTCGGACGGAAAAGAATTTTCGTATGATATGATATGTTTTTTCACTTCTGTGCTATTTTTACATACCATCACATATCGGTACCCAGAGACTTTGAAAAGCGCGCAAGGCAGTTAGTTAGCATAACATTTAGCTCACTTCGCTGAATAGAGGATAATTAAAGGACGAGGAAAATTTAAATTTGTTACTTACTCCTCTGGTTTTCTTGGAGTTATGTCTACTGGTGGGCCAGGTGAAGGCCCTTCCATGGGGAATATGTCGACCCACATTTGGAGGCTGCCCTGCAATAAAAAACAACATTGCCTATAGTCCACATACGAGAAATACAACTTCTCGAACAACGAGAAATATAAAGCCAAGCAAGATTAAATACTTCAGATCAACAGCAACAGAGCATGCAAAGCATTTATATTGCCTAAAACTTAAGATTTGTGCAGGTTGTTTAAAAAAGGGCTACAAATCCTGAATTAATAAAGCTTGCAATCTTCCCATTTTGAAAATATTCAAAATAACTCTTGTAACAAGGCCAAGATAGTGTAGGCTGGAATAGCGTAGGCCCTTAAAGTGATTATAATTTTCTACATTAAAATCAAACTATTTGCAAATTCCAATCTGGAACGTACACTCGACGTGAACTAGAAATCATTTGTGTCTCTATCAGTTCAGCTAAAATCCACCAATGTTGATATCAATTAAATTGCATGAATTTGCTAGCTCTCCTCCAAGGCATTTTGTTGTTAACAAAAACTTGCTTACTTGTTTTATCTTGGGTTTATCTTGACGATAAAGGTCTCTCGTTTCAATGTGCTCCGGAACGAGGCGGTATCCCTTTTCTACATGGTGGAAATTTCTCAAGGCATGCAATGCGGCCGGTTCGTCTGATAGTATAGGATTTCCTACAATAGAAACAGTGTGAAAGCTATACTACCTAACCAACAACATCCAACAATGAAAAATTTAGGCCCGCCCTTTTTTTCATTAAGAAAACTGGCAATGGCCATTTAACAACAGGGAAAACTGATGGAGGACGTGTCCTCCCCAGTCCTGTTCATTTCGCCCCCACTGACATCCAATTACTTTGCTTCAGTGCATGTTAGGGACGTCTAGCCATGGACTGCAGTCTAAGTCAGGTACAGTATTCATAACTCCTTCGAACTTCATCTCAGAAAATCTTTCTCTGAAAAACAATTAAAGCAGCGCTTGGTTTAAACTATTAAAGTTCTTTTCCTTCATTGGTCTTCCTTCTAGAGGTCTTCAACTGTTATGTTTCTTGGCCAAAGTGCTTGGCCAAAAAATATTTTACTAGTTGACAAGTAATGTTTTAAACAAAATGTGTATCAAAAAAATATTCGAGAATCTTACTATCATAAAACGACCAGTAGCACAAAAGACAGAGAAGAGGTGGCAGAAAATCTAGCAGAAAAGAAAAAATCAGTGCCTTGGTGAAATATAAGCACTAAACAACATGATATGGAGCTTCACTATCAACTAATAAACCTGACAGACTTTCTCTTTAGAATCCTTTGAGGCTGATAAAGAAGTAACAAAGAAAAAAGAGAATAGTTCACATTCTCTTGTAGCAATAATGAAAAACCTACCTCTCTCATCTTTGTAGAACTTGCTAGCCACAAATTTTCTACCTCCAATTTCACAAACCCCATCTTTATAGACTGGTTTTGGGATTCCTTCCTTTTTACAAAGTTTAGCTAAAATTTCTCTTGGTTTTTCCGAGTCCCGCCATTTGCAACACCCAACCCTAGTGAAAAATGTTAATAAAACACATTGTTGCACAGTTGCAAAGAAAAAGCAAGAGTGAAGAAATCCAAGGTATTTTGCAAAAGCTATTGAATTTGTGTGCATTATTCGGCAAGGGATATCTAAGCTAAAAGTGATGCGATTATACACGGTAAGAAGGAAGTTTAGATAGCCGAATATTCATGAAACACAAGATGCAGGCGAAACTGAAGAATCCAGTCAGGATAATCTTATTATACTCGTGCCATGCACTTCGAGGAGTTTTTGGGCTGCATGACCGAATCACAGATCGCCTAGGATCAGGGAGCGCTCTCCCAAGAATATGACATCCAGCAGAGCATGATTTTTATCCCGATTCTTCATGTCCGCCCAAGATGCTTTCGAGTTAATAATTTTAGTAATCTACTTAGTAGTTAGTTGGTGCATTCGATAACAATATTTCGTTTATATATAAACATGATCAAGTGTAAAGTACAAACTTTAAAAAACTCACTGATCGTATGACAACGGCAAGCCGCATCTTGGTCTATGTTTACTATAAAATCTGTTTTCAATGTCAATTTTCGTCTCTCCGATAAAGTCATCCATCGACATTAGATCCCAATCCTTCACTTGTATGGTTAGGAGGTTGTCAAACGGCAACTCCCCTTCGAATTCGAACATTCTACGAAGAAAGATTTAGGAAATCAAACTTCATTGATTTAAGAAGGAAATCGGTCATATTCTCGATAAAGGATGTCCCACTGCGACGTAAAAATGCATTCCACCTAGGCTTTTGAAGATAAAACAGCAAATTACTCTATCTGCCATTCTGTACTGATTTGTTCATAATTTTGTTGCCTCTTGTCGTGCATTGACGAATAGAAGGCAAAAGCAATGAGAACGTTTCTTTTTAAATCCCTCAACTTGAAAGACTACCAAACAACGCCGACCACAGTACAGGTCTCTTCTCTATGATGCTGGCTTCAACAGAATTCATATCAATGTAATGTTTTTTGAAAGAACCAGATACGGTGTACTGGAAGAAATGACTGCAAATTTGTGCCTAGCATTAAAAATACCTCTTAATATAAAGGTCCAAGGAATGACAAGAAATGAAAAGTTAGTAGAAAAAGCTTTATATTTCAAACTGCAGCAGAAAGGAAATTAGAATCATAATGTTGTATATGTTAATGACGGGAAAACTCACATACCTTCCGAACTCGGGGTTCAACTGCCTTGAGACGAGGTTCTTTTTGTCATTAACTTTATGTCTACCAAGAATAACTACAAGATATGGATCAGCCTGAAAACAAAAATATTTTTCGATGAAAGCAACAGAAGGCTGATCTCTACAGTTTGAGATGACTGAGAAGGCAATTGCCGATGCTCCAGATTTACTACCTAAGGCAACTCTATCACGGCAACTCTATTCTACTTTCAGGATAGCTTTAAAAAAGATACATTTTAGTACATAGGTTTGGTACATTTTAGAACACGATGTTCTTTCGGAACCTTATTCTGACGTTTTATGCTCTGAGGCGTGTCAGACGAAAAAGCTTTTAGTATGTTTTAAAATGATTGCTTTTTTCAAAGCCATTTTCAAATTTTGTACCGCAAAGAAATTGTTCACATTTATCAAGAAGATTTTTTTACACAGCGCTCAATTATGCATACAAGTCCGGATTTTTTCATAAAATACTAGACTATATGATTACATCTAGAAGCGGAAATAAGTAAATATAAGGGAAAAGGTCATAGCTTTAAAAAGCTTTGCTCCGAATAGCTGTACAAAAATTTGGTGGATTTATTGCTGTATTTATTGCTTCGAATCGCATAAAAACATCATTCGGTCTGAAACAAGTTTCTTTATAAAATACAATTGAATAGGATTGACCAAGCAGTAAATATAGACTTCTGGACACGGCTTGACATAGATGACTTCTTACAAAAAAATTCCTAGAAGTAATTAACCTTTCTAAATCTGTTATAGCGTCATTAATGTCATATAACCAGAGTCCTGCTTTATATTTAAACAGACCTGTGGTCTGAATTACAAGTGCATTATCAATAATTTCTCATAAAAATGTTAAGATAGCATCACTGGGCATAGCAATAACTGCCTGTATTTTCATCCTTTAGATATCTGACATCTAAAAGATCGCATCTTACCTTGCCATTCGGATCAGCTGGTTTTAGATCTAAAGCCTGAAAGAAAATTAAATATTATAGACAGCAGAACAAATGACAGAAAAAACTAAAAGAACAGATGATAGACTTTGTGATGATTATTTATATCAGTCTATTTTAATTCTTTTTTCGTCTCTTGAATTCAAAGAAAAGGTGTGAAAAGAGAAAAAGCCTTTTCCCTTTTTGAAACGTGTTCTGCAACTCTTAAATAGAGGATGGCAAGCGATTATTACATAATAACAGTTCAGTTTTTAAACGAAACAAAATTCAGTTTAATTTATCAAACGGTATAGCTAGCAGAGTAAAAGGCATTTCTATATATTCTTTGCTATAGCAAGAATTGCTTATTAAATATTTTGTGGACTTGGTAGAACGGCTTATGCACAAAAAAGATAGATCGTCTTCAAGTTACGTAGCTTGACAATACTCTTCTGGCAAAAGCTACTTGGTCTAAGTTCTTTATGCAGACCCGTCGCTATAGGGTCGCACGTGAGGCGTGACACCTCCCTTGAAAAATGAGTCCATTGCAAAACGACGAGTTTTTTGCCATCAAAGCACACATGAAAGGCTTGACTGAAAGATGCTTTTACTTACCCGAATACAATACACTCTGACTAAAATTTTCACTGGATCGTATCTTGGCAAACTGTGGTCTTTAAATGTTGTCTTGAAGGTGTTTGGACTACTATAATCGGGAGGTAGGCATTCAATTTTCCATACTCTAATGCAACCCTGAAGCAAGAAAAACATTTGATTAAAAAGCTACACGAGGACAGCGGATAAAATCATGATTCTCTCAGACATCCTTTCGAACAAACAGGTTTCAAGGGAAACAGGGAAAGGACTATGATGGAAAGAGTAATCTTGAAAATTCAGCTTTTTTAAATATATCATCACTTAAGGAAACAAAAGTATAACACTAGCGTACTGAGAAGGGGGCAAATGAGCAAATCCTCAATACGCTAATGACTTCAGCTAGCAACATAGTCTACATCAAATTGTTTTTCGAAATGGTATGTATTCTGGTATCCAACAGAGCGTGGTCACAAACTTTTCCCAAGCTACGCCCGCTCCCTTCTTCTTTCCTTCCCTAAACATTTCCACCTTGGCTAGGCCTACACAACTGGATAATATAACAATACCAACCTTGAATTTCCCGCTAAATCTCTTACAGTCAACATCATCATCATCGTCGTCGCCACCTGAACATTTTTTCCCTTTGTTTAATGGGAATGTCTCTACTGTATCTAAGAATCCTTGAAAGTCTTTGACCCTTTCTAGCTCACAGTCGTAAATCTACAAGAAATTGCATCGACCATTGAAAATCAGTGGGAACGAGATACAGATTTCGTTCTACAATAAGCAACATCAAAAGTTCAAAAATTGAGTACCTAAATTTGTTGACACTTGTAAATGATCTGCTAAATTCCCGGACAGACGGCGAGACGAAATAATGTATATTGAAGTTGCACTAATTTAATCGAGCTTTACCTCTAATTTACTAACGGCGGGACTTCCTCCATCTTTCCCGCAATTTGTAGCATCTCCATTTGGTATCGCATTACCATTACCTCGGATTGTCACGTGCAAACGGGTCCACCAATCAATAGCCTCCTCTCGCTTTTTCTGGGTCTTATTATTCTGCTGTTTAAAAAAACGGACGTCGTGTCAGGTAATCAGACACCCATCAAAGCACACTCAAAAAACACAGACTCGAGAAATACAGACTCGAAAAATACAGACTCGAAAAATACAAACTCGAGAAATACAGACTCGAGAAAAACAAACTCGAAAAATACAGACTCGAAAAATACAGAAGGCCGTGTGCAAGCCTATCATTAAAGAAAACACAATTTTTCGAAAAAATGTTTAAAATTCGCTCTAATTTTCCTAGTATAATTTTACCTTAATTTCACAAAAAGTGGAAGTAACCACAAAAAAGTTTGTAATTTTGCGTAACGTTTTGACGTCTTACCGATTTTTGTTTAGTTTCAGAAGCAATAACGACAGGGGGCAAGATGTGAACTTTGGCAACATCTCCATTTGGTTCAGATGTGTTCGTACATTTTTTGGCTGAAAAAACCAGAAGAAAAAAATTTGATGATTATTGTTATTACTGACATAATGATGACGATTATCATGATGATTATTATGACATATTTACGCTGTCTAAAGTAACTGCTCAAAAATGAAGAAAAACATGCTTACTGTACAGCTGCTCTGTTTCAACCATTTTTATATAAGCATCTGGTTTCTGAATATACTTCTGGAGGGAGTTGATGACGTATGACCCTGCCAAAACATGACGACCAAAGGCACGACAGTCAGTCACTCTGATTGTGACGGGGGGTATGTACCTCTGTTCTGGCAAATCCTGTCGAGGACAAACAACGGTCATACATCAAAGCTGTTACTATCTCAATTTCGCTTCTAAAAGAGACTTCTTATGTTCTTCACTTACAATGTTTAGTCAAAACTTGAATATTTAAATCCCAAAACTCGAATACCAATATCGATGCTGACCAGTACATTTCTGTTTATAAAGACGGGAAAATACTTCTCTTGTCGAAATACCAAAATATTTTCACAAGAGCTAAGAAAACAGACTCTTAAATAAGTTTACACAGAGCAAAGAAAATGTGCAATAGAGAAATCACGAAGCAAGTAAATAACAACATCGTTCCCCATTTTAGGTACTTAAAATGACGCTGATATATCCCTGTGCTTTAATTAAATGTTGCCATTAAGAGTTTATCGAAGGGTCCATTTAAAAGATTACCTTCTGCTGAGAGGGAACCTCTTCTCGTAACAATTAAAAATAAAAGAAAAGCCTTGAGATATATTTGAGTGCTATTTCATTTAACATTTGTCTGATTATCAAACAATTCGACGTAAGCGCAGAAATGTTTTGGCCTCCGTGCTGCATTGAAGTTTCATAATATACTATTAGAAATTGACTTACAACATCAAAAACGACAACAGGGTCCTCGAAATTCGGATTTACACTGGCATTTTTACAGATACTTGATGTAATTGACTGCTTGTATTTGTCCTGATGACGCCCTGTTTTGATATCGATTTGCCTTATTTTGTAACAGCAGTCGAGATCCACACGTGGTCGCCTGACTTGTAGGTATTTGACACGCTTCATTTCACGAACACCCCAGAAGAATACCTTAAACGCAAAATGAACATTGGGATTTCACTATGGGAAAAAGAACAGTCACAGTAACAAGTTGGACGCCATCTAAGCAGCTCGCAAAATCAAATATGAATACAACTTTCAAAGCATCTGTGTTGACGTTTCGAAGATACTAAGTATAAAAACTTTCAGCTGGGCCTAATTTTGCGGGATTCATTTTGTGCTGAAACTTTTTTTCTTAGGATACAGGCAAACTCTTTATAAAAAATCAATATCGTTATCAATAGATATACACAAAAAATTAACATGCAAACATGTTATCATTCAAGTTGACCCAAGAAAACCATGATTTGCTTAAGAGTTTTGCTAATTCGAAGGTGAAGTTGGAGCCACTCAATTTAAAATGAAATACCTCAACTCTGAATTTTTTCGTTACAGGTTTTATCTCGTGTGGTATTGGAACGGTTCCACTAGAAGTAGGTTCTGGGTCGTAGGGCAATGACAGCTCATCATCACCAACCTTGAAAAAAGAAGATATGAGTTAACTGAGCTCATTTAAAAACAACACAGGATTGGCTGGATGATTTTCATAGACTACAAAGTGCTAATGTTAAGGACTATCAGCATCTAAACTTTAGAATTAAGAATAGAAGAGGCAAATTATGAGAAGACAAGAAACTTTGTACAATTGTTTATTTGATTCCCGAATGGAAAATAAACACTTACAACTCTTCATTGCAGACAAGAGTTAATTATACTGGTCTGACATGAATAAGGCGGTTTTATAAGAGAGCAGAGAAATGTGCAGCCTTGATTTGTCACCGAATAGAGTGAAAAATCAAATAGGGTGAAAAATTACATTTTGAACTGACAGACACTAGATGCACGAATCCATGGAAGATCAGTTTTTAGGACAATTCTATTGATATTCTTAGGGCATGTATTTTTTATTTAATTAGATAGAAATTGTAAATTTTTATTGTAATTTACTTATAGAACTGAATGGAAATTGTGGATAAATACGATTAAATGAAATAAATGAAATGAAGAATCCCCATCTTCTTGAAAGTACCCGGGGAGGTAAGGGATAGGACAACGAGTCCGGGTTCACAACATAATGTGACAGGGTGGCAAGTTTCCAGATAAATGAAATTAATCCTAATTCTGTTTTTAGAGATATCAAATTAATACAAAATATTCTTACCTGTAGTAGCTCAAAGGCTGCCAAAAGATCGCCTGCTTTTTCTTCGCCGTGCCAGATTGGAAACCATTGCAAAATAGGCGGAAAGAATGGCTTTTCATAGGGCTGGTTTGCAAGTTTGACAACGGGCATTGCTAGTGATCTACCGATGAATTCTGTTTCACCCTAGAAAAGAAGAACAAGACCCTGTTTACACGATAAAAACTGGCTCTATTTAGCAGCAGTTTCGGTCTCAAGTAGAGAAAGGTGTTGCAAAAAGGATTCTATTTACATGAGGTCTCTATTCCTTGCTCCGAACAGAGATAGTACTGAGCCTGTTTGGAACTGAAGTCAGTTTCGATCCTATGTTATAGGCCAACTAGATTAATCAAGAAACAATAACTATTGTTCTTTAAAACGGATTCAGTCTAAAATATTAACAATTCAGTTTTGACATTTTTTATGTGGTCATCATAGGGAAAACGTTCTTCTTCTGTCTGTGCACGGTAAAAGGAAGAAACAGGTTAGAAAAAACAATATGCGTACAATTGTGGCTCAATCCTTCATCTACGTCTCTTTCTTGGTGTACTGATGGGTAGCCCTCTCCAATCCTTCCCTTTTATATTTCAATTCTGCTACACTACGGACCTGCACTAGTAGTGCACCAAAAAGAAAAATACTTACATTTTTGTCTTTGTCGTAGATCTCAATGACAACAATAGGTGGCGAGACGCAAAACTCATCCGCATTTCCCCATAATGTGATATTTTTGAATTTCAACATCTGGTCCCACGTTGGGCTCCTCGTTTCCCAAACCACACGAGTCTCTTTCACCTTGTTACAATAGATGACACGAGCAAATGCATCTGAAAGACAAATTCGGTCGACCACCTCTTAACGGAAATTCAGGGATGCCAAAGCACATTTTGGAGGAGGAAGGGGTTCCAGGCGAGTTGGCAAACTTTTAAGGTGTTTGCCATCATTATCTGTGATGCCACAACCTTGAAATCATACCTCGCCAATATATAATAGTAACATATGATGGAGATAGACCAACCCTGTTAAATCAGGATTAGGTCTAAGGAGAAGAAGAAGGTATGATGGAGATACCTTTCCTGTCTATGCGCATTTTTATTCGAGGTTCTATTGCTAAAAACGAATTCCGAGGCACAAACGAATACCTTATTGCATTGATTATCTTTTGTAAACGGTATACAATAAGTGCGGCTGGTATTAACTATAGACTACACTTCGATGCACCAGTCACGCTGTCCTTCTTAGATTTTCGGAAGGAAAAAGCTGTCAGAGATGATGAGACACGTAAAAGAAGCAAAATAGAAACAAACCTGAAAGACCGGTGTCATCACTGCCAAACAAACTTCTTGCTTGGTAAATGTGGGCTCTCAGGATAAACTGGTTGCTTTCTGCAATAAAATCAATCATATTTAAAGCTATTGTGACTGAAATAATCAGATGACAAGCTTTCTTGGAGAAATGTCCTGTAATACAACATATTTCAATATATGGTGTTTAGGTGCAGACTGTTAAAAAGGTATTCTAAAAATAATTATTGCTAATGATTAACCTCGTGGTTTATGAAAATAATATGTGAAATTGGAACATAAACGTCAACTTGCAAAGATATGATATCTGAATTTCTTCTTAAAAATCCTTACAATGACTTTTTGACCAATTTTAAAACTTTCAAAGAAAGTTTTCTGCTTGTAATCTTACTAGAAACGTTAGATTCTCGCATTTACGTAGGATTTTCACATCATAATCTGTAACACGCAAAATAACTGTAGAAAAAACAAAATAAAACTGATTCTTAACCTCCCTTGCTTTTGTGTTCATTCTTAAAAAATTAGATTTAAGCTATCATACAAACGTGAAGTAGGCTTATGCAAGAAAAATCCTTCGCTGTTAACATTTATCTTTCAAAGTGTACGAAAAGTATCGTATAATGAACAGTGTACGAATCATTCCCTTTAAAAAACCGATGAAATCATGAATATGACAGCATCAAAGAAATATTCTGTCGTTTACCTGTGTAAGTGATGGTTCGTGGTGGTGGAGGGAACGGTGTAACCCAGTCATTTGCCTGCAATGACATTGAAAATTGAAAAACTTTATCGAAAGATCTAGGATGTACTCGGATATCTTAACAAGAATAGTTTAACAAATAGTTCTGCTCTAACTAGAATCAAAATTCACTCCTAAAATATTCATAAAGGCGCATGCAACGTGGAACTTCATAACTCGACTTCAATTGGGATAAAAGCCTAAAGCCTCGATTTTTACATCTTGTGACTGGGGCTAGACTGGAGCTAGTGATTTTGCATGGGGATCAAGAGCTCCGTTCTGATCGTCAGCATAATAGGAGATAATATACTGAAAAATGCGCTTTATTGAATCTAACAGGACAAGAATACCAGATATTCACCAGCTGGGGCCAAGGAGAAACACAGTACTGTTGATGTTGAAATGCTTTTTCGGTGAAAACTTTACAGTACTCAGACAAATACAGTAAGAAAGAGCTGCGTTACTAATGCATTTTCCTTTTACCGCGAGTTTAATGTTTCACTGAGCTTTTATTTATATTGGAGACTTCCAAAGACGAATTTTCTCACCAATTTGAAACCGCGTGGGGCGTATCTAAGCAGATTCCGCTTCTCTGACTCCAACCCAAGCCACATCATTACATTGATTTTAGCATGTACCATCCAATCTTTGTCAGGTGACCCGCGCTTGCCAACCATCTGATGAAGACATAAACAAATAAAATGCTGGGGCTTAATGGTTTACAAAATTTTTTAATACTGAAGAGAAAAATTGCTAAGAGAACATGATAGTCATGGAAAGGATACGGTAACAAAAAGGTATACTAGCAATAAGTTCAACAACAGATTACAATTCAGTTATTTCCGCCAATCTAACTTTTGTCAGATAAGCAAACTTTTTGGCGCCCGGTTTTGCTTTAACCAAAAGTCTCGATCAGCAAGTCCGAAAAGGAAAACCCTATTGATCGGAATTGTATACATAGGCCTGCTTGTGAAACCAAAGTCACGACGCCCCGGAACTTGTCCATAATTAAATAGACAGATGATCACATCACATTCAGTGTAAAACTCGGAGCTGAAACTCCAAAGTGTTCTGGTTTAAACACCAAAGCGTGTTTAACTTTGTGTATATGATATCGAGTACTACACGACAGACGTGAAACACAACTCGTTTGACAGACATCAACTTTATTCTACTAAACAAATGAAATGTCTATAAATAATTAAAGATCAAATGTCCGATACTAAGATAGAAATTTAAACCATAAATATAAATGGCATAATATTAAATTGTAACTAAATATCAGTATAGATACGAAGAGTATTCTCACCCTCATAAACAACGTTTTGGGGGTGCCGCAATAATTTCCCCTTTCATGATCATTGTCAGAGTAAATGACATCGGTTGCGGGAACTCTCGCGTATGCCACGCGCTTTCCACCGCTCAACATCCAGATAAAAATGTCGGGTAACCCATGATGAGGCTACAAAAGAAAAAATTAATAAATAACAGTAGAGAACTGATTTTAAATATGCTTATTTGGTTATTTACCAGACTGAGTAAATGATGAAGACTTACCTCGACAAGGATTTCTTCCAATTTTTTCAGGAAGCACTGTCGCATTTTATCTACTTTCTCGGATATTAATTCTTTGTCAGAGCTCGAGTTTCTTAACATTTCGTCAACTTCCTTTCCTATCATGAGCTGAAAAAAAAACAACAAATCTAAAAATGAAGTGATGTAATGTACTAAGATCTTTCTATTGAATAGCAGAAAAAATTACCTCGATGAAATAAAATTGTTTAGGAGGAGTTTCCCCAACACGATACTGCACAAGCGCAAAAAGTGTTCAACAATTAACTATTTACTATCAACTTTAACTATTAACATATTAATTATCATATTAGAATAGAACTATTAGAAAAGACTATTAACATTTGTTTATGAAGTATAAATAAGAAAAATCCTTCTTGCTTTCATGATTACTTTTCTTTCAATGCAAATTCTCACCAACACTCTACTAGGCAATCTAATCGCGGTAATTTGTTTTTGGCTCATAGGAACAGTTTTCTGTATGGCCTGAAGTCTATTCGATATATGAGGGCAAAAATGTGGAATGACCTACCGGTAGAAATTGGGAGTTCTCCTTCAAATATTCTTTTAAAAAAAACCCTTAAAACATTTTCACAAAACAACATAGTAATCAATGATGGGTTTTTAACTTAGTCTATACATAGATGATATTTTTCTGTGGAAGACTCAAAGCAACTTACAGATGAATTTTTTTACTTTAGAACTAAAAATTAAGCAGAACGCATCTAATTTACTAGGGGGTGCTTTCTCCTCGATTAGTTCATAAACTACTAATAGAGTGTCCTCCTTTAAATAATTTCCTGTGTATAATACTAGCTTGTTTCTCCTCTATTCTGTATTTGTTCTGTTATGTTTATATTAATTAACTTCCTTTTACATTGTTTATACTTTAAAGCTTAGGTCATTTCTAATTTGCAACAAGTGTATGTATCCAGTGGAATTTAAAATAAAACTGAACTGAACTGAAAAAAATAAGGCTATTTGTAAATACCTGGTCTTAACATCATCTGCTGGTAACTCCCCCAACCCCCCCCCCCCCCGTTTAAAATGGAAGGATATGCTTGATGACTTGAAATAACTACTGCGCTTGCTTGTTGAGGGCTTATGGAGGGTTATTCAGTCACTGATAGGCCGGTATTTGTTTGAATTCCAAGCTCCCAAACAAGAGAAGGCTACAGCTGAAAGTGGATTTTTAAATAGAAAAAAAGTGTTTCGTTCCATGCATTCACGAAGCATCGACCAGATTGGTAGCACAAAAGAACATACCACAGTGTCCCTTCGAAGTTCCAGGCGTTCAATGTCTAGATCGTTTTTTATTTCCAATGTCATTTTGTCGTCCATTGATTTTAACAGGACCCTGAATGGCAAAAACATACCAGTCATTTGCAAGCTTTACATATCACAATATTTGCTTTCAGTTAACGAAAATAGCCAATTTAAAACGAAATAGATTCACGTGCTGCGCCAACACCACGACACTCGTCTTGTACTGTGTGAGAATGTTTTGACAACTTTTCTTTATTACATTTCCAAAGTACATTTGGCAATGTTTGCCAATCACCTGTTTATTTTTTAATATGATATCAAAGCATGGGATAAGAAGAAATGTACATCATGAAATATTGGTTGACTTTACGTGCACCATAAAACATGTAAACTAGCCTTGCGACATTGAAGTAAAAAAGTATATCAAGGCCCCGTAGACGGAGAGGGGGTCCATGACGCTGTATCTTTGCAACAAGACCTTTCTGGCTCGATATTTTCTGATTACTCCACCTTTCTTATTCAGTTTGATTACTCCATTATTCAGTTTGCATCACAGCCCATGTACATTATTTGCATGAACATTTTCAGAAAAAATCGGCTAGGTCTTTCTGAAGAGAAATTAAAAGGCCGGAATAGAAAAGCAAGTTAGATCTAAGAAAGATGCTAGTAAAATTTCCAATGTGTCGACTTCATTACTTGGTTAGAAGCATCTCTGACCTTTAGAATAAAACGGGTTGTGTATCAAGCCATGCATTATTGTTATCATTTTGCCGTAAAAAAGAATTGCATCGCAAACCTACAATCTTGGGCAAAATTGTTGGAACAAATTTTAACTTATGAAAATGCTTAAAACAATTGTAACATAAATAAATATTGACCATCCCCAAAGTGGATTTGTAGCCACAGCATCTAATCTCAATTAAAACAGCTTTATCATTGAAAGGGAGGGACTGGGTGTAGGGTTGTTTACCTTTTTGAGAAAGCTTTTTCGTATATCTCAACCTTTATTCCGGGAGTTAGTAAATCGAGGCCTGTATAGTCGCCAAATAAGGCCAAGTAACTAACCTAATGGGTGTGCAGTTGGATTTTCCTGCTTATTCAATTCAAGCAATACCGAATAAGACGTTTATCTCCATAATGGAAACGAATGATATGCAGTGGATTACCTGCAACCAAGCATCAGCTCCTGCAGTGCGGTCTTGACAACAGCTTTGGTTCCAGGAAGGTCCAATTTGACACGCTCATCAAGTTCATCAAGGTTATCTTCCTACCAAATGATTTAAAAATGATAATCAGTTGGGGTTCTTTTTCCTTGAGGTTTCAAGCATTTATGATGTGCTGTGGTGGCATAAAATAAACATAGAGTATTTTTTCCTATTCATTTCCAAGTCTATTGCATTCTGGGTATCAAAAATGCGTTAATATTGCATAGCACCATAGCAACAAGGAAGATGACTATCAAATGATGCTTTCAAGTCTTCTTTTATCAATCTCAAGGAATGATGTTTCGATCCAGGACCATAACTGCTATTGATCTTAGGAGGCTGAAGCCCCTGAGGACTATAAAAATCCTATGCTTCTAATGACAGTCCTTCTTGTTCCTACTGTTCCAAAACCAAGTATCTTCCCAATAATTATATCCTTCCTACGGCACTGCATTCAGATTGTATAGATCACAGAAAATAAGAGAGAGGGGAGATGTTTTGTCACGCAAGCAATAGTAGATGAACAATACCATAGTTTTGACTTTAAATGTCCTGATTTTATATCAACATTACGAAGTAGCCTTGGGCCCGGCAAAAATATACTTACAAGCATATCATACTGCTTCTGAAGCATAGCATGCTGGTAATGCCGTATTCTTTCGTCACACATTTTAAATTTCAGATTTAGGCACGGCTTCTTGTTTTCCCAGTCCATCGTACAGTACCTTTTTGACTGATCAATAGGCTTAACTGGTTTTGTAATTGTGAAGCAATCGCTTTCCTCTTCATTTGGCGATAATAACAGATTCAACTCTTCCTCACTCCTAGCGCTTTTAATCGATTTGGTATCCTTAGAAAAGTTCTCTTCGTTGTTGAATCCAAACTCACCTGCGGTTAAGAAAATGTGAATCAAGGAGAATCCCTAAACATGGATCAGTGAGTCCCAAGAGAAATCAACAGGGCCAATCGAAGTATAGATGGTCCGGGAGCTTCAGCGCTAGCGCATCACCCCAATAACCTCTTAACATTGATTAGCAATACCACGTGCACAACAGTGTTTCAAATGGCTAAAAGAAACCCATCCTTCCAGCAGTTCCCCCCTTCCCCAACAATACAAATACTGTTTCGATGGCCTGGCTTTAAAATGAACACAGCTAAACGCTGGTAATAAAGCCATTATCAAAGAGCTTATCAACAAATTATCTGGTTCTTATTTTGAATTTAACAAGACTCTCCATAATCTGAATGCGCAAAAATTTTTTTGCAAATTGAAATGGTGATGCAGGGAGCTGAAATGCTCTTTTTAATCCTTTGATTTGAGCAAAGAATCTTGTTTTCTACCAGCATGTTTCGATCTTAATAATGAGGTCATATGTTGGAGCATAGTTGCCGAAAAGCAAGAATTTATAAAAAAGAATCTGAACTTTGATGGTTACCTAAAGCAAAAATTGTGGGCATAACTCACATACAATAGCCTAGGAATTTCTCCTTGAAAATAAAGACTCCTGTCCGGGAGCACTTTTAGAATGGTCTTATCGCATAGGCAAAAGGTAGTAACAGAGTCTAAGACACTAGCACCCTCCCAATAGAGTGGAAAAAGGTTTACACCGTAAAAATCAATTTTCTGGATTTTAAATTTTGAACAAGTGAGAAGAGTAACACGGTGAAATATGAAATATATCCAAATATGCAAAGTCCTATTTTCTATTTCCTGAGATGTGGCAAAAATAAGATTTGGAGTTTCCTAACAGAGGACTGTTACTTCTCACTGCTGCATAAGATTTAGAACCTGGGCAAAATTACAGTGATTTGATGGGGAAAAGCCTCTGCCAATGTTGCCATATCTCATGCAACCTCTAACAGACCTAGCTGGTTTAGCATAATTAGAGGTATTTCCTTGTTTTTTTTCAGGTCATATGTCAAAAATCTAAAAATTCTAAAGATTTATACTTTTGAAGACGCCATAATTTTGCCACTCCATTCATTTGGCAACCAAATCAAATTTCCTTCACGCAGCAGCGGGAGAATGCTTTGATGAGGCTTATCCTCAACTTACCTATCGATATCTCAAATTGAACAGGTCTCTCTCCGACTCTTCTATCGATCATCGATGCATCATAAAAGCAGCTGAAAAGTTGAAAGGTCTTTTCTCTTGGCTGCAAAAAAATAAACAATCGTTATCAAATGTCACGACAAAAGAAAAACCTCCATCCTGGCATACAGGTTGTTGCAGTGCTGGCGATTGTATATCAAGTATTAGTGAAAATTCTATTTTGCATTTTCTTCAATGGCATTACTTTTAATGGTGATAGATGAGCCCGGGGAAGTACCACCGATCTGCCTATTTGTGCTATTAGTGGCTATGTCACTTTCAGTACTAGGTTAGAGTTAGCTTGTGGTTGGTGAATTCACGGTGGCTGGGGAATCAAGCAGGCTGTTATGCTAGTTTGATCCTTGGCTATTCTTGGAGTACAAATTGTAATGGCGCACCGTAGTCTGCTTCCAGACGGTACAGTGGCCCAAACCAATTGGAGACTGCCTCATCAGCTGGCGCTTTAGAAGACTGCCTTATCAGCTGGCGAAAAATCTTGAGCTGCAAGTTATAACAGATTTCGACCGAAGCCACATGATAATTTAAGAGTCCCTCTTGTGTATTCTAGTATTATGTTTCTATGCTGCTGCTTATGCAATGGTGAATAAGTCAAGTATCACTAACGAATCAACTGCAGACAACTTATGTGGCAACTTATAAATTATTTTCAATCTCCTTTTCGGACAACCGTGAACTTGATCTCAATCTTGATTCTATGCACCATCATCTGCAAACTAAATTTCCCCAAGCACTTTTCCTTACAATGACCAAAATCAAACCTCTCGACCCAGGCAATAATGCTCCCCCCCTCCTATCTCACTAAGTGGCGGGGTCTGTGCATTTATTTCTTCTGATGTACGGCCCTCTCGCCCAAAATACAATGATATCTCCAACCCTGGTTTTCAACTCACATGGCTCAAAATTTCCTTCCCCTATGCGTCTAAATATATTTGCTGCCTTAACCGCACACCCAACCCTTAATATATAGCGATCCCCTTTTTCAAAACTCAAAAAACAGCAAAAAGGACAAAAGAGATTCCACTCACCATCCGCTTCACACCTGGACCAGGATTTTTAATATCCTTCACCTCAACAACCCCCGTCTCACAAGGTTCGTATTCACTGACTTTGATTTCAAGAAGCACACGACCTCGATATGAAATCCCTTCTCCCTGGAAATGAAAGAAAATGAAATTTACGATGATAAACTCACTACAAAATATTACAAATACCCTTAGGGGTTAGACAAATTTAGAAGGTGACACCAGGCCTAATGGTTGCATGCACTACATTTCCTTAGAGAAGAGCAAAGCGTTCTCTAGTAAAAGTATTTGCTAATGCATCGATAATGAGAAAGCATTTAAAACTAAAACTGATGCTGGACGGTCACAACACCACACCAACTACGCCGGGGCGGGCTTGAATCCAGTGGCGTAGCGAAGCTTAGGGCACCTTAGTTTTAAACAGGGGCGGAAATCTGATTCTGAAATCTGAAATTGCCCATTACATGAATATTTTGCAGATTGAATAAAGATGATATGATGATTTTTTTCTAAATTTTTTTAATTTCTAAATAATTCTTTTTTTCGAATCTGGAGCAAGTCATGGGAAACACAAAGTCACCGTCAGTGCTTCTAGCATTCAAACTTTCCCACCAGGAGATTCTAAACATTGAACTGTGATTTCTAGCCAACGGATTCACATATCAGTAAAAAACTCCGGGAGGGGATCAGAAAAGATAATTTATGAAGAAACAATGAAGACCATAAATTGCAAATGTTTATGTAAAAATAGCAATAAAAACACATATATCAATCAACTCACGATTCCCTCGTTTAATTCGTTGTTTTCATTGAAAAAGCTGTAGTCTCTTGAAGATCCATACAAATGAATCCAACAAGGCCCAAAACTTGGTGGAAATCCTAAACAAACAGAAAACTCGTGTTTTAAATAGCTACTTCGATTGTTAATTGATAACAAGAAGTCTTAGTTAAAACCCAAATTCACTAGATATTGGTCCCGTATACAAAAATTATTGGTAACAACAAGAAGCGCTTAAATCTTCAGAGATGCTGGGAAAACGAGGTCCTAAATTAAAATTATACGAGGTAGACCCTAACACCAAAGAATAATCAACAATCATCTGAAAGGAGAATCAAAGTTTTCTTATCGAAACAGTGCACAAAAACTGGTAACAATCTCTTGATAACAAAAGATAATTTCAGTGAGAGCTATGTTAGAAAAATGATTAAGATTCCAAAGAGTGCAAAATGAATTATCCAAGAACAATTCATACATACCATCACGACCAAAGCCTCCCTCCATCGCAGAAATATCTTTTAAATCGATGAAGTGTGTTCCAATTGCCTCATCCCTACAAAAAAACTTAATCTTTCAGTTTGGCAAAACTTTGAAAAATGATATAAATTCTAAAAGGAAACTGCGCGATTCTAGCAATGAATGTTTTATTGATAACAAATCTCTATATTTCCAGCAAAGACACCAATCTGCAGCAAAGACAATCAGTTTTGCAGCAAATACCAGTCCTGTTATATGAGCAACAACTTACAAATTATATATAATTGTTCTAGAAAAAGGCGTGTACAGTAGAGAATTTAATACTCTACTTCTAAGATGTGTTTGATGATGTAAAAGAGAATATTCATGCTTCTAATTAGTAAAGGAAATTCAAGAGAGAGCCAGCGATCAAAATCTAAAACTTCAGTGAAAATGCGAGAAAGACGTCTTTCATCTCAAATATGGCATCGAGAGGAATTTCGTGCAAAAAGCTACAATTACTGAAGCAAATGAAGCCCTCAAATTTGCAAAAACGAGTAAAGAAGAACAGTTGGAAGGAGGAGGAAAAGGAAAGAAACTAGGATTAAACGGAAGAACAATGCAGCATTTACAGTACGTGTTTGATATTTCGCAAGTCCAATTAAGACACATTGTGATAAATGCACTGGTCATTCTCTTATTCAACATGTTTGCAGAAACAGTCATTAGCTATTTGTCAATTAAATCTAATTTGCTTCTAGATAGCAACAAGTTATCTAATATTGGTAGCATAACGGTCAACATTTTTGGTAGCCAGGTTTTGGGCAGCAACTCCCGTAATGCAACATTTGCTTGCAATGGCAATCGTTACCAACAATATCTTCGATCATGTAAATATTCGTTAACTTACCCATCACGTAACTGAATTTTCATCCTTCTACACATTGGTATAAGCTGCAATGAAAATGAACAGTGAAGATCGGATAAGTACAATATCTAATACAAAAGTGAAACTCTAATGAAACAAACAAATTAGAAAATTGTATGTTGTGAAATGAGATGTCAAATGAAATAAAAAAATGAAATAATTATCTTGAGGCTGGGTAAATTTATTATCAGATGTGTCTGATATGAAGTTTAAGGTTGGATGCTTCTTGATTGCAAATAATGTTTTACTTACAAACTCCCAGAACACAATTTCTTGGTTGAATTCGGGCTCGTAGCAATTTTTCACTGTTTTCGTTCTTCCCTAGAAAATTTTGTAAAACGTCACATCAAAAAAAAGGAAAGCTCTCTTGGAAAACCTGACATGATGGCTTAATTGTAAGCAAAAAAGATAGGAAAAATAATTCATCCATATCGAAACAAGATTACAGCAATAATACTTCAGGGAAATATTAGTCCCTAGGTACCACCCTGGGGGGGGGGTACTCCCATTATGGCCTAACAGGGGGTTCAGTCAGGGTCAAAGAGGGCCAAAGCTGAAATTTTCAAAAAAATTTCTCTCAAATAGTAGTCTTTTCTGACAATAAACCTCAAATGGTAGCATAAGAACCGAAATTATGTTCTTGTTTGCATCCATTTCTTTGATCGCATCTGGTCCTTATTTGGCAACTTTCTTCGCCATTGAATGTTTTTGATTTGGGAAAGATAAAATCTTTCAATGATAAAATGGTTCAATGCACCTCTGTATCTGGGTTGCATGTATCCAGGTTACAATTTAGGTAACTTTATGGTTACACTACAAAAAATCTTACTTGGATTCACTCTACCCAGGTTCATTCTAGGTTCGATTGTATAGTTAAGACAGGCAAGAGACTTTCAAGTAAACACTGATCCAAATAAAACATCTCTTTTACTTTTCCAAGGCTTATTATCTAAAGTAGGTGGAGAGTCCAGTAAAAGGTCACTAGAACTCCTGGTCAAAAATATAGTCCAAAATATCAATTTCTAGAGGCATTAGCAACAAACCTCAATTATGACTTCGACTTTTAGCGGAAGGCTGACCCTTGCTATTTTAACCATGCATTAAAATTCAATAATAACAAAATATCTTACACTAATTAGAATTACCCAAAGTTCCCACTCGAGAAACTTACCTTGCATCCAGCAAAGGTGACCTCGACATACGGATCTGCCAAATCTCTTATCTAAAATGGAAAATTAACTTTCATCAATCATCAGGAATGGAGAAAGAATTGAGCCATGTGCCACAGCAGCTTGCTCCTTTCAATGTAAAGGTAATGGTGAATAGAAAAAATCTTTCTTAAACCGAAAGATGCATCTTGTCTTTTTCCAACATCTTGTCTTGTTCTTTTCCTCGCTGCATTTTGTCTCCCGTTGATATTGCAATTTGGTACAGTCTTACTGCTGGCAGCAGAGTAGAAATATATATCGTTGCCAGCGGCATCGTCTCTGTTTGGCAGTCAAGTGCATTAATCACTGGGCAACTTCGCCTCCCTTCCATCAAAATTGGTTTTGCGACGTGATGTAAAACTTGATGATGGTTTTTTGACAATATTCAGCGATACATAGATATCATAATATATATTTTAATTTATATTCAAACTGCAACACATTAATCTCAAAACCCAACTTTGCTACTAGCCCCTGAGATAATGTGCATAAGCAATGGTTGGAAAACAAATGGGCACCACTCTCATAATTTTTCCTGTATATACATTTTCTTCCTACTTACTTGTGATAAAAAACGCTCAAAACCAGTAAACTATTCAAAATCCTGTCAAATTTCATTTAAGAAAGAAAAATGACTCACCTTCCCGGTAATAGCCTTTTTCACATTCGCCATCAATGTATTCTCCACTGGAGAAATAAATTAAACACATAAAAACATAAGACAATTAAACCAAAAACGTTTCAGCAAAAAGCATTTGGAAATGTAGAAATAGACAAAATAAACAACGAAGGGAAATTTTTAGACAGTAAACCATTTATTTAAGACGACTTCTTTTCTTATCTCCTTCCCCCATCTTATTTTACACTCCGCTGTTTCAGTTGAGTGAGATAAACGCCCCCATTAATTTCCACCGAAAAATGTCTTCCATGTGCTTGTGCCCCTTGTATTAGAATCATATATTAAACGCTCTTTCTATAGACAGCAATTATTCAATTGGGGGTCTAACGTAACAAATGTTGGCTGTAGAACAAAATTACATGCAATTATGTCCAATAGTAGCTCACTAAACCTCCTTTTAGTTTTACCAAGAATTCTCATAATTAATGATAAATTCAAATTTTGTGTCAGAGATCGAAAGAAAAACATGGAGTGTAATACAAACTCACTTCGTGGAATCCCTTGTGCTGCAAAAACTCTGACGGAATATTGTGCAACAGTTCGTAGGGCTTGAATGCATGGGGGCAGTAACAAATTTCTTAAAAAAATGCAAACAAGAGTTGTTATTTCGCAGGTTTAACCAATGCCATCATACTACAAAGTCATGTATAGCACAGTTGTGCAGATTGTGACATGAACATCGTTTGAAGGGTAACTGTCTCGTGGAAAAGAGTGAAATTTTCTCAAAATGAGGATTGGTAAAAAACGCATTGGTGTATTGGTGCAAATTTCCCAACAGTCGATTGGTATTATCATATAATTGCAAAGCACTTCCAGTTGGAACTGGTCCCGTACAAATGCTTTGCCTCGATAAAGCCTTAAGATTGTTTAAGCTAAACATTTAGACTTCAAAAGCCTGAATACCCTTTACAAAATTCGATGTCAAAAATATAGGGTATTTACAATATTCCGAAAACAATAAGAAAAATGATTCTTACTTGTCGACGTCGATATCTTTCATCTGTTGAGGTACCTGGATATAAATAGCACAAGGTTATTTCATGGAAAAATGCTCAATCTATGTAAGATACATAATTAATGTAAGAAACAACAACTTTAGATGCGTTATTAAATGCATAATTAACACGGTTGCCTGATGAAACATAGTATTAACTAAGATCTGACCTGTCCTACACACCCAAACATGAAATTAATGTTAATTATACAAATTATTCTATCGAAATACATATTAGATTTTATCGAAAAACAAATTATCTACAACATTCATGACAAAAATTATAATTTTTCTCTCTTGATCTTAAAGCAATTCTGCTCCCAGAGCAAGTAAAATGAGACCTAATATTGAAACAACGTCAAAGCTGCATCTGCAGCAGGTAAGATTAAAAAATCCTATTGCTATGAAACAGTTCTGTTCTTTAAGTCTCTGCTCATGGCTTTACTTCACTTTCAGGTTTAAAATAAGTTTTTCATCAAACTAATGCATTTTGTAACTCAGAGATATTCATTGATATTTTGGTTCTTGCAAAGATTTTGATAAAACTCCAAATTAACAGCCAAATTGAAACTCTTAGTTAAACCAAAATGAACAGCACAAACCTTGATATGTTCCCCTTTACCGGATACGGACACATCCACACGAAGATAGCCCTATCAATGAAAAGAATTGGCTGGTAACAGAGATCCATAGCCATAGCACTAATTTTAAGATTTAATTTTTCGAGTGAAAAACCAGGAAAAAACCAAACAATGTAAAGAACTTAGAGACAAAGCTATAAGAAAACACTATTCTAATGAAAAATTAAGCTCTGCGCATCAAAATTTTTCAAGACAGACCATATTTTAACAAATTTATGGCCTAAAAAACAAGCATTGAAACTAGATTTTATTGCCTTATTACCATGGTTTCTAAACAAACACAAAGGGATGCTCCAAGTTCAATTGTGGCCTAATACGTGGTTAACGTCCAGCCGGGCTTACTTTTCACCGGGTTAGGCTGAGATTAAGAGGTTGCTGACTTTTGCTCAAATGGGATTATCAGCCATTGACAAACTTAACTTTTTTCGATCAATAAGTCACATATTTCTTTTGACTTTTTCATTTAACTAAAAATAATTTCTCAAATAGCCCTGTACACATGCATGTATTCATCCAGTGACAAATTCAACCTAAGATTGCAGAAGCAGGCTCAACTCGCTCCGGGCTGAAATTTTATCATTCAAACGAAATATCTCTTTGCACCAGTAACAAATGCTGTCGTAGCGGTCCGGTTGAAAATTATTCTGGGTTGATATTTTTCACGAGCAAGGATTCTGAAATGCTTTTCTCTATAGTAAATGTTTCCCTGTTGTTGTCAGGTTTTAAATGCCCGCTATACAAGCCTCTCTTTGAAAATGAAAAACTGACTTCAAATTTTAAAAGATTTAAAATGAAAATTTAAATTCCTCTCTCACTTTGATCTCGTTTGGTTCTGGAGTAAGAAGCACCGCCCATTTGCTGAAGAAACTGTGGCCTAAAATTCAGAACACATTGTTCACGATATAATGTCTAGAAGCTTATTTTATGTTTCAGAATTGTATTAGGAAGTTCTTAACAAATTGTGAAACATTGAATCAAGGAGTAAAAATGGAATAAAGAAATGAGTGGATAAAAAGAGACAATAGGCAAAGAGTAAAAACAGTGTGAAAAGAAATTAAACTGTTTGAGAGTATAGAAAAGGCAGCAGAATTTAAAACCAAATAAATAAATTTTCAGAAACAAAAAGTAAATACTGGCGCTTATCTAACTACCTGAAATTCAAATTATGATTTTGAAACGGTCAAATATTTTTAGTAAATTGCTTACCTGACTGTTCGTAAACGGTCCAAAGGTCCATCTGTTGATGGGACAATTATAATCATGAGAAACTCTTTATACAAAATGACGACTCACACATGTTACTGACATACTAGTGTTGTTATTACATACTGAATGGTAACTCAGTTAAAGCCCTTATTCTTGGGGGGTGGGGGTTGGGGGGGAATGGATACGGATGATGAAATAGCGCATTCAGAATTTTATACACCAAGCACTTTATATAATGTTAGAATGGCATCAACACTTCAACGAAAAAAAGTGCCCTTATAACTGACAAGACTAACCCCCGTTCACCAACCACCCATATAGAAATACTGGGAGAGACCATGTACCCTGTTGAAACGGGTTTTGCATCTGCTGCGACTCTAAATCGAGACAGAGACAAGTAAGAAACCAATTATGAACTATACCTTGAATTGGCCAATCAGTGTTCCTTGTGAGACAAGGCTGCGTCCAGAAATTACCTATAGATATAAAAACATACTGACGTCATTGAAATTCAAAGCAAAGTTTAAGGATAAACGAACTTAACACAATCGTGATAGAAACTTGATTAAGCAGAAGATATGCATATAAAAGAAGAATAGTTGTAGATATAGCAGAGCCCAGAAAAATTGGGAATAACAGAGTTGAAGACTGCAAAGGTGAGTGAAAGAAGGACACACCTGAATTATGTAAACCGTTGTTTCCGGGGGGTTTACTTAATACACTGAATACCCGTGGGTGTGCCTGCCGACAGGGTGTCATTCTTGGTTTACATTTTTTCTCTATTTCCCGTGCAGGTGTGCCAAAGGAAGATACAATGTTTTAAGACATAATGCTTTCTGGTATCACCTTTTCATAGATTCATTCCAGCAAAGGTTTCATGATTTCAGATTTTTATTCCAAGATAGGGCCATAAAATCTTTTCTGGCAAGCATATACCCGTCATTTTTTTCAAAGTTAATCCCCGGACCGCAGTTTAAGTAAGACACGCTCAGAGACCATGGTTCAGCTGAGACATATCTTTTCTTGTTAACATTTGGACACTTTCGATATTTGGTATATTTTACAACGGATACTTGGTAGCAATCTACGGAGCCGTAAGATAGTGAATGAAAGAAAAACAAAATTAAATTAATACTAAAATGTCTATGCAGCACAATTACAGTTTTTGATTAAACCAACTTTTGGTTATTCTTCATGTTATTTAGCGCCATGAGTTTCAATATATTACCTGAAAGCTAATGATTTGATCCAATAACTGTTCCTTTGGTAGTTTGAAGTCAAATACGAAATACTAGAAAAGAATTCATTAAACTTAAGAATAAGAGCAGAGACAGAACAAGATTGAAAATTATTGTTTTAAAATTTCAAAATAATTTTTTTATTCAAAATAGCTTTATTTACCCCAAAATCCTCAAAGACAGTAAAACACTCAACTCATCTGGTGTACAATCAACATAATTTGATAGCTGTTTGTGGGATATTACCCCAACTGGATCTTATACCGACCCAAATCCGGAAAACCTACTATTGCTCGTCTTACTTTTAGGTGTCAAATACAAGGAGAGGATGTTGAAAAAAGGAGGTTCGGAATTTGTTTTCGAAAGCTGATAAACGGGGAAGGGTCTTTATAACAAAGGGCCTGAATTTTGATGTGTTACTTCATGATTCGAACACTGAGAAAATGAGTTTCGAGAAGTTTCGAATGAAAGATTCAAGCATTCGAACGTTAAGGAGAATAATATATCAAACATAAAGGAAAAAACTCGTGTTTTTTTGAGATTTCCAGGAATTAGATAGACATTAGACGGGGGATCCTAATAAGGTTTTGGCGCTAAAAATACCCCTAACGGCCTACAGAGAATACCTCCCAAAGTTCCAACCAAATTTCCCAATACAGTCTTTTGAAAAAGAGTTACTTTAATAACAGTCAAGAAAAACATGACTGACTCAAGGTAAATAGCCAGTAACAAGTATTCATACCTCATCCCATGTTGGATTGTTATTATGCGGTTTTGTCGTTGTATGTTTCTTCTGGTCTCCAATGGCAATGTCAACAAATGGATCGATTGCCATCCCATTCAGTCCCTTGCCTTCGATAATCTTGACTTGCACCTAATTGGATTGATATCAAGTTCAACTAAGTAAGAGCCAAAAAAAAAGTAACAACGAGTTGTGAAAATAGGTCATAAGTAAGGGATACAAAGTTCGCTTCTTCCGCCCTTCAACCGTCCCCTACTACATTCTATGGTCTACATTCGATTTAATTTTCAGAAAAATTTGCCATCATTTCTTGGAGATCACAAGGTGGAATCTAACACAGCAATGGAGGGAGCCTGTATTAATCTTGCTACATCGAGGAAATTTCTTGACTTATTCGGCGCTTCTTGTATTCAGGTTTCTATTTCAAAAAGTTTGTTAAAAATTTTCAGGGTCCGAATTGATAAATTCTAAAATTAGATTTTTATGACGTCACAACGGAGCCACACTGCTCCGTTGACAAAAGGAATTGAATCAGAACAACAGTAACGAAGAAGAACAAGGCTTTTTCATGGTTGGACTACTTGCTGACCCCAGTTTTAAGTATATTTTTCAAAGAGCGATGGCACAAAAAGTTATTCAAACTCAAAACAAAAATATTACTAATAATACCAAATGGTTTTGCACTGCGGGAAGGTATTACGGCTACAAAATTACAATGGCTACATCGTGTGAGTTACGTATAATAACTATTGTTCAGGTATTCAATACACGAATTCTATTTCCAGGAAACGCGACTGACATGGTGCAACCCCATGTTGTGCTCTGTTGAATATTTAGAAAAGAGATCTATGTATAAATAAAAATTGAAAGGAGACAGCCATACCTGCCACTGTGAAAATTTTGTGCTCTTACGTTTAGGCAATCGTATTCTTGGATGAAACGCTCTGTTTAGAAAAAACATTATAGCGCTTGAGAGATGTGCACAATTTAGAAATATGCAGATCGGTGAATGTCCTGTTAACAGCGATAAACCAAACATTTCAGCAAAGGAAAAACAATACAACGTAGTTATAATCAATTCGATATATGCTAATTTATGTATCATATTCCAATACTTCTGGGTGGCAAAGATTAAGGTACAATATATTGGATTTTAACCAAAAGATGGTCAATTTATAGGATGCAGACTGTAGTAAAACAATGTGCACCTGCATCATAAGTTCTCTTTTAGCCATAAATTTTTCTCAAGCTCCTGACGACTTAGCTTTAAACGGACTGCTAATAACAGAGTTGAATGCGCCCATTAGATGAGCTACCTGAAAAACTCGACCAAGCATTGTCGAGAAGTGCATCTAATAGCTTTTCTACATTTCGCAGTTCTAATATTGCCTCAAAAAACTTAAATAAATGTATATTTAGATATTACAAAAGCACAATGCTTCAGTGACAGGGACCGGATGAAATACCACGCTTCTTTTATCTAGAAATATAACTTAGCCCATGGAGCCATCTCCGACTCGGCTTTCTGTGATTCTGCAGTAAACCAGAACAGTAAATAGGCATGCCTCCAAATCACAGGGCCGAAAAAAGTATATGAAAACGTTTTTTCTGCCTCTAGAGTTCAAGCAAAATAGACAGAAATGTCGCAAACAAAACAGAATTTTCTAGCACCAAAGTCCGAATTATATTCACATGAAGCTACAGATGCGAATCGTGTACTAAGGGCCGCCGACCAAAAGGGGCCTTCAAATAATTGTTATTTCAAGACTCGCTCAAGTTCGCCACACTTTAAAAGCTTTTAGATTTCTTCCACCGAAGCTTCTACTAGTCAACGAGAAAAATTATCAGTTTTACATCTTGTTATTGTGTTTGACATGCCCTACAGCGTTGGATGCGACTTTCTTGACGTCCGTTAATAGGGACCCCATCTCCATGTTCACTAGGACCCGAGATGCCTCCGTTACGCCACTGGATGCAAATTCAATTTTGATACAAAAAACAAGGGCCATTTTTGCAATATCTAGTTCATGTTTGAAATTAGCCCATTAATCTAGCGATCTTTATATCTGATAATTACAAGAACACATCACATGACAATTATTATTATCTTTATTACAAATGCCGATAAACAATCAACGAAAAAAGGTTGAATATGTAATGCAACACTTACTCCTTTCCTTCAAGGCAGTCAGTGATCTCTGTTCTTCCCTCGTGACTTGCAATTCCACTTTTAATTTCTGCGTGACTGCTTGTTGTGCCAGATGATCCGAAGTGCGAGGTCGTTGGTTTCTTCATGGCACCGAGAGGGACATCCAAGAAATCGTTCACAAGGACTTTATTTTCTTCAACATCACTGTCTTCCTCCAATAATTCGATATGAACCACATGGTCATCTTGCTTCTTAGGTTCTTCGTATGCGATTTCCAGTGTTATTTCAGACTATGAAACAAAACGAAGCTTTGCATTTAAGTTATGCTGGCAGCAAACGGGAAATCTTAATTCGACCCACTGGTTTACTATCAAAAGTTCTACAAAAACTTAATGCATGCACACAAGAAACTCACTCCACGCGTTGTACTTGTAGCAAATATGTACAATTCAAAGGACAGACTGAATTCTTCTGAGATCATAATATCAATATACGAAATACAAGGCTACATAAACTAAGATTAAGGTGATTCAACATAATCGCAATCAAACGACAGACTGAATTCCTCTGAGATCAGAAAATCAATATAAAAAATACAAGGCTACATAGACTAAGATTAAGGTGATTCAACATAATCGCAATCTACGTTGATGGAAATGTGAGATTTTGGTAAAAAGATGATGATACATGATTTTGTGGTCATCTGAAATCAAGGTAATCTTTGATTATGGTTAACATTATTGAAATCTAAATTTAGAGTGATTCGAGCTTATGGCAATCCGAAACAATGATGATACGAGATTATGGTATTTTAAGATCATATCTGAGAATGCGGGAATATAAAATTATCATGATCTGAGATTATAGCCGTCTAAGATTATGGTAGTCTGAGACTATGGTTATCTCAGATCATGGCGATCTGAGACTATGGCAATCCAGAGTTATGATATATGATAACCGAAAGAAAAGAAAATTTAACGACAGTAACTATTGCAGAAACAATGAGAATACGGATTACCTTAATAGAGCGATTGTATAAATCAACAAGATTATCAACGAGTTCCAAAACTTGGCCATCTATTAGAGAAGAAATTTGGCACTTATACGCAGCGAAGAGTCTAAAAAAGAAGAGAAACGTCAAATCAATAACTTCTCAAAATACTTTACACTACAGCAGAGGAAAAGTGGATTATTTATACACAGCAACAATTTTATTGTTTTATCAGTGCATCGATTTATTTCTTAATACAAGTCGTTCAAAACACAAGATGTAGAAATGAAGCCTAAAAACATAAGATGAAACATTGGATACATCGTCTAAGGGTTGGAAATTTTTGAAATGGTTGTAAACTGTCTCTAAAAACAAATCATGTACTGAGGAGCACTTGAAAAAACATTGAACTATTTACTTGGAAGTGCATTTTGATAATTTTGGGAACATGTTAATGCCAATATCATCTCATAAAATATTCGGGGATCGTGTTAAGGAAAAGTGGCATTGCCAATGGCAATAAACGCATACTTCACTAAAAAGTAGCATATGTGCCCTCAAAACAAACACATTTGCACAAAAGCATGTGTTCCTTACTTGTCACTAAAGAAAAGGCTTTTGTGGTATAAATGCAACTCTAAAAATTCGTCTTCGACAATTGGAGAGGATAGAGGCCAGCTGAAATCCTTGTAAAACAAAAAAGGATATTATATTAAACGGTTTTTAAAGAAGCAATAATAGGAGAAATATAGTTAATGTGTACTGCATTGTTCAAACAACAACAATCAGTTTATTTAAAAATGTATTATTTTCTTATAGCTTGTATCATCAGTCTGACAAAAGTTTTACCCAAAACAATGCCTAGAAAATTACCCTAATGGATAAACTGGTTCGCACTTTCTTTGCTTAAACAAGATTATTGCTTACGAATGGGATTATAGACAGAGAAAGTGCATATACCTCAAAGCTTCCATTGAAAGATAATTGGGGCTAAAAGCAAGGACCCGGGAAGCGGAGGGGGGTTGACTGGGTTTGAATGGCCTAGAGGTCTACAGGACTCTCCAATTATTTTCAAATTCTACACAAATGATCTTGATTTTGGTCGTTGGCATGTGTAGCCGCTTTGGTCCCTCCAAACAGGGTCCCAGTTCACAAGCCGAACCCAGAACAAATGGCGGTAACACAATCAGCTACCTTTCGGAGGCATTGCTTTTCATATCACATGAAAGTTTTCAGGACTCTGGTCATGGTATGTTTCAGTGCAGGCTTTAAGGCATTCACTCCAAGAAAAGGTTCGAAAATACAAAAATCTCACCTCGTCAAAGACTACATCACCACAAGAATTCTTAGCAACTTTAGTCAAATGAGGAACTCCTGAAAAAACCCAGAAACCAAATGATACTCACGAATCAAGATATCTATCTTAAATACAACAAAACAATATAATGTATAAAAAACAATTAAGCAAACAATTAATGCAAAAATAGAGAAATTTCTACGTGATTTTGAACATAAATGGACTTGTGCTGAAATTAGTCCAAAAACTTTCATCAAGACACAGGGCATCGATGAAGCTGATTCGAGTTACTAGCGATACGTTTTATGTAATGGTTTAATGTAACGGTGACACTGACGGGTAACATTGAAGGAGCAATGTGGTGGCGTAGTGGATTGGCATGGATGTATAGGTTTTAACAGTTGACGCAATTCACTTCATCCAGAGCCAAGCATGAGCCATGACGTCATTCACTTCATCAGAATACTTGCATTACAGTGAAGACGGGTTGCAGTGGAACCTGTTCAATTTTGTTGATAATCGCTAGTTTTCTTTTTTTTCCCAGTGATGCTAACACTAATTTTATCTCAGGATACTTCCATGCGGTTTCTTAAAGGATTTTTCTTTACAGAAGCCTTACTTAAAAAAACCTATGAGTAAACATACCATCGACTGGCAAATAACATATTCTTTATCACAACCAGACAGGGGTATTAAAGGCCATCAAGGAAATATCATACCAGCTGAATTTACCATTTGGACCTTGTTAAAAAGAGCCACTTCTACACCCAAGCGATACCAAGTTTGGGGACACATGTCAGCCGCAAAACGCTATTGCGTGACAAGATCCTTTACTAGGGACGACAGAGATCCTTACTAGGGAGGAAGCTGAGAAAAGTTTAATAGTTAATGCAAACCAGCTTTAAAGTGAATTTTAGTGGAAACCAACTGAACCTCAGTTTGCCAATTCTCCTGTTTCTTTTGGTTTCAAGGGACTAACATTTTTTGCGTTTGGGATAAGCTAATTTGGTTTTAAAATATAAATCTGTGATTTTATATCAAGTCCAAATTGATTGAGTCAGAGAACAGTTTTGTGAAAAGTGTTTGGCAAAAATTTGACAAAACAATGATTTTATTGGTGAGAAGATGGCCATATGAATACCCATCATGACCAAACTTTCTCTTAGTATGAGGAATTTCGATACAAATATCCAAGTATTTTTTTAAAGAAAATACACAATTACCTCTGAACACAATGTCCATGAATCTATCAGCCTTTGCATCGAGCTCGGTGACTTTGACAATTTTCACCCTGAGAGCCATTTCACGTATTTTTATCGAACCTCTTTTTTGGTCGGCCTGGAAGCAGAAAAATATTTATGATAATCATGCGTAACATGTTCACCCTATACTCCAAAATATATTATTGTTGCACGCAGGCCCATCGCTACAGAGGACACGTGGGATGTGACAGCCCCCTTTCATTGCAAAAATTTTATTGCGAACACGAGAAGTTTTTTGCCATCTAGAGGTACTTAGTCGGCAATTTCCCAAACTTGTCGGGAAAAATTGATGGCTCATCCACTTTGTCGGCGAAAGGGGCTCGAAAAACCCCCCTTGAGCACAATAGCTAGCAACGGGCCTGGTTCCACGACTATGAGCCAGAGGATGGTTATCCAACGATGCAATAGTTTTGAGGAAAGCAAACGCAATACAGGAATTACCGTTGCTCTTCAACTTTTCTATTTTTCAGACAAATCGTTAAGATCAAACTATATATGATTGATTATACTTGAATTCCATTTCAAAGAAACTTTTAATAGAAAGATAAAAGGAAAATTTTGAGGAAGACAAATAGGCTTAGTTTTTTTCGGAGGGCAGTTAAAGCGTTTCTGGCTCACTCACCCTCAGTTCATTGGTTCTGCAAAACGGGATAAAAAGCCGATGACTGAGCTTGTAAGGGGGGATGTTGGTTCCCCAATAAAGTCTTATAAAAAGTTCCTAATGAAATAAAAAACGCAGATTTGACATGTTCATATCTAATACCAATCTATCAAATCTATTTTATATTTTCGTGATATTTTTATGTATACGCCGGTAAAATTAGGACAGGAAATATTCACTGGAAAGAAATATAATTAGAAAACGAAATAGAAAGCAACCACTTAGTTCGTTATTGTTTCGGCCTTCTGGCCAGTGACGGAATCTGCAGGGGTGTGGGAGGGGCAAGTGCCCCCAAGTTTCGCTAAATTATCGGATAAAACAATATTTTGTCGGTAAATCATGTCGTTTTTCGGCAAATTTGCTTGTTTTGTGGGCATTGCCCCCCCCCCCACCTGAAAATGAGTTTCTGCCACTGCTTCTGATGCCGAGAAATCAGTCGAGGCGTGCAGCAGAGGACCAAAAAATAAGCGATCCATAAAAAGCACACTCATAATGAAGTCCGAGAGGCAATAATATGCAACAGAAAAGAGAAAACCGAAAATTTTTATTCGCATACTTTATCAATTTTCAGGTTAAAACTTTGCTTTCCGCCATTAACGCATTCCTACTCAAATATTGTACTAAACAATAGACCACTATTACACAAGCAACAGCAGATCATGAGATGCAGCTCTCGAATTTTTCTGTCGAAAAAAAAACCCAGCTTAACAGCCCGCAGATTATGACACCGCAGATGCAAGCCCGAGGTCAGTGTAGCCCTACACTTTGAGGAAATTGTACACCACGTTTACTTTACTTCCTTTTTCCACGTTATATGAATAAAAAAAAGGTTTGTACACGGAAAAAATTGTCATATTTTCATTTGGTTCGTCACAAAAAGCGAAATCAGAAGAAACAACGATAAGACAGCATTTGATCAAATCTACCCATTCTTCTTCGATGTTTATACATTTCCAAAATGTGTTCTCTAAGAAATTATTAGATACCCGTTAGAGAAGTATGTTAAAGAGAGAATCTGCTGTAGAAGTATTCTCGAAATTCATTCGAAACACGTTTCGAAATGGCCACGAAAAGACTCAATCAAATGCAAATCTATAAATGTGTTTAAAAGGGTAAAGACAACAACTGGACTGTAACAATTAAATAAAACCATACCATTTTGAATGATCCAGTTCAAGAAATCAGCGGCAAGGCTTGTTCGAAAGTGCAGACGCACGCGAAAAACGATAGTGGCAAATGGCTATATAGAGACCTGAACATGTTACTACGAAACTTATGATATTTACAGCCGTATTCTTCGACGGGTGCTGCCATAATGGAGGTCTTTAGATTGAAACAAAAAGTTATTGTTACTCAAGAATAAAGCTCCTCTACAAAGAATGTATATTGACATTAATTGACCTCGCATAGCTTACATTTGCCGGTACATTGTGCCTGAACGTGTTTGAACATAGTCAATAGAATGAAGAAAGAAATTAGAACAATGGGATAACGAAAACAGTCAAATGCTTTTAGCTGCTCCATGACATCCTCTTTTTGGAACTTAGGCTTGTAATAAAAGATTTTTCTGCCGTGTGGCAAGGGAAGTGCCAAGTCCATGCCGGAAAGAAGCAACCAAGTCCAAAGCGGTAGGAATGGATACAGGACGGTTAGAGGGAAAAAACAGGATAAATTTTCCGAGGGTCACACAGACTCGAGATATCTGGTGTTTCAGAAGAAAAAGACCGTAGTGTGCAATTAATACGCCCAGTGGCGTAGCGTGACCTTTCTCACTGGAGGGGGGAAGGGTGTGAGAGATGCAAAACCAAATTTTATCGATAGAAATTCTTTTGTTTCATATGGCACAAAATCATTTTGTTAAGAATGTAAATATACCGGTGCATTTCTGAAAGTTGGGGGGGGGGGCGCGACAGCTCCCCCCCCCACACCCCTCACACTTTGGTGAGGTTTACAGCTTTGTAAATAAAAAAGAAAAACCCGGATGTTGTAGGTAATGACCTATTCTATGCGGGTTTTCCCCGTTTGATAAGATTTGTTTGAATGCACAGATTTTGCTTTCGAAGCATGAAGGAATTTGCTTAGCTAAGCATTTCTACTGAAAAAACGACAGATATTGTTGCAAATTGTAGAGCTGCTCCAACAAAGAGCTAGCGTTTCGGGGGGCTGCGTCGCACCATGAATTGACTTTTTCTACTTTTCAATACTTTTCTTAGAGAAATTTTTCGCGAGGATCCTGCTCGCCTTTTTCATACCACCAGGCACGTAAATAATAGGGGGTGCAGGGGGCGTGAAAGGATGGCAAATCCAATTGCAGTTGGAAAACTTAAAAGTTCACTTGGAATTCTTTCTAACTATTATGACCAAATATGTGAATTTTATAGCTAAGGATTTTGGGATTTCAATTGTAAAAATCTTAGAGCCTATTCAAATTCAAACTGTGGAGCAGGCACATCTTCTAATCGTTTTTAATTGCGAAGACCTGTCTCCACTGGATCACAAATTGCACCATTGCATCGTTTGTTTCCTTTTTGACAAGGGGTTAAGTTGAATTAAATTATTTTGAACAGGCAAGGTGAATTTCTGGATAAGAAGTTTAAATTTTACCATCAGTATTGATTGAGCCTGAAGTTTTGAAAAATCATTCCCTGTATTGATCAGAACAATTGAAAGTTTGAATTTTTTAAGAAACAACGAGTAGCCAATTCAATTGAAAACATTAAAAATCTTTCATTGCTAGAAATTCTCAACGCTTCTTAACGGGTGTATCCTAAGCTCTCCCTGCACTTTGTAGACCTCCTTGAATCTTATCATAAATTGCTATGATAATGCTAATAAGAAGCCACAAAACATTGATCAAAGAAGCTGCAGTAGAAGTATTTGATCAAAGAAGAGTGTTTTGCCCTCAGATCACCCTTTTCAGTTCCAAAAAACAAACGACATTTAGCCCTTTGAAAATTGTAAAAATTGTCCTTCGATCAAGAACAAAAGATGAAATGGTCAATTCCTTGAAGCTTCTATATTGTTAAAAAGATATTTTATATAAAACTGATCAAGCAGAAAATGAACAGAATTGCTGTTAATTGACTTGAAAGAATATTACTGTTTATCATTAAACATATCCAAGATCTAGACTGGTATGGCTTTGATGTTGCTTTATATCTTACGAAAAGATTAAATGTTCGTGTTAAGTTAATCAAAATTTAAAGATGACATTTATCTTCTTTAGTGTCTTTACGCTTTTTACTAATTATTTTAAGTAAAATGTTGGTAATTATACAGAACCCAAAAATCTGGAATAAGGCTATTTACAAATAAATTTAGTAGGTACAGAAGATTAACAGGTCGAAAGAAAAAATTCATCAGGCAAAGTTGGAATTTTCAACCTTCCACGACCCTCCAAAATTAGCCACTTTTTTACGTCCCTGCATACCACAAGCGCCTGGAGGAGGTAGCCTGTGCTCCAGACAGACCCCTAACTTTCACGTAAGGGTAGCATTTTTCGTGAGGAACCAACCGCTAAATCAGTAGAGGAACCATTCATTGATGGACAAGGGGTTTAGTTATAATTTATCAACAACGAATCGCACTGAAAACTAGGATATGGCTTTATTCACGGTGCAGCGTTCTTTGAATGGAAAGGTTATAAAAAAACAGCAAAAAGGTAGGTGTAAAATCATAAATTTGCTCTGCAAAAAAAATTGAGGAATTTTGACAGCGATATAGTTCTTTCGCACTGATTTCCTCTGTGAATAGAAGAGAAAAGCATAGTTTCATTTAAACTGCGATAAAAATGTGTCTAAAAAAGAAAATAATATTCAAACCTGCCTTGATTAAAAATACAGGTAAATTCTTGAGAAGCGTCGCCAAAGCTTGCAAATAACCTTGACGACGCTGTTAAGACTTGAGAATTTGAAAACTTTTTTGACGCGATCTCTTATTAAACAGTCTCTTGGAAAAAACCTTTGGAAACGGGTGAATAATGCCACAGTTTATCCGAGATTGCTTGTACCACCAAAGGACTAGTCCAGCTTCTAGTATTTTTTCAAAATATTTGGGAAGGGTTTTTTAAGCGAAACCTCTCCAAAAAGATGTGGGTGAGTTCAGCCGCGATGCTAAAAAATTTCTTTGGGAGGGGGGTTGTTGTTCTCCGAATGTAAACGGTAAAATATCAACCTTGATACATTCATTTATTTGCATTTTTCACTTTTCTCTTCATTTTATTTATCTTCCAACATTCTTTGGACAACTCTTTATCCAGACAATTAGGGCCAGCAATAACCAACTCACCATTCTCGGACAATGTGCAGGGCTCAAGCAAAGACTTTTCAAAAATATGTAATCATTACAGATATGGTTGTTTTTGAGGGGCAGGGGAATCACAACACTATTTGCAGCTTTAATGAAGGAACTGAGATTTATATACTGTCCTAGATGCCGAAAGAGAAGGCAAGGGGCAGCCCTTTTCACGGAGGCTGTTTACATGAGATATTTCAGCCCGGGCCAACTCAGTTGAAAATGTAAGCCTACATAAGAGTTTACATGATCTCAACATGGGTTGAACACAATGCAGCACCTCTACACAGGCTGAGATTTCAACGCGCGCTGAGATTCTCATGTAAACAGAGAAAGTTCAGCCCTGTCATTTAAGGACTTCTTTTACTGTATTCTTGACGATTAATTACAATCACATAGCGTAACTTATTCGGCCAGTGTTGAAATTATGTAAATGCAAAGCAAAATGAACAATGGATTAAAATAAATCCCATGTCACGCTTTACGAAGCTTGAACTGAATTTCCTTTTTATGCAAATACCTCTAGGAGGGGGGGGGGGTGCGAGGGACAGCAAGGGTAATCTTTTGATTTTAATGAATTCACTGAAAGTCTATTTAAATAAGATGCTATAGGATGCTGCGTGTCTAAATCGAAAGAAATTCAAAGAACATGGGGGAGGAGTAGTTACATTTAAAAATTCCCCGGCTTTTTCTTATCCATTTCTTTCACAGACTAGAAGCTACAGATTGTGGCATTCTTTCATGCTTACTTTATCAATGGGAGGCGGTTTACAAAGTCTCTTTTTGAAAAGCAGACAGCAAGTTTTGAATTAGGAAACAATGAAGCCATTCTGTATTCTGCGACCTGGTGTTTCTAAATAAAGAAGACGCAAAAACTGTGCTACAGCCATCGTTTAGAGAGGAAAAAGAGAAAATATGGAGAAGAAGCTAGGGCTACCGTCTTCTTGGAAAATTGGTAAATTTTTCATGATATGTCCCACTTCGAGAGCGAGTATGAAGATTGACTGGTTAATATCAAGGAAAAAGTAAACGAAGTGAGGCGCCTGTTTTTATCTTCAAATGACGTCATTACGCATACGGTGTACTACGTTAAAAAGAAATATTATCGTTTGGGAGTAATGTTTTAAATGCCAATCAGTTAGTTTATGCCACATTAAAATCAAATCACAAAATTATGATGATATGCTTTTTTAGAATTCAATTATTTAATGTATTTTATGATTTGAGAAAAGTTGTTTAATATTTTCGAAAGTGCGAATACTCGCTTCTCAAAGCATATTTTATTTATAAAAGATGTGCATATTAAATTTCTGTGTTGATAAAATTTTTTATCAGTCCTTATGGGAGTGTACAATGGTGAAGAGAAAGAGCGTTAATACTACTTCATGTTTCCCCAAAAAATACTTTAATATCAGAGTCCGGTTATATGATTTTAACTTTAGAGTCCGGTTATACGCTTTTTACTTTAGGGTCCGGTTATATGAATCTTCATCAACAAAGGATGTGTCACTGTTGTAGAATAGGTGTATAATAAAAGAGTATTCTCTCTAGTCTTTCTATCTTTAAGAAAAAAGGCAAGCAACTCTATTAACCCTTAGGGCAGAATTAATTCAATTTCAAAGCATAAAAGGGTGAACAAAGAGTCTATGATTTCTTCGTCGCTGTGACTTCGGGTGGCGTAGAAAAGTTAAGAAGGTGTAGATAGAAAGTAAAGGAAAGGAAACTCAAGAAAGGACCAATTGCTGTAATGATACCCCTTTGAATTCCACCAATTTCATGGAGGAAATGCTATGAGAAAGCGAAAATTTTGATCTTGGATAAACTTTTCCTTGCCTTGGGATAACAAACATTTACTCATCTATATTTACGTAGACAGATGTGGCTAGCAAAGCCCAAAGCGGCAAAACCTGCGAAGTTTGTAGACAAGAGCCAGATTTAGTCATGTTGACATAGCTGAAATAATCAGATGATCAAACTGACCAGATTCGATTACTTCTTGAACTGCATAATAACTCAAGACTTATACTTATCGAATTTAATCGAGAGGCACTTGTCTATGTCGATCAAAAGCTAAAAATGACCACAATCAAGGCAGGGGCGCAATGAAGATCGATTTTCTGGGGAGGGGGAACTTGAGTATATACAGTCCTCTTGAACCCCAAGCAAAGATGTTACTACATCTGACTATTTCAACGCAAATATTTGCAGGGGTATTGCAGCTATAATAGGAGGGGCAGATAATCTGATTTATCTGACAAATGGGTTGTCAATTGGGGGAATACAAAGTATTTCAGAACATTTCAAGCAAAATATTTACAGTATTCTATCAATGACCACATTTTACCATCTACCCTTGACAGATAGGGGCTAATGGGGGACAAAATTAAAACTACTTCTTAAATGTTTAAAACCTAGAGTCTACTTTGTAAACAACTCTGTAGCATTTTTTAACTGAATGTCAAATTTTTCTAAAATTGCAAAGAAATGTAACAAATGTAAAATATATTTGCTCCATGTCCCTTGCATGTTTCAAGGAGAACTGAGTGCTACATCCCAAACACAACAGGCCAACTAGTATCATTTTCTGCCATGAAATATACCACCTATGGTATGCTTTTAGTTTTAAAAAATTCAACTGATCACGACTGTGAGCAGGGGGTGGCCTTCTAAAAAGGTCATGAAGGAGGGTTGTGCTGTAGGTCAGGAACCGCAGAAGTGGGGGCTACAGAGGCTTTAGCCCCTCCCCCATAATGTCCAAAAAATACTTTAAGCCATACAAAAAAGCACCCTTGTTGTGGTTTTTAGCATGTGTAGCCCCCCAAACGCGTTTTAGCCCCCTCAATCTGTATAATGCCCCACGGTCCTTGCTGTAGGTTATTGTTGTTGTAGTAGCCACACCCAATAACACACCCAGGGTCACACCCAGTAGATTTGTAGTTATGTGTATGAAACCATTCAAACTCATTGATTCCAAAATGATTATGGATATTATTCATTCTTGGAAAATCATTAAAGCATAATAAAGGTTTAGTTCACATTGCTGGAAAGGAATTTGCCCAATCAAACATATATTGGCTTGTTAAGGGGGGCTAGGAGGCTGAGCCCCCAAAAGCTCTCTGAGTTTTAGCAAGGGGGCTGAGTTCCCCAATATGGGACCCTTGACTTCGAGTTTTTGTTTTTATCATCTTAAACGGTCCCAAGGCTTTTATTATGAGCACTTGCAAAATCTAATGTTTCAGATGTACATTTGATGCTGATTAAAAACCTACCCTTAAATTTTCTTCAACATTGTGAATTTAAAATCACCTGATTCTTCTATTTGGTTATTAAGCTACAAATTTGCAAAGGATTTTAATTGCTCTCAGAGCTCCAGTGGGTGCTTACAAAGGACAGGTCATTTACAGTAAAATCCAGCATTGCAAAAAAATTCTAAAGGTATTGTGACCATAATAATTTTATCTTTTTATTGCACATCTCTAATTAAACCTCAGTTTTGAAATCTTCTCCATTCTTGTGTGTATGAAAACTTTAACCTCAAAAATTTGTTTAATCTCTTAAGATTATTATTCCCAATGAATTAATATAACACATAGCCGATAATCAAGGTAATTAGGCATTGTAAAGAAAGATACAATAGACTGAGGCAAACCACAGGACAAAAAATGGTAAGGGGCATTTTTTCGGTGATACACACAATAGATTTGAGACTAGGAGATGGATAATAGAGAATAGGAAAATGGCATCAAAAGCATAGTTCATAAATGGAGAAAAACCATGATCACAGGAAAGAAGAGGAACTTAAGAATAAAAGCAAAAAGAATAGCCAACCATCAAAGGAATCATGTGGAATCTAAATCAATGGAACAAACCACAAAAAGCAGATTGAAATAGATCAGGATAAGCTGGATTAAGTGGCTTGAGAAACAGATTCTGTGAAGTGCAAAGGAAAATAAGGGTGATTATAATAACCAGATTGAATATTTTGTATTGTATTTGTATCTATTTGTACTTAGCATCTAAAGGTGTAGCTTTTAGAACACTGAGAAGCTAAATGGTTATGGAGCCAGGGACCGCAGAATTGGGGGGCTATGGGGGTTTTAGCTTCCCCCAAAATTTTCAAATTTACTAAAAACCATACAAAAATCGTCTTGCTCTTAGTTTATAGTGTGTTTAGCCCCCCCCAAAAAAACGCTTTAGCCCCCTCAATCTGTAATATGCTCTGTGGTCTTTCTATTTAGAGCAGCGTCCCATTTCTTCATTTTGATGTGGCCACATCTCATGATTCCTATGCATGGAATAACAAAGATCAGGCCTCCCTTCACTTATACAAATATTGTTTTAAAATAGATAAGGTTAATAGGGTGCTAAGCCCTGATCACAGATGAGCAGTAAAGTGCAAAGAAGGGTGGAGCTAGAGGATGTCAAATCGAGACTGATGAAAAAAGTTTGATGTATAGAAGTAATGAGGTAGTAACTTTTAAGGCTGGACAGGAGCCAAGCTCAATAAGAGAAACCATTGCTGGCTGGGCGGGGGGGAGAGGAACAAGGGTTTATGGGTAAAACAGAGGCAGATAAAGCACGTATTTGTAATTGTTGGGATCTTTGCATGACCTTTCCATCTCTAATTACAATTTTTGCTGAATTAGAGCTCTAAAAAATAAAAAAAGAAGGACTGCAAGAGGGAGAGAGAGAAATCAAATAGAGCTTGATAAAGGTAGACAAAGGGAAGTGACTGATGTAGAGTTAACTATGAAACTTTGGGGGGTTCAAAGAGGGGTGTGAACAAAATAAGAATATATAAAGTCCGAAAAGACAATTCAATCACTAAAAA